AACAATGTCGATATGTTTGGATACTATCAACAACATAGACATGATCGTTAACACAATTTCCAAGTAGTGAACCAATATATAGATCAGTGAGCCATAAACGAATTGTTTTGTTACGTGGTACCTGTATTGAACGAAAACATTCGGCTGTTGTTGTCTGAAATTGTGTTGGATAACCAGGACTTTTCAAAATACCATAATCACTTGTTATGTCCGTACCATTTTGACAAACATTGTATTCATTTGCCGGATCATCCATTGATAATGGTACACAATCAAATTCAACATGAAGGTAATCGTTGAACTGATCGTTACATTGTGGCAGTCTTTTTCGTGTTGCAAAGACATTACAGAAAACAGCATCTGTTGTGCATGTTATTGCACTCATTGCATCAGCAACACAATCTCCGGGTGTATAAGCACATGATCCAGCTATTCGTGCAACACCATATGAAGCACTTTTAACAATAACAACGTAATTTGCTGAACAACGAAGAGTCATCGTCGATGATGAACATGAATCTTGTGGCTTCATTGGCATAACAGTTTGCCCATTAGTGCATGAAAAATGTTGTAATATGTACAAAATAAAAACTATCAATCTAGACTTCATTTTGCAAAATAAAATTTGCTATACTCCTCTCTATAGTCAAGTTAGAGAACTAGCATATACAAGACAACAGTAATATAATTGATAAAAGTAAAAACAAAGTAACTGCTTTCTTCAGTTTTTTTTGCTTTAACTATATAGATAAGGGCTAGAAGAAAAAGATACTGCTATCTATGGAAGTTTAGTTTTTGCTCCTTTTTAAACAATTAGTAAACTAAGTTTCTTTTACTTCTTTTTTTTTCTCTCTATGCTCTTATTATCTACAAGATGTTTAATCAGCGTTAAATAAAAGATAAAATACCTTCTAGAAGTCTAAATAATGCATTTAGTTATTATTGTTTTTCTTACGTTTTGAGATAGATAATATCTGACATGAATAAAATAAAATAACTAACTAATATAACTAGATTTATAATCAATCTACTTAAATGATTAATAAATCAAATCATCATCCATTAAAAGACCTAATTAAATTTATTTCATTTTTTTATGTATGTACCAACGGCTTTTAGAGGCAAGAAAATCAGATTTAATATACACATATGAGACCATTTTTCTTCACAATGCATTGCTGTTCGACAGAATATCAGTATTTCGATTAATCATAGTTGTTGAGAGATACATTTTACTTTTCAGTATATTTATTTGATTCCATCTATAAACGGTTTGTGAAAGCATAGAAAACCATGGATTAGGTGCTTCTCGACTTCCATAGGTTTGCTAAGAATATTTTCTTATGTCATTCACAAAACGTTCGACAAAGCTTTGAAAAATATATTTCAATAGAAAAAAATCGCTTAAATAGTAATATATTATTGAGAAAATGAGATTTCATTTCACTTTTTGTTTTATTGTTGTCTGTTTATTAAAATACAATTCATTCTAAGAAAGCGTTTACAGTAAATTATATCTGTGCCTTTGTTATGCTTGTGGAATGTATTTTATACTGATTTCAATTTTGATAGAATATGTATGTAATTTTATTAGAAATAAGCAGAACCTTCGCATAGGCAAACTTATTCTAACAAGTTCATTTATTTTCTATTGAATATCTATCTAGAGGCAAAGTTTGATTCAAAAAATGCTACTTCTCTCTGAATATCTTTTATGACTCGTCGTTTTCGTCTTGCAGAACTAAATTATTGATAGGTATCATTGTTTCCATACAGGGAAATCGCTAGCAAAATGAGTTTCTCCTGGAATAACTTATGACGAATATTCCCAGTTGCTATTTTATTAGTCAACAATGCAAAAAAATTGACTGGCAAATTCAAATGAATTTATAGAATAGTTATCTGTAGAATCGTTTCACAATCATCATATGATATCGAGTGTAGAAATAGACGAGTTTATAAAACGTCAAATCTAGATGATTCACTTTCCACTGAATAGCAAAATCAATATTATTCAGATCTATTTTCTTTCTCCTCGTAGTTGAGTATGTTTTTTTTATTACGAACACAAAAGAAAAAACAAAGAAAACAAACAAACGTACATACATTAAAGAAAAGAAAAAGAAAAGAAAAAAATTTTTCAAGGTTGTTTTTTCCTTTTTTTAAATTAGTCTCTTTTTAAATGTGTATTAATATATACCGCACGTAATATAGACGTACATATACATATCAATGGGATGAAACAAACAAGAACCAACATACGCACATTAACAAGAAACTACTATGCAAATGTTTTATTTTTATTTTTAATTCATATATCAATAACGATGATAGTCCTTTGTTTTTATAAAATATAATCAAGTTCATATCGAGCATAATCATTGCGTGACTTTTCAATGCGCTTTTTCAATAATTCAGTTTCATCTATTGTTGGACGAATACTATCATCAACAATACGTGGATAGGCAGATATCAGAGAATCTTGTGCACCAATATATAATGTATTATATACTTTCCAGTAGACGTCACGTACTCGACGAGCTGGATGAAAGAGACCCTAAAGATTAGAAAAAGAAAAACGAGAGACAATGCATTATTTTGTTGATTCGAAAAGAAATTTTACCTGTAAACCATAGAAAAGTACTCGACCGGGTCCAAGACCAACTCGTAAACCTTCGATAGCAGAAATAAATGCTTGAATAACATGAGGACTGGTCTCAAATATATTTGGCCAAACATGATTTAATAGATGAGTTAAAGCATCTTCACAGCCAAAACCAAATACACCCAATGACATATGTCCAATAGCAGTCATTGCTGTTTGGCGATGAACTAAATCTCGATCCATCATTGCATCTTCAAGTAAGGGTGTTACTGCATATATATAATCTTTTGACATTTCACCGATATATTCAAACATAAAAGCTAACGCTTTCAAAACACCATTTTGAACATTCAATTCTGGTACACGATATTCATTCATCAAACCTATACAACAACAAAAAGATAATGATCAGAAAACAGAATTCAACGGAAAAACAAACAACTATACCTGGTAAAACAGTGAATGGTGAACATGTTTCAGATACAATAGCAATAGCAACAGTGGTGCAAACACGCAGTTGTCGTTCTTGTACTTTGAGATTGTTTAATAATGTAGCCAAGACATCATGTGGACCAATGGCTTTAGCTATATAACCAAATGTATTGATAGCAGCACGTCGAATCGATTTTTTATGTGCTTTAAGTAATTCAAGTAATTCGAAACAGATACGCATCCATTCACGTGCTGGTACATGTTCGGCACCTAGTTCAGCAATGCGACCAACAAGATCAATACAGTTTTCTTGAACTTTTTCGTGTCTAATTAAATAGGAAAAGAAAATGAAATTTGAATGAAGCTATTTTTCATTTGTAACGATAATATACAAAGAATTTTAATATTGAGCTTAGCAAAATTGATCTTTTTTTCTAAACAATGAATATTCTCTACTATGGAAAAATTGAGATTTGTTAGTACATATTATATAATAGGAATTGATAATAGATTGATAAATTGCAAGTAATAAATCCTACAGAGAAACATAGGATTAACATGAATAAAACAAACATATAGGTAGAACTTCTGCATTAGTAATATAATAGTCCAAAGAAAATTAGGTCACTATTGGATAGAATGCATCAAAAACATATTATGAATATATGTTTTTAGAATTTTCCATTCTATTTCTAAGAATATTTTATTCATTGCTTTTCGAGTATCATTGCAGGAGTTTATTGTCGAAAAGACTTATTTTTGTGTGATATTCTTATGAATACAAAATACAAGAAGGAAAAATATGCATTTCTAACTGTTACTTGTAACTAAAGTGAAAACTCTCTATTCAATCGATTGAAAGAGAAAAAAGAATTCTACTTCTATATTAGAAAAAGGAAATTATTTTACCTGTTTTTCAAAATCGGTGTCAATCTTGGTAATAAATCTTTAATCGGTGGTGTCATATTAGTCATACCAATGACATTAACAATGCCTAAAAGAATAGTTCAAAGAGAATTATTTACTTTTCTATTAAACTCAAAAAAGAAAAACTCATCTTACCTTTCAATGCTCCAAGAATACTTCCTAAAACTTCTGGATATTCTTCACCAAGATACTCATACAAAACAAGTCCCAATTGCCCCATTAATTTTTCTTCTGCACATAATTTCATAACATTAGCGATCTTCTGTATAAGATCAGCTGCTTGTTGACGTACTTTGGCTGCTTTATTATTTAAACGCCATAATATTGTTCCACATATTTGTGGTAAATATGCTTTACAACGTTTGCCCAATGAATTAACAACAGCACCAAAGCCATTTAACATAACTGTATCTTCTGTTGTCTGTTCTTGAAATGCGTACAGTATACCATCAATTAATTGTTCTTCTAAACGTGAGTCAATATCAGCTGAACCTAAATTGGTCATAATCTTTTCAATTGTTTCAATAACCATTTTACGATATTGTTCCGATTCATCTTTTAAATCATCAACAATACGATTAATAATTTCCGATGAACCAACTTTATTTGCCATTTCAACAGTTGTATCAACTAATTGTCGATAATTACGACGATCTAATGCCATACGTTGATTCCAAAAATATTTGAAAAATGATGGTAAAACTTCTTCTTTAATATATTTAGCTTCAACACCATCTGTTGCTGTACATTGTTTAACAACTTTAAGAACAATTTTTTTCATTTCTTCATCAGGTGATTGAAATTCACGAATTAATATAAGCATTACTTCACGTGTATAATAGCATGCATATTCAGCATCCATCAACGGAATTAAATAACCAATAGCTTTAAGAAATGCAGCAAGACCCTAAATGAAAAATTTCATCAAGGAATTTGTTCACAAATGATTCTCATAATTTTGCTACTGAATTACTATATATGATATTACTCAAATAGAGAAATCTATCGATGTGAACTTTCTTTATTCTAGTCATTGAATTGCTACAGTTTTCTTCAATCAACAACAAATGTTTGTAACATGGCTAGAAAGTGATGTATATTCCTGTATGACAAATAAGCTACAGATAATATATATATATAGAAATCGGAAATACTTTAAAGAAGGAGAACAATATTTGATATAACAGTTCACATTCATTCTTTCTTAGTATTCACAGTTTTTAACATTAATCATAGATTAAAGATAATTCATTTGAAAACATCTCAAATCGATTAAACAATTTTGACTAACTTTGATAGTGTCAATCTCAGAGAGATTATTTCTGTTTTTCCTCAAAATGCGATACACAACTTTGAGTATCAAAGTAGAAATTTGAACTCAGTCTCTGCATAACAGACATAAGCAATACATTAGAAAAGGCTCATTAAAAACCGTAGCAAATATCTACTTAACATACGATCAAAGATTGTATATGAATAATGTTTTGTTCTAATATGGGGACTGCTTATTTGATATTTTTTGAAGAGATCAAATAGAAGAATGATTAAGAGATGTATCTCAAAATTGAAAGAATCTCACTATTTACCAAACTGTTTTATAACATTTTCAACCCGCAGCATTTAGGCTTATAGAACCTTTTCGGTTCAATTAAATATGAGTAAGAGTAATCGTTTTGTTTTTGCCGATCTAGATTAGATCTAATTACAACGATTACTCATTTATTCTCAGCTATCTGCGTGTAAGTCAACTTACTTTGCCACGATGTTGTTTGATACCAGTCCATAATGGTTTCAATACAGTATCGAACGATTCAATGCCATATGGTGCAGCTGCTTCAGCTAATGCTGCAATGCCTAAGGCTGTGATGGTTCGTACTTTTTGTTGTTCATCAGTAAGACCTAGAATTGAAATAATACATTAACAATTCAAAACTTCGATTTTTCTTACCATGTTCAATAATATCAACTAATGATTTTAAATGTGGTAAAATAGCACAACCAAGTAAAATAGCAATTTGCTGTACAATTTTAATACCAGTATGTCGTGCTTGCCATGACTTTTTACTTTTACAGACAGCTTTCAAAAATGGTAATAAAGCTGGTATACCAAGAGCTGATGCAACAACAGCAAAAGCACGTGCTGTTGTATTACGTACATATTCATCTAAGTTGTCAATATCAGGTCTCATTGTTGATATCATTGTTGCGAGACCAGCAGCTTTAGCTAAATTTGAAATAATTTCACGTCCTTCAACACGTGCATAATAATCTTCATCAATTAATAGTGGTTCAATAACAACACAAATTTTGTGTACATATGGACGAACAAGATCATCAAGTTTATATAAAATTCGATCTATAACTTTAACAAGTAAATGACGTTCTTGATCTTCTAATGTTGGTGACATTAATAATGGTAAAATTTGATTGAATAATGGACCTGCACCAAATTCTCGTGCTTTATCAGTAATCTGTCTTAATGCTGCTTTACGCATAGGTGGTGTACCATTTTTAATTTTAAGTAACAATTTCATAATCTTTCTTTCTTTTTGTTCTTCAGGTGTTAAAGCTTCTTCATCAACTTCTTGTAATAATTTATCGAAATATTGTAAATCATCAGGTTTTAACAATGGTAAATTTCCTGACGGTTGATATTCTTGTAATTGACTTGATTGAGCCTGTTGGCCATGTGCTGATTCTTGGATATGAAATCCAGAAAATGTTGATTGTGGTGTTGGTGTTGCTGTTAATTTGCGTGCTGGTGTTCGTATGGGTATGTAGGAAGCTGGCGGCGGTAAAACTTTATAACCCGGTGGAAACATTGCATCGAGTTCTTCGTCGGATAGCGGACGGTTACGTTCATCAATTTCACGTTCCCAACGATAAGCTTGCATTTGTTCAGGTGTCATTGGTACTTGACTTGCTGTTGGTGTTGCCATACTAGCTGCACGCGCACCAACGGGTGTGGTCATAATTGGTGTCATGCCAGGTGTAAATCCACTTGATGTACGAGGGGTTGATGCAACACCGATTTCTTTAGCTACTGGTGTAAAACTAGCTCCATTTGTTGTTGCATTCGCAGGTGTTTCATCCCAACGTGAACGACGCTTATCAGTTGAAGGTGTAGGAGTCGATCGTATAATATAATCATCATCCATACCGCCACGATCAGTTTTTGGTGTTTCGGCCCAACCGGAATTTGTTGTTTCTATGAGAATTAAATAAGTAGAGAAATGCGTTTTGTTGAAGAAAAAATAAAACTAACCTCGTTCAGTACGTGGAGTCTAGATGAGAAGAAAAAGAAAATGTTGCATTTATTAATTCACAAATCATGTAACGAAATCAACTTACTTCGTCCCATCGATTGCGTTTGTTTGATGGAGTAGCTGAATGATGTGGTGTTTCAGCACCGGGTGTACGTGAGGCCATAGGTGTTTCATCAAACGATTGGCCAGCTGCAGGTGTAGCATCCCACATTCGATGAGCTGGTGTTATTGCCTTCAATATTACAAAAACAAAAAAGTCAATAAATTCAAAATATAAACATCACACAATAATTATCCTACCTCATCATAGGCAACTTTTTTTGCTTTTGGATCATTATCATCAGCTGGCGCTGCTTGGTCCCAGCGTTTTCGGCGTTTCTCACCAGATCCACTTGCACTTCCATTAGCTGATGCACCACCTTGTGCTTCAGCTGCTTTAGCCTTTTCAGCTATTTGATTTCGTGTATCAGCCTTAACGAGAAAGAAATCATATTAATTTCTAAAATATTAATTGACATTAATTTTTTACCTTGGCATTTTTTATGGCAATTTCACCCATGATTTCTGCATAACTACGTCCTTTCGATTGTGCATCTGGTGTTTTGCCACCTGAAAAAAAAAGTATAGAAGAAAAATTAATAATCAGTATTGTGACAAAAACAGAAACTAAATCATTTTTATAGGATATAGAAAGAAGAAAAACGACCCACCATGATTGATAAATACTAACTCGTTTTTTTGACATTGGTGTAAATATCAAGAAATACTTTATAGAATAAAAAAAAAAGAAAGGAAATGTTTCTTTATAATATATTTATCTTCTTATATGATAGTAGTATCTGTACCATGCTCGAGCTCATTTCAAGCAGCATGATTGTCAACGTTGCGATCGAACAGCACGTTGATAATCGTTTAAAGTCTAAAATATAAGCTAAGATTCTTATTAATTCAATAGGCTTTTACTATTGATTCACACCTTTTTCTTATGGGAAAATAGTGGATTATGCAGATGATGTTTATCCATGAAGCCAGACGCCTATAAAAAGGAACTCGATATCAGAATAGCCTCGGATAATATTCGAAAACAACTGATTTGTATTTCTTACGCTGAAACAATTCAAATAGGATGAAAAAGAAAACCTATATATTTACCATCAGCAAAATAATCTAATCGTTCTGGTGAGATCCTTCCGGGTGCCATACGTCGTTTTTTCTGATATTCATTTTCTCGGTCAGCAATTGTTGGTCGACGATTTTCAGCTAATGGATCATGGTTCTAAGCAAGCAGACAAATAACTCAATGGATTGTTTCAAAAAGAAAACGTTCCTATGGTGCTTACTCGATCAATATTTGGAATATTTTGTAAAATTTCAGCTGATGGTCCAAATTGCTTCGATTTCGGATTTGACACTGATGGTTGATAATCTACGTCTTCTTCCTAGAAATATTTTTACAAATTTAAAATAGTTTATTTTACTGGTATCAGTACACGAATGTTGCAAGAAACTATTATTTAGAATGTTGATAGTTTCGAGTATATGTTTCGACAACAAGAAAATATATCCAAAAGTCATTACGAATAATCAAAAATTCTCATACGCATTTCAACATTCATCTATACTCAACTTCCTATCATTTTCTATTTCACTACATGTATCTTTTGAAGATCGAGATTGAAGCTATGTGTATCGTATAGAAGTCAGATAATCTATTTCTCATTCAATATTTTCCACTCCAATCAAAATAGAAATTACGAACATGATCGTACAGAAGGGAATAGTTCAAAACTTACCTCATCATCATCTCCTGGTAAATAATTTAAATAACCAGTTCGAGCATTTTCTTCATACACATCTGTATCAAGAATTTCTTGAGCAAATCGAGTACCACGGGCTTCATCGTCTTCACGTCGACGATCTTCGCGTATAGCTTTCGATTGCGCTTCGATTGCTAGAATGAAAATGAATAGAAATCTTTGCAAATTTAAATATTAAAAAGATTACCATCATGTTTGGAACTCATGGTGTAAGTTCAACACTAACCAAGAGTAAAAATGATCCAGTGTTAGAAGTTTATTGCGTAAATATGTTGACGAAAAGAAAAGAACAACAATTGTTTACTTTTATTGTTAATGTTTTGATTATCTAGTTGAATAATTATGCATAAACTCAAAGATTTTATGGAAGAATCGAAATTTTCTTGAAATATTTACTAAAAAAAATTATTTATTTATTAATTAATTATCATAGTTATGCATTTAACTTCGATTTTCATTGGTTATTCAATTCAAGCAATAGAATCATCGCGAACGAAAATATATGAACTGAAAGGTTTAAAGAAAGAAAAGACAATTTTTGTTGTGATTTCTTATTATCAACCAGTTCAGAAACACTTGGAAATAATTTGATTTCATAAATTCATTCTATACTATCTAGATTATCATAAATTTTGTGTTTTCGTTTTATTTTGCTTTTTACACCTAATTCATATGTTTTCACCATTTGTTGACGGTATGCATCCACATCAACATTTTCCACTTATGCAATTGCCTGATCGGCAACAAATGCAAATATCAAATGGGTAAGGATAATGTGTATATTAAAATATTTCACTTTTATTAAGAAATCTATTTCACTATCTTGTGTTCCTTTGTTTTTCAAATCAAACTACTTGACGTTGTTTTTAGTCACTACATATATATATATATATATCCGTCAAACACTTGAAAAAATATAGTGCTCACGTGTTCTCCTGTATACAATATACATTATCTACTTTTATTTTATAATTAATCGTGAATAACAAAGATTCCTACAATAAATAGCTTTGACAATCATTTGTCAAGTAGCTGTCATTACTAATACAATTCATATATTAAAAATATTTTATATATTTACGAACGATATGTATCTTTCTATGTAGATGTTTTTCTATTGTTTATGTTACGCATAACCTTTCTATTCATTACTAACATTCTCTCCATGACATTTTTCTTTCTCAACAATGCGTTGAAAATATGAAAAAAAAAACGTATTAGTTTAAATGGAATTACTTCAGTCAATCTGTTGTCGTTGCTCATCACTTTTATAGTAATTGTTTGACGTTATTTGAAGTCTTTTTTCTCTTCTCTTTGTTCTGATTAATTTTTACAAGGATATTAAAAGAATATTATTGTAATGCCTGACCCGAAATCAATAGGCGATAAATCATCAGGGTCGTTCATCTATTTGCTATTCTCGCGTACTCTTTCTTCTCGTCATTCTCGCTCTACTTGACCCTTGGCGATCGTGTCCGGCAAAATTTCAAACCTATCTATATGCTCCGATTAATTGAGTTTTTCTTTCTCTCTGTTCTGTTCTCGGACGAAAAGAAAAAGAAAAAAGTAGAGAAGAGGGCATATATTCTTGATTTGCTAAGAACAGAACAATCTCTTTTCTTTTTCTCTCACATTCTCCCAATAGATTTTTTTCTCTTGACGAACGAAACAAGAAATAATTATATAGATTGATGTAGCCGCGGCTAACACGTGAAACATAGAAAGAGAAACAGCGAGAAAGAGAGCGCAGCGATTAGAAAAGAGAATAAGAGAGAGAGAAAAAAAAAACGAAGGGGACCTTTCGTCGTCGCATTCCACATACACATAACCATGCCCTTTATGCTAGATGCCGTTTTTCTCCTTCGATTTTTTTTGTTTCTATTAAAACGAACAGTACGATAAGTTTGTTTTTCAAATACGAACACATCTGGATCTGCGCGTTCTCTAGTGCTTTTCCTCCCTTGCCGCTCCTATAATACACATGTATAACACGCGCCACATCATCATCATCATCATTGCCACATGCGCATATGTGTTGGAAGGAGAAGAATAAGAGAAAGTAATGGGTGTGGTCTACTCTAGTTTTTCTATGTATAAACATATTATTGAGTGATAATGATGATGATGGCCGAATTGTTAATAAATATAATTTTCGATAAAAAATATCCTTCGATTACAGATCGAATAAGTATTCATGTAATAAATAACAATTATATCTTTAAAAATGACTTCTGCACTATATTATCAAACGATGATAGTGCCACAACAACAGCAACAACAATCACCACCACAGCAAGTACAACAAATGCAAATGTAGTGAGTAAAACGAAAATATCCATTGCATATGGTTTTCTTCTGCTTAGTTTTTCGTTTCTAAGATGTCATCTATAAAATTGAATTGTTTCATACACATGTTTACATACATGAATTTCTTTTTTTAGTTATCATCCACAACAAGCTCAACTATCGCACATGATGCCACAACCACAGCAAGTTCATCATTTGATTCAACAATCATCAGCAGTGTCATCACAAAACCGTGATCACCATCAACACTCTCATACGCCTAAAGAAATGAATAAACCAAAAGGTCGAATGAGTGCATACACATTTTTTGTACAAAAATGCCGAGATGAACACAGAAAAGCGTATCCAAATGAGAATGCAAATTTTAGTGAATTCTCAAAAAAATGTGCTGAAAAATGGAAGGTAAGATTTCAACGAAAACTTTCGGCTAGTCAGTTTTATAGAAAAAAAGGAAAGTAAGTGTTCAACTTGGGCGACATAAGACGAGAAATTAAGTTATTGACTAGAAAACGGACATTTATATAAAATCTATCAGAGTAAATTGGTAATAGAATTAATAAAAAAAACGTTCCGTACAGCTTCCCTGTTTCGATCGATTCTATTATGATTGCTTTTTATGATCAAGGACAAACAACAAAAACTTATATAGGATTAAGTGAATGATTGTGCGAACAGATGCGTTAGAGAAGAAAAGAGAACGAAAAAGTTATTGTTTTTATGCATTATTTTTAATAGACTATGACTGATACTGAAAAGTCCAAATTTGCTGCACAAGCTGAAATAGATAAACAGCGATTTGAACGTGAAATGGCTGTTTATCAACCCGGTGAAAAACGAAAAAAGAAGAAAAAAGATCCATTGGCACCAAAACGACCATTGTAAAATAATATTTTTTGATAAATAAGAGAAAAGAAAATAATACTTGATTTTTTGTATAGATCGGCATTTTTTCATTATTGTAAAGAAGAACGTCCTAAATTAAAAGCAGTAAATCCAAGTTTATCTGTTGGTGAAATTGCCAAAGAATTAGGTGATCGATGGAATCGTACGGCACCTGATGGTAAATCAAGTTATGAAGAATCTGCGCAGCGAGATAAGGAGAGATATGAAAAAGTCAGTTATGATTAATTGTTGCGTTATTTATTTATTCTCTAGTTTTTATTAGGAAATGAATGATTTTAGATTAGCTAATAAAAAGGCTGCTAAATCAAATTCATCATCTCAGGCATTAACACAACAAAAAACACATCACTCCGATCAACAAGTCAGAATACATCAAGATGTATATTCAAATTTAGAAAAAAAAAACATATCTCATTATCTATTTAATTTTGCTTGGTATAGTCACAACAACAACAACAACAACAACAACAACAACAACAACAGCAACAACAGCAGCAGCAGCAGCAACAACAGCAGCAGCAGCAGCAGCAGCAACAACAACAACAGTACTCTTCTGTACCATACCAATTACCGCCATTTAATCCGATGCAATCTTTTCAACCACAAGTAATTAATAGAATTGATTGATTTAATTTATTTGCTATTTTCTCTGCAGGCTTTTGCTCAAATGAACAATTTCCAAGATAATGGGTTGGCAGCTTCGCTTTTTCCTCATTATAATGGCTACTCGTTACAAATGCCACATAACAATGTAGGATATTAGTGAGCATTAGAAGTAGTATGCACACATACGCGCACACTCTGATATTCCCCCTTTCTCTTGAATATAAATTATGAAAAATCCGGTCACCAACTGTTATTTATTGCCTTTCACATGTATATTAAAATATATACATGTCTAATAAATCTCTCTTGCTATTTTAGTCTGATTGTTTATGTGTTACTTTTTCTTCAAAAAATCTGATAAAATAGAGTGTGCATGTATATAGAAATATAACAATGATATGATTGATAAATAATTGGTACATCGATTACATGAGCAGCATTTTTTGTTCTTCCGGTTTTTTCTTCTTCTGTTTTATTTTTATTTAAAAAAGAATTGTTGTCAATTAATTTTTTGTTCGTTCCTATTCATTTTATGTACACATAAAAGAAGAGAAAAAAAATTAATAATTACAGAAAAGACAACTTTTTTCTTTCTCGAATACTCATTAAATATATGTGCTAACAAATCTACTTATTGGTAAGTATGCAATTTCTTGATGTATTGCTTAGCTTCTTGAGTCTATTACTATTGTATCTGATGTATATTATACACGTGTGTGCGCGCGTGCTTACTTCTTCTCATACTTGCAGCTTTTAGTTTTTTTTCGTATTTTATTGATAAAAATGAAAATTGTTCTTGTGTTCAGGTTCAAATGCAACAATTTCAAGCATTACAACAACAACAATTACAGCACCTCCAACATCAGGTAATAAATGGCAAATTAATTTTTTATTTCATTTTATTTTTCATGTTTTAATTATTAGACCTATCAAACATTAACAACAGCTAATGCAAATTCAGCGAGTAATAATAACAATACTAATAATCATAATAATGGTGAACAACACGATGATGATGATGATGATGATGATGACAATGATGAATCTGACAATGACGATTAACAGAAATCATTTTTTGTTATTTCACATGACAATCGAGAGTAATAATAAACACTAACGAGAAAAAAGTATTGCGCTATTTGTTTGTTTTTTTTTGATTCTAAAAGTTGTCTTAATTCATAGTTTCGTCTTCCTTGTTGTTCATTTTCGATGGTGTTTATATGAGTTGATCATCAATTTCATTGTCTTTTTCTTCATTTTTGCTTTGTTTTTTGTATTTGTTCGTACTGTGACTGTTTGATGTATATGAAAAAAAAAGCGAAAAACCATTCACACACTTAGCTTGTATGTATTGTCCTATTTTTTCTCGTTGTCTTTTTTGCATTATGACAAACAACATGATGCTTTCGTTGTTCATATTCTTGTCTGCTTTTTTACAAGATAATGTCAGACATACATGCTATTGTTTTCTCTCTTGTTTTTTTTTTTGATTATCTTATGAGTAAAAATTGAAAAGAATGGTATCATGCCATTGGTTCAAACTACTATCATATATTAGTTGTCCTATCTTTAGATTTAAACATAGATATGACTAATCAGAATAGTGCGAGTGTTGTAATCAATGCAGCAACATACCCACGAATAATAATTCAACCTGATTGGTCTAGCAATTTAAAACAGAATATGTTACCTGGGGATGTTTGGTTTGAATTTAAAGCAGGTACTGCTGATGTATCACGTATAACACAAAATATCCATGGCGTCTGCTCAATCAAAGCCTTGCCAGATCAAGATGCTAAAGCTTATAAAACAGTAGTAAGCGATAGTTTTGAATCAGTCGATATAGATAGAAAACAACAACAATTACGCATTAAAATGCGTGATACAGATTTTAGTCATACATTCTACGGTAGATCAATGTTTATTTTTATACTTCGTTTTTAAATTATCAATAGTATGAAATTTAGGACCAATAAAATCATTTTCTACGACGAGTAAACAGAACGATGATGAAGTTAATACTCAATTACATCCCTCAATTCCTATATCTGAACTTCCTAAAACTGTAGCACAACAAGCAAATGTCTCGGTTCATCCTTATTGGTTTGATATTAGTTCAGGTGGTGTTGGTTTAACAGCATTAAGTAATGGAAAAATTACTATTTGGGATATCGAGAACGGTAATTCAATATTGAAATTTAAGCAAATTATGTTGATTTTGTTTTAAGGTGAAGTACGACGCCAATTAAAAGGTCACGTTGAAGATGTTTATGTAAGTCGATTTTTTCCATCAGGTAAAATAACTTTGTTTCTTTATAATATAGCTATATACTGAATCATAACTGTTTTTTTCCTCTTTAGATTTTGCTGTTGTATCTGGTGGAGCTGATATGCGTGTTAGAATTTGGTCACTTGATAATGACAATAAGGACATACGTGATACAACATTAAGCGGACATCGTTCACGCATAAATGATGTTCTTGCTCTTGATCAACAACGAGTATTAAGTGCATCCAATGACGGTTCTATTATTTTATGGAATGTAAATAAAAATGACAAGATAAATAAAATAGTTCAATTAGATAATGATAGTATTAATATTGTCAGTTCAATTGAATCCTCCTTATTGGCTTGTGGTTGTAATGGTGGTTCAATTCGTTTTTATAGTTTAAATTCTAAAGAAATGATCAATCAAGTTGAAATTGGTTCACCTGTTAGTGGACTTTGTTTTATAGCAGAATCAAATCAACTTATTTATGGTACGGAAAAATCAGTAATTGGTATTTATGATATACGTCAATTAAATGGTATACCCATTCATGCGTGGAAAGAGCAAAGAGGAAGAATAACATCTATTGTTCCAAGTAGAGACCACGGAGGTATATTAGTAACAACAACTGATGGCAGTTGTTTTGAATATAATAAAGAAGAATTCAAATCAATAATGGATGTGTCAAATATTCATGTTTGTGATTTTACAGGTGCAGATGATTCCGTCCTAAATGCTAAAGTATTTAACAATAGAATTTACTCAATATGTCGTGATGGTCTTATACGTATCTATGAGAATCTAGAATAAATAGATTTTCATGTAATCTTTTTTAATGCTCTAAGATCTTTGCCACATGAGATTATTGTACAAGGTTTCTTGTTTTTTTTTCTAGACTTGTGTTTTCATGATTGTTGTTACGAATGATCAGTATTTAATACTCACGCAATATGTTTACTTGTATTGTTCTGTTGTATTTTTATAACTAATTAAACCAGCAAAATAAAAGTCAATATCAGCTGTTAATTATTTGCAACAGGATCAAAGTGAAAGTCAAATATATATCAAAATTAAAATTTTAATAAGTCTCTTAAAAAAATAAATAAAATCGTCTTTTGTTAAGTTAAAACTTAATCGAATATAGATTATATGTCTTTGCCCGAAAAACTTCCGCTGACGATATCCGGCTAACAGAATCGGAAGCGGAACAGAACATTTCCTTAGAATTTGAACATAAAAGATTTAGCAGAAAACAAAATTCATATGTTCGCAAATGATATGTCATTCATATTCTTTTATATTGCAATCTATGTAGAGTCTTTTGATTGCGAATATAATCCATAGATACATTTATTTATTTATTTATTTATATATTATTGTTTTAAAGCTCAATTATTGATAACAACAAGAAAAAAAACCAGAAAAATAAATAAATTAGATCATGAAATAAGTCAGTTCATATTGTATTACCATATGAAGAAGAAGAAAAAAGAAGAAGAGAAAAAAAAGAATTAATTTACATAGGTTTTCCGCCACTTTTAACTAATAAATGTGGTTGTTTATAATGTTGACGATATTTATCAGCTGTATTAGGCATCGAAATTGAACGACAAATTTGAACGGCAGCAATTGATGGTGCTTCTAAACAATCGGTTATTGATGCAACTGGTATAACATCTGAATCAATCGACGAAACTTTATCATGTTGATTGCAGATTGAACGTATTTGTTTTAATGTATGACGACGAGTATTTGACACAACTTGTGAAACAGCAGTCGTAGCAAATGATGATGAACGTTGAATAACATATCTGAATAAAGATGATCGTTGCGCTGCTACTGTTGGACCTGTCGAACGAAATGAACTACTAGCTGTATTATTCGATGTTGTAGAATGCGATGTTAACCATGAACGAGTCACTGGTGGCGGCCGATATTCACGATTGAGACGTGTTGAATCTGTCGTCAAAACTTTTTCACCACTATCATAAGATGATTGAGCAAATAGAGCTGCAACACCAGTACGAGTTAATGTTACTCGGCGAATGTTTGTAGCATCAATATCTTCTAAAGAATTTGGTAATGTTGGTAGTTTATCATTCGACATGTTTGATTTAATTCAAATAAAGACAGTTATTATTTGAAAACATTCAGTCAACAGCTTCAGTCGATGCGTATACGTCTGTTATGTCGCGTAATTCTTCCTTTCTATACTATTTAGAAATCTATAAATGTATAGCCACACTAGTGTTTCTGACTGGCCATTGTCATTAATTTATTTGTTCATAGTTCTTTATTCTGTTTATTTACTTTCTTTCGTCATCGGCGACACGTCTTGTTTCGAAAAAAATATGTCGATTTATACTTGAATAAATATAACTGACAAGATAAAATATATCTTTTTTCTTCAATGAAAATTCATAAAAGATCAATTAAATTAATTATATCATTAGTTTTATTATCGATGAATCAATGATGACAATATGAATAGAAACATTTAGAAAAATATTTTCTATTAAGTGTACTGAGAATTTCAGCGTTTTGGCGATTACAAGACAGAGACACAAGGCAATACAAGCTATTTTTTCTTATCCTTCATGTTGTATTAATGAGATATTTGCAATAGTATATTTCAGACGTCATAGAAGAAAGCCTAGAAATTTTCTGCTGTACCAGATGATGCAAATTTAATGTTAGCAGCAACTGGTGCATTTGAGTTAGTAGGTAAGTTGAAATTTGAGTTGGTCTATTCTTTGTTTTTGTAATGCTTCTCTGAGGTTTAGTCAAAATTGAAATTGAAATCTTTTGAGTTATAGATATTTACAGATCTCTTTTTTTCTCGTTTGGCAATAGATTCAATCATTAGTGTAGTGATAATAATCAAAGAATATATCAATGAAATATTTTACGGAAAATCTTCTACGCATCCGTCTAGTAGTTGCTTATGTTTTTAAGCAGTCAAAGCTTTTACAAAAATTGACATGAAACTTTTGCTTTGAAGTAATTCGATTTGGGCGTTTGACCAAAGTACATTGAATAATGCACAAACTTTTTATTTAATGCATTGCCAAGAGAAAAAAGGTCGAGATTAAATTGTTGTGCTAAGTAAGATAAAAATCAAAGCTCATTTTAATCAAATGACAAAGTATACATAACAAAAACAATTTGTTTATTTAGATTAAGATTATTATCTATTTATTATTCATTCATTTATTAAATCTCTTGTTGATTCAAATAAAAAAAAACACATTTTAAAAAATCTGTTTGTAAATGTCAAGATGTTGCTATTCAATATGATCAAAGAATGTAAAGCGATGAACTTTGTATTATTTACTTTTTCTTATGTACTTTCAATAGATGCAAAAAAAAAGAGAGTTTGTTGTATGTTGTCCTTTGGCAAAAGGTCGATAACTATAAAGCCTAGAAGAAAAAGAATATTCTCTATTCATACTGATTATCAAAAATATTTCTTATTTCTTTGATGAACCAAGACGCATGTATAAACGATCAAATTTATTTATTATATATACTCGATATAACAAACAAACGGAAAATAAATTACGTATTAATATGAGACAACAAGTTGAGTATTAGTCTCAGTTAAATGTACACAACATTAGTTACATAGTATATCTGCAAATTATGTAATGCTGACATTGCAGAGTACCATAACTATAAAATAATTATGATACAATCGGATGACCATGATATTTAAAATGTTGTTTAATATAATGCAGGTTATTTTTAGTATCAGAACATTCAGTTGACTATTTTCTTTTTCGATATTAAATAGAATATGACTATCTGGAATCCAGAACAAATAAGAAAACAAAATCCGAAGGAAAAAAATGACTCTCGTCTAAGTTATTAGGCGATTTAAATGCATATAGCAATCATCGTTAGATTTTATTATTCGAGTCTGAAAATGTATGCAGTAACTTTCATATAATACGGTGGCGTTGTCAAAGATCAACAAATGTAACTTGAAGAAATCTAAAAAATTCTGTTTTTCTTTTCAATCAATTTAAAAATTGACTCAAGGATATATAATGCAACTAATAGAAACGAAACTTTGTCTGTTAACATTGCTTTTGAGAATATTCTGAAGAGTGGTTACTTATATTGATTTTCGATTATTATTTAAATATGCTATATATGCGCCTTTGCTTTTTCTATTGTAAAATTTCATGATTTTACTCGGTCTATTCAATGAATTAAATCAAAATCTACTTTTTTCTTTCTTTCAATAAGAAATACTGATAATTAAAAACTAAACGGCTTCTAACGCCCCCACACTTAGGATATGAATATTATTGGTCTATGACAGTTTGTCGTCGCACTCACTCTCTCCGTTTGTCTGTCTTTTTTCTTTTTTCGTGTAAATCTCTCTTATTCTTTCTTTCGTTAACATATTATTCTTTTTGTTGAGTATAGTTAAGTGTTCTACACATAAATTTTGTCTTGTTTCATTTTCTTTCAAATTCTTACATTTTGAGTGAAGTAATATTGAATATCATTCTGCTATATGAATAAAGATTCTTATTTTTCCGTGCCAATTATTTTCTGATATAGAAAAAATCTGTTTCGTGTTTATTTATATTACTACGCTTGTTATTTGATGTTTCCTTTCATCGATTTACTGTTTGATGAGGAAGAAAACAGGAAGACTAGCCGATCATAAGATTACGTACGGAGGGACTGATGAACGTAATCGTATGCCTAATAAATAAACGGCAATTTGATGACCTCATCCTCATTCTCTTCTGTATTCTTACCAGCGATTTCCTCATTATAATGCCTGTACAGCTAGACAATCGTATATATAGTTACTAAAAGATCCCGACGATTGAGCAACTCTGAACACAAAAATTCTTTCCGACACTATATCTCTGTGGTGACCGACAAAGGGGAGAGAAACAGAGAAAGAAAATTCCTTATTTTTAGTTAAGATTTATTTTATCATTATACGCGTTCGGTTGAACAGATAGATGGATGAATGAATGAATGATGGAAAACAGACATTTGCTGTATTATTCTTCCAATTCAAGCTTATCCTTTTTTGACACTTATTTGGTTCGATTGATAAGCGGTTATTAGTCATTTTTCAGAACTATCTTGACATAGATTTACATTTGATCGATATTGATTATAGTAATAACCTTGTTATCATGTTTCCATACCTGTTAATTTCTACACGGAGTGTCATCGAATTTCTTTTTCTGCTTTTTTGTTGTTCACATATACAAGGTTTTACATCGCTTAAAAAGAAAAAATACATATATATATCTATTTTGTGATTTTAAATAGATTTGATTAATACATAAATAAAAACTACATTAGCAGTTGTCGTCAATAAATTATGCGACGACATCATCATCGTCGAAGAATCATGTGACAACTTGTATTCATACATATCTTTATTTGTAATATTACGTTTCTCATCAAGGTGCTATTTACATAAAATATACAATACATACATATCTATCTGCCTATCTATTTATCTTTGCTGTGAAACAGAAAAAAAACATGGGTGAAAGGTAAAATTATTGATTATCATTATTCTTCTTCTCGTATGAGAAGAAGAAAAACGAAAAAGGAATATCATTATGAATGCCAGTTTATTGCGTATTTTTTTTACTTTCTACCTTATTAGATTTGAGTGGGTTCAAATCATCGAACCAAAATCCAAGGACAGTATGTATGCCAATCTTGTTACTGGTGAATGCGTTTGGGAAGCACCACCCGATGCAAAAATGTAAGTTTTAATTAACGAAACAAAAGAAAGTTTTTTAATCATACGATCTTTCAACCAAAAAAAAAGAAGGACAATTGAGATTATGTTCTTTTTTAAGGCTCAAAGATGATAAGAGACCTTTCATATGTCACTTTTTATTTCATTTACGAATCAAAGAATGAATAAAAGAAAGGTCAACTCAATGTAGAACGAAAGAGAGACAACGACGAATTCAATCGCACAAATGAATGAACATGTGTATACACAACACATAAAGACACGTTATTATGTACTACTAGTGCGACAATAATATTTTTTTAGTACTTGTACGGATGTTTTGCTTTCGTGTCAAGATATACTTCATAAGTAGTCAATAAGAAAAAAGAACTAAATCCTTTTGTCTATCCGTCTATTTGAATTATTTGTTTAAGGAAATAGAATCGACAAAGAACAAGATATCAATTTACACAGATGAACATTAATATCGTAGTGCTTTTCATTAGATAGACAGCAGTATTTAACAAGTTAATATAATCAGTTTCTTCACAGTATTGTTCCTTATTTACAATTTTCATGAACTGGAAATGTATACATAATCTTGATTTTTTTTTCTTGTTTTCAAAAAAGGAATCAATATCGATTACATGTCTGGATATTAGAAAAAAAACAAGACAACCATAGAATATACACAAATTTTTTCGAAATGATCTTAATATATTTGTTTTTATCTTAAATTATTCTAGTAAACCTACAGACGACAATCAATGGTGGGAATTATTCGATGCAAGTACGAAACGTAATTATTATTATAATGCAAAAAATCAACGAACTGTTTGGCAACGACCATCAGGTGCTGATATTATTCCCTTAGCTAAACTGCAGGTACTGAAATAGGATTGCATAATTGATTTGTCGCTGTTTTTACATATTGGTATAAGATGAACAAAAAAGAAACATGTGCTGGATATTAATCATCGTTGACTTTCATCATGAAAGATATTGTTCTATCTAGAATATAGATGATGATGTAAATCTTTCTTCTCTTCTCCTCTTATACTGATATAATCATGGTCAACTCTATTCGATATACGCGTATATATTCATTTCTTTTCTTTTCTTTATGTATAGATGATAAAAGAAAATACAGAGTCTAGAGATGAGCAAACAACCATCATTCCATCAACATCTTTTGTCAATCATACGGTTCAACAATTAACTACAATAAATAATACACAATCTCTAATCAATACTAAATGGAAACAAATATCTTTGCAAGGTCTTGATACAACACCGCCGGAAGCAAAGTTAAAAATTGCTACTCCGCCATTTCATTCATCGACACAACGAGTAAATCTTTTTTACCTACATACAAAAAAAAAGAAACTGTCTGAGTGTTTTTTTCAATGTTCTATTTAAGTCTATTCATCGTACAGCAGCTATTATTTATCCACATACAATGCTCTCATCATTGACAACAAATGATTTAACATTTTCAATGAATGTCAATAATGACAAACCAACGTATGATAATATAATTGGTTCAATTCATAATTCATGTTACAAAAAATCCAGCCAACATTTTAAAAACGATTCCTATGATAACTATCCAAGTATTTCTAGTAAGCAGCAAAATCCCTCAGGTACATATCATTGTTTCTTTTTTTATATTTGCATTTCATTTCATGTATATTACATGAGCGTTTTGTCCCTTTTTTTTTGAAGAACAATCATTACATGCAAAACGTTCTCAAAGTATTCACTCAAAAACTCCATTTACATTTCAAATAGCAAAAAATGAAAACAATTATTATCATACAAATGTAAAAAAGAATCAATTCTCACAGAATCATCAAAAATCATCGCATATACTTCGTCATATTAGTACACCATCGTTAGAATTATTTCATAATAATCAAACGAATTCAGTAAATTTCATTCGATCAACAGTTCAATGTAATAATACGAGAAAGAAACAACCACGTACTAATCCGAATTATGTTAATATACAAATAACAACAAATGATGGTTCATTACGCAGTACATATATTCGTATTAACGATGTGCAAAACTGTCAAACAAACGCAAAAGTTTCATCATCATCATCATCATCGAGTAGTAATACGTCTGAACAAAACCCAATGCAATATAATTCGCAATCTTATTTCAATGAATCAACTGAATGTTTTCCTAGCGATGAAACAATTGGTACTAATCAAATGAATAATGAAGAAAGAAATGAAATAATCAGAAATCATTTGTCTTTATCATTATCATTATCATCATCATCATCATCATCATCATCATCACCAATCGATTGTAATGAGAATCAAATCAATAATGATGTTACATTAACTAGTAAAACAGGCCTTATGATGAAACAATTAAAAACATGTACTGATGGTAAAAACTTAATACTTATTGTGATAATCCCACAAGAGAAACAAATATTAACGAAAAAGTATATTTTATTTTTAGAATTTGTTTTCCATTCGACAATGGATCCTATGAGTCTTAATCTTCAACAAATTAAAACAATTAATAATGGTAAATTGCTAGTACATGATCTCATGCGTTTTGAAATCTGCCTTATTAATTTAAGTCTTATAATTGAGTGAGCGTATTCGGACGAATAATTCATTTTTATTTAATCGAATTTTCATCGGAAGAAATGGCTTCTTTCCCAAGGATTGTTTTGAATCGTATATAAAAAATATTCTAATAATAATAATAATAATAATAATAATAATTGATTTCTGCTTTTCTAGTTAATAATGAAAATAAAAATGATGCCACTATCAAATATGGTTCGAATTCAAATACATCAACACTTTCATCACCGATTCTACCGATTTATTATGATAGTTATTCAAATTCACCTTCACTGGCCTCTCATTGTAGATAACATTTAAAATATTAATCATTCACATAGTATTATTCTTTTTTGCTTTTTTTTGATGATAATAGCAATGAATCGATCGCATGATACGGGCAGTATTGATTCATCATCAAGTTTCACACAATCAGGATCAATTCATGTCAATGGATCATGTAAAAATAAAAAGAATATTCAGACATCTGTTGAAAAACAAGTAATTGTCGATGAGTGAAGAAACTGAAATAAAATTTTATTTCTTAATGTTTTTTCTTACAATAGCGAATTCCATCAGTATCATCAACAAAATCTTCGAGAACAATGAACGAAATAGATTCTATTACACCTCTTCATGATATGTTAAATCTAAATAAACATAAACGAGGTTTATTTAGTAAACGCTTGACACAAAACAATTTATTATCATGGTCAAAAGAAAGTATTAAAAAACCATTATTGTCGACAACCGATAAAATACTTAAAAAAGAAGCATCAAATATATTTAAAATCATACAAATCTATATGGGAGATAGAAAATCTAAGCAAACAGCATCGTTAAATATATGTTTAGAATTAACAACCAAAGGTTGGAGTTTACCATCAATACGTGATGAACTTTATTTACAATTAATTAAACAAACAACTTGCAATAATAATGCTGACAGTTTACAACGAGGATGGGAACTAATGGGTAAAACAACAAAGAAAAATATCTTAATGTTTTTTTTAGTCTATTGAATTTTATTCCTTTAGCGATTTGTCTTTCATTTTTTCCACCATCAAGTAAATTTCAAATGTTACTTGAACATTACATATTAATACAAACTAATGGAGATGCTAATACATTTGAAGTGCCAATATCAATCTACGCTAAAGTTTGTCAAAAACGTCTAGAAAAAATTCTTCAAACTGGTCCAAAACGAGGCTTAAAAAAGCCAACTTTTGAAGAAATCGAACTGTCGAAGGTAAATTAGAAATCGAATATACAAAGTGATTATAATGAGAACACTAGTTAGTGACGAATTCATGAAATGCAACGAATCGTTCACAAGTTAATCTTGCGATTGAATATAGGATGGAGAGCAAAGTTATTCAGCCAAGCTTAATTTTGTTTCCGTTGCCTCAAGCGTTACCGTACCTAAATATATAGCATTATTTTGTGCTTGAATGAATAAAAGATCAAATAATTATCTTCATTATATATGACGTCCTCGGTTTCTCTGAGAATTTTTTGTGATTCAGTTAAAGTCATAATACGGATGCCGCTAACATTCTATTACCAGTCCCAATACTATTTTTGGGTCTTCAATCAGATTGGTGTGTCTCAGTAGAAAAATATCTGAAAAAACTCGTTCCGGTTTCATTTTGTCGAGAGAATTATTGATGCTGTGATTCGTTAAAATCTAAATAAAAATTATATTTAATATGTTGTAGATGCTAAAATGCCAGAATGTTAATAGTTTTCAAGAGATTTTATGTCTGAAAATCTAACAATTATTTATAATTTAATTAACTTTATTCTTGTTTAAAAGCAATTAAAAAAAAAACAAATTTCGTTGAAAAATTTTACAACAACTTATTTTTATAAATCTAATAAAATCATTGTAGCAGTGATTGGTAGAATAGAAGTTAAGAAAATTTTCAAAAATTCTCTAAGAATTTCAATATAGAATGATGAGAATTTATCTAAGATTTGATATTCTCTAGTGACGTATTTTTATGTTAAGTCAAAGAGTGGAATTTCTTAAAAAAGAATCTTTAAAAACAATTAATCGACTCGTACCTTTTCTGTTTATTATGTTACATTCATAATGAGAAGAAACTATTGTCCGCAAAAGTCTTAACACATAAAACTTCATGTCATCATGTAATATTCTCATTATTGTTCTAGAAATGAAGAGCATTACCAAGATTCCGAAGAAAAATTTTAGGATTTCGTAATATTTTCCGTGTCAATATTTTCTTAATAATATGAAATTTGAATCTTTAAAAGCATCTCTTTATCTTTAGCATACAATTCATTTTCCTTCAATGTTTGGTACTAGTCTTGAAGAAGTAATGGCCATGCAACGAACACGTTACCCTGAAAAACGTCTACCATGGATTCAAACAACTTTATCTGAAGAAGTATTAAAATTAAAAGGTGCACAAATAGAAGGCATATTTCGGTAAGTGTTTGTTTTAATTTATTATGAAGTTGTTGTGGAAAAACAAAGTATTCTTTCTTTTTCTAGAGTACCAGGTGACTTAGATAGTGTTAATGCATTAAAAGTCAAATGCGATCAATGGCAATTTCCACATCTTGAAGATGCTCATTTACCAGCATCATTGTTAAAACTTTGGTATCGTGAATTAGCTGAACCATTAATTCCTACGATGTTCTATGAACAATGCATATTAAACTGTGATAAAGCAGAAGCATGTATACGTCTTGTTAATTCGTTACCTGATATAAATCGAATTGTTTTAACATATCTTATTCGTTTTCTTCAAGTGAGTACTATTTTCTTGATAAAACAGTGCAAAATTCCATTTTTTTCTCTTTCCTAATAGATATTTTCTACATCGGATAATGTTATCTATACAAAAATGGATGTGAATAATTTATCGATGGTATTTGCGCCGAATATTCTGCGATGTAATTCAGATGATGCAAAAGTTATATTTGAAAATGCACGAAAAGAAATGTTATTTATTAAAATTCTTATATTGCACTTGGATACTGATTCAATGGAAGGTGTCATTTAATTGTTTTTCATCTTCGTATAAACAAACTTCTCTTTTGTTTGTTCGTTTGTTTTTCTATTTCTCTTCGATTTACTATTTTTTTTGTGTTCATTGAATCTCAAACACACACATACTTGTACATGACTACTTCTGTTTTTATTCTCTTTTATTCAGGAACTTATATTCATATTTGCGTTCATGTATGTAAACGGAACAGTTTTTTACAGCGTTTAATGCAGATTAAAAAAAAAAGATTCAATAAAAAGAAAAAGCTCATACTAGTCATTGAATCGATTTTTTTTTTGATAAACAATATCATTTAAGTGAATAAAATCATACTTATGTTGGATATAATTTAATAATTGAAATCGAACAGGGCCCTTTTTAGCGTCAAAATAAATTCAATAAAGAGAATATCGCAAGATTTAATAAAAACGCTTCAATGTGTTTACATATGTTCACTTGCGAGCAAATAATTCAATTGAGAATAATAATTCATAATCTAATTTTTTTTTATAAAGAAGGAAATAAGATTTAGACGAAGAAGCTACGAACGAAGCACATACGTAGTTACGTCGATATTCAATTAATCTATGCGTGAAATTATATATCGATATAAATTTGGAGGTAATTTGGTTTTTTAGCTAATAAGTAATAGATTATTTCAATAATCTTATGCACGATCTATTCTTCAAAGTAGTTCATAGCTAATTATTATTATCGAGCAACGAAGCCAGAAAAAAAGGCTGGTTAAGTATATGTGCAAATAATATCATATCCTAGACAAAAATAAAATCATTCTAAATTTTTTATCAATATATATATATATTAATTTGGCTAGTTAGTTCTTGAATATTTCATTAGTATTGTATTTTTCTTTTGTTGCCGTTAATTCTCATAAGAACATTATTTTCTGTTTTATTTTATAATTGAGAACATCTTGTCTTGTATACATTTAAAATATCTATGCACACTATAAAGCGAATATAATCCATGGGGAAATCTAGGACGTTAATGCCTGGTACTATTATCGAAATTAATTTGTCACTATAGAATTACAAATTTTAAAGGAAATAATTCATTGATTATTTATTTTTAAACACAATTTAAATTATCAATATTTGTTTTTGTAGTTATTTTTATTTCAAAACAATTTTGTATTTCTTACGTAAAGCAATCTAAGGATTCTATTTGGCGTTTATGCAATAAGATAACTATAATGGATAGAATAACACTATTAAATATAATAACTATGTAGGTCGTATTTTCTTTTTAGCTTATCTTGTTTTGCAATAACGATAACTGTACTAATAAATCCAAGTGGATGATTTTAGCAGTCTGCATTAATTATCGAAACCATAAGTCATAATATAACGATCGCAAAATCGGCAAATCTTCTAGTATAATCATGCATCGAGCCAATTAATCATCCATTATTAAATATGCAGACCTAGAAAAAAAACTGCATTCCAGACTCATAAGCAAACAGCTAAAATATGACAATAACTAATCAATATCTCGATTATTTTTTATAATACGAAGAATGCATAATTATTTCTCGTATGGTGCCCTATGTAATTGAGGTTCACCAAGTTTATATTGCATTGGTATAAGAAAAAATATTAGAGAGCATTAATCGTTCTATCATAATCGGTTTTATGCATTCATTTGACAATAATGCTTTTCTATATCAATATAAAATCAGATTGGTTTCTTTTTCTCTTCGGTACAAGAAAAAAAAGCAGTAAAATCTCCATTGATTCATGATAATATCGAGTATTTCAAGTAACCTTACTAATTTAAACATAATTATCTGTTCTATAATGATAAATATAAAAATTTTAAATACGAAAAGAGAAAGAAACCAATCTTAAAATAATCGAAATTAACTAATTTATGTCAAAAAAAAAAAGATTGTGAACAAAGAAGAAACACAACGCATACATAATTATAGTTAAGACTAGTCAGCATCAAATAATATAGTAGTAAACAAAAGTTTTTTGTATTTTAATACGAAATAATGATATGTATATTTATATATATATATATATATATATGAATGTTTTTGTCTTAGAAACATTCTTCTTTTTTTTTCGTTGATGCATACATACATATATATATTTATACATATTACATAGACAAATAAAGATCTTTTCTAGTTTAATATACAAAAAGCAAACAAGAAAAAAAAAGAAACACTCGATTTAATAACTTTTCATGTTATATGTGTTAAATATTAATAATAAAGCGAAACAGATCGACTAGCAAGACGAACAAAAAGAGGGAAAAACTGTCACATGCACACATCTGCCAACATATACAAACAATAGAGAAAAAAGATATGAAAAACATACATGGAATAGAGAATTATTGTGTAATTTTGTGTCAATCATTTTATTTGTTATTTCTTTTTTTTCACTGTGTACACATCGAACCTGACTAGAGAGAAGTCAAAAGAGAAAAAAAGTCACTGAGGTCTTTTTTCTTCTTCATAGAAGCAATGAACAAAGGCTATAGAGAACAAAAATATAAATAGAACGTTTCAATTGTTTTATGTTTTCTAATTTTTGAGCATTATTTTAATATAATCCACAACCACGAAGATTTAATGTAATAATGACCTATTTATAGAAATGGAAAATCATTCAAATAAAATTCGAAAAAATTTGATAGAAGAAATAAATAAATATTTACATCGGTAACAGCATCAAATACGAATTGCACATTTTGAGTATCTGTTGCGCACGTATGATGACAATAAACTTCTTTTTGTGTTGATTTATTTTTGGCAACAAATTGTGCTTGAATGTATTCTGCAGCTGGATCATATTCATTTGGTCCAGTATATTCTCGAAAACATAATGTTAATGGTGAACGTTTAATTTTTTCTTCGAATAAATCTTTTTTGTTTAAAAATAATATTATACCAGTATAAACAAACCTAACAAAAGCAGAAGATTTCTTCGTCTAATTATATATGATGTCGAAACAAAAAGAAAAACAAACCATTTATTATTACAAATACTATCGAATAAACGTAATGATTCATGCATACGATTAGTTGATTCGTCTTCATAAAGTACTTGATCATATTCAGATAATGCCACACAAAATATTATAGCAGTTACATCTTCGAAACAATGTATCCTGAAAAAAGTCAAGAGAATTTAGATTTATCTATACACAAGAAAAATAAACAATGTAACAAACCATTTTTTTCTTTCTGATCTTTGTCCACCAACATCAAACAATCGAAAGTTTAAATTTTTAAATGAAAAATTAATTTCTACTATTCCAGTTGTTTTAACACGTGTTCGCAATATATCTTGTTCATTAGGTAGAAAATCTGGTGAACCAATTCGATATAATTGATCAAGGAAATATTGCGCTGAATCATTTAGTTGATATTCATTACTACGTAAAAAGCATTGTTGAACACCGGCATCCGCCCACAAACGTTCCATTGATGATAATAATTCACTATTGAATGGTTCTGTATCCTTCATACGTTGTATGACTTCAAGTACACGATGAGCATCAGCTTCCCTTTCAGCTGATGCGAATTGAATATTGAGCATATTCATTGCTCGTATTATAGCTCCTAATGATTGAATTGTGTTCGAATATACAACTGGACGATACTGTTCAAATTCTTCTTTAGTATAACCATGCTGATGAATAATACGCATTTGTTTGACAATTGTTGATTTGCCCGATTCACCAGCACCTATAAAGAAATTCAAAAAATTCCTTTTTACTTCGCTTTTTTTTTATATATACCGAGTAATAAAAGTTTAACATCTTTTGCTGCGCGTTCGGCATCTTCTTTTATCAATCGATCAAGTGCTTTGCTGTACTATAAATAGATAGAAACAACATTATTTACCAAACTATTTTATAAATCATTTAAATAAAAATAGTTAGAAAAGCATTGAAATATTATTAAAAAATCAAAATCTATTTTGTTAATCAAATAAAGGCATTATATTTTTTTAAATAATTCTTACTCTTAAATAAATTCTGAAATCAAACAATACAATAAAAAAAAAGAAATCTCTTGACATCTTGATGCAATTGCTTACTTCTTTTTGTCGCTTCTCATCTTGACTTGTTGCGCAGCCCATTTTAAATATTTATTCTTGATTCAATATAAATAAAATATGAAAATATTCATTTACACGTTTCTAATCGATAGTTTTTTTTTCTTCTTATTCTATTCTATAGACTAACCGTCCAAACCAAAAGCAATGGTGAGACGCCATTTTTTCTTTTCTTCAACGATTCAGCATTATTAATAAATGTATAGATACTTTAGAATAATGCACTTTCAACAATTTTTTTTAGAAAATAAAAAGTTTCTCGTGCGATTACAAAAAATTGCTTTAAAATTTAAAGTAAAATTTATCTATATGTCAATTGTTATCTTTTATAACCAATAAAGTTGATCCAAAATTTTTATGCTATGTATTTGTTTGTTTTTTTTTGAAGATTTTATTTGGTTTTAAAAAAAATGACTTCAACAATTCAAAATCTACTCGTGAACATCAAAGAAGAACGGAAAAAAATAAAAAATGATGAAGGTAGTTTTTATTACTTATAAATAGTTCAAAGATAATATTAAGATTAAAATAGACGATGATTTTATACTTGTTCAAAAAAGTAATAGTGAATGGCCAAAATTATTTGATACGTATTTTTCATCAACAACGACTCGCCTTGCTCAAACGTCAACTGGTATAACAAGTGATGATGACCTAGTTTTTTATGTTACACGAAAGACGGCAGATAATGTGCAAAATTATGCATCAGTAAGTTTTTGAGATGAATTTTAATTGAAGAATAAAAATTTTCTTCTGCATTTTAGAGGTATTCAGTAGAAGCTTTTCGTCATCATGATACAAAACGTCAACCAAAATTAGTAAGAAATAATCAATGCCAATTAAAATAATCATAGTAGTTTAGGGAGCACCAGAATATGATTGGGAAGAAACAACTAATCTTAATCTTGTTCTTCATCAATTTGAATATACAGTCACAACAGCTGTTTGTGTTAAACCAACTAATCAACATTTACAAATTATCAAACGTCTATCAACTGTAATGACAACTATTTATATTGAATATAGCAAAAATCATCCTGATATTTTCTTTTCTTTTGATTTAGAGAGTATATGCAAGTCCATCGTGTCGTGGTATGGAAAATAAAGGGATAGAAGAAATAATATCTTATCCAAATATTTATTTTACTGTTGATAACTTTGAAGATGTAAGATTATTAAAAAATCTGATTGAAATAATAGTTACATATTTTATTGTAGGTATTTTGTGAAATGTTTACCAACGAAGGTCAGATTGTTTGCGTGGAGTTAATAGCCAAAAACCCTGCTCTGAATGATGCAAAAGTTTTATTTCTTGGTTCTATTAAATATGAAGCTTTAAAACAAGTTTATGAAACTCGAGTAAACATATCAATGATAAATAAAACAAGATATAAAATTCCAAGAGTTTTCTAGGCGACAACAAGTACTCGTGTTGCTCAACGAGTGTCATTAGGAATGTATACGAAACGAAAAATGGAATTTGTTAGAATGCGTGGACCGAACGTAAGTGTTTTTGTCATAGTTTTCTTGAAAGTGAAACATAGGGATATATTCTTAGTGATGATGCTTATCCATGTAAGAAGACAACTCTTCGATTGTTCTAAACAAATATGAGACTTGAGATCGAATCGAGTCTAGTGATCATAGAGTAAATATTAAATTTCAAATTTTAAAATTCATAACGAATATGAGATGCATACAAAAATAAAACAATTTCAGAAACATAGATGTTGATCAAAATATTGATCATATCATTTTTCGCGCTGATCATGAGTTGATTCCTTTGTTTTAACAACATTTTTTAAATTTCATTGCTATTTATTGGTTCGATATTTCCTTGGTACACCTATTCATCGGTTTGACATGTCTCGCACAAGGAACGTCTCCTAGGTCGAAATGATTGAAAATTCGAGGAAATTCTTCGATTCGATATCGGAAGTATACCGTAGTCTTTACTGTGTGATCTAGATAAAATTCTGATTGTCGATTTTTTCCCCATTGTAAATAATAGATAGATTCAAAAAATGATTTCAATATAATTTTATGAGAATTTTGGTATATTAATGCAAATCATCATCGACTGTCAGTCGATTAGTCATTCAAATCTAAGATCAAATATTTATGAGCACATTGTCAAACGTGACAATCATTCATAATAGTCGAAAAGAAAAGAATTGGCACAACTTTCAAATATTAGTTGATAGACATTTACTTTTTCTTTTACACCAATCAAAAATCAAATAGTATGAAATGAACGAGAGAGATAAAACAACGGAATAGTACGTTTCTTTTCAACATCATTTTCTTTTTATGAATAATGACTTTAATCAGAAATAGTATTTTGTTTCACAACAGATAGACACATCTGTCAGTTAATTATAAAATAATTGGTAGGAACATGAAGGATACATTTAAAAATCAAAAATAAAATGGCTAATAAAAAATAAAATATTTCGAAATAAAAAAGAATATTATAGGGCAAAGGTCATGCACAAATGGCTGTTAGTCGATTTCGACCGGCACAATCTAATATAGCAATATCTGAATCGAATTCCACAACATCAACTGCAAGTATTAATGATGCTGATAATGTGTGCAAAACAAAAGGAGCTATGATGTCAGATAATAGAAGAGTATATTTTCTTTATTTCATAGTGGAGTCAACGTCACATGACTGAGAATGGTTCAGCGAGTGAACCGAGTCTACCAACATTCAAACAGCAAAATACAGTTATGCCAGAAGTTGAATCAACTGATATTCAACAAGGTTATTGAGAACATTATTCTTAATATTTCTTTAAAACTATTATTATTATTATTAAAGAACTATCTCATGATGCAGGTGGTTTTCTCGGTCGTACATTAAATCAAGCGATGGGCTGGATGCGTAAATCAAATCCACGTCTTAATCAAACAATAAATAGTCTTCCATTGCAAACTTGTCTTACATATATATCATTACCTTGCAATCTGATTGTTAAAGATATTCTTGAATCAAATTCTATGCCTATTCTTACTGTTCAATGATTTAAATGAATAATTCCAAAAATGGTGCATGATTACGTCAAACAAGCTCTTCCATATGTTTTTTAATATTCGTGTAATTTTTTCTACGTACTGTATAGATTTTTGTGAAATATTTCCGCAATGTTCATTTTATGTTTCATAAGGTTTCATATTTTGTTTTAATTAAATTGAAAACAATTAGTGATTTTTCAATATATCAATTTTTATTTTTTCTTAAATTTAATTTTTCTATTTTGTTAGTCGTGAGATAATCGATCTGTATGCTGATCATCAAAAATGTTTATTAATCTTTGAAATGCTGGGTTAATTAAACAGGATTTATCTATTATTATCGAACGCAATAAAGATTAGATTGATTATATAAAAGACATACACTGCATACAATCGATGATAATACGATGAATTCGAAAATTTCTAAGCCCCGAATGACATTGAATGGGAAAATACCCGCGCATTACTTATGACCAGCTTATAAAAATATAAATATTTATTAGTTTATGTTATCTTTATTTATTAGCATGGTTTAACTATGTAAATATATTGATGAAATAGGTTTATTTTAATTTATTCGCCTGAGATCAAAGAGAAATTGAATATATGTCGGTGTTCTTGAATGGATTGTTTATTTACCTAATACAATTTTTCATGTTTCGGTTTCCATTGAGAAAACTTATACATCATTTATTAAAACGACGAAGTTTAGTTCTACATAATTCGATGAAGTTGTAAGCTGTTTACATAATCTATTAGAATTCAAACGGCATTTTGTCAAATATGAGAAAACCAATTGCATTCTTTTAATGTCCCAATTATTAATTAGTATGATGGATGCAATTTTAAATAGATATTCAAATTAATGCACATACAAAAAGAATTTCGGAATGTACTTAGTCTTGATATGAGAGATCATTTAATGTTCTTTTTTTTAAAAACAAAGTGCATTTCGGGGCTTTAAAAATATTTATTATGATATATTAAACATATGTAGTGCTTTTATGCTCTTGGTAAACATTAAAATTATTGTTTTTTCACTCTTCTCTCAACGAACAGTTTTGTCTCAGTAAACAAAACAGCTTTATAGTACTGACATTTGGCTATTGCAATGGACAAAAGACTAAGGTTGGCTAAATTGAAATTGATAAATCTGAACTCTATGCGAATACAGAATACAAGCAGTCATGATGAATTTTGCAGAAAAAATAATGATATGATCAGAAGCGCAAACTTATTATGTAAGTTTAATCTATTTATTTATCACATATTGTTATTAGATTATTTTCTCGGAAAAAAAAGAAAACATGCCTTTTGATATCAGTTATTCAAATGAAGTCTCTAATTGATAATCACTCCTGTGTGAAGATGAAACACACATGGAGTTTGTTTTTCTTTAGCTGATTTCATATCCGTCTTGTCTTCTACCAATAGTATCACGTAAATATTTTCTTGGCATCCCTGTTCTTTTAATATAAGCACAAGCTTTTGCTATTTCTGTTATTCCGCTGACGACAGTTCTCTGCCATCAAAGCTGCTTCTTCCTGATTGGCTCGAGTATTAGTAGTCAAGCACACGTGCTTATTTCGTTGTACATAAAACCATCATTTTCTTCTAAACAAAAAAAGAAATTGTAGAACAGAAACTACTTGAACACAAACTAATCACATTGTCGAAAAATGAATTTCATTACTTTTAAGTTATTGTTCTATGTTATAAGTTTTTTTCTATTTAGAAGGCAACTGGATCATTATGAAATAATAGTATGTTCGGTTATTGTCTTCGTAGAAATTAATTTTTCAACAATCGGTATTTAATATTAGAATACTATTCAATTCTTATAGAACAAAAGCACGTCATATACTCCCGATTATTAATCAATTGAGATATTCTACTCACCATATTACAATTGTTTTCTTGATTCATTTATTGCTCGATATCGACAACGATTTTGCCATAAATTAGCATTTCGAGATGGGAACGATAATCATGTGCTCGACTAAAGCTGTGAAAGATCGATGTTGACAATTTAATAAGAAAATATTATTTAACCAATCTTGCTGTTGTACTACTTCATGTTATATTCCATATCAGCTTTTTTTTATTGTCTCGGTAGGTTATCATTTCCCACAGATTGTGGTTCCATGAATCGGTCCCTAAATCAAGTCCACATTTGTGAACAATTAAAAATTAAGTCAATTCTGGTAACCAAATAGGGACTTTAATTTAGGGACTCTTTTCTAAAGAATATGGCTGTGAGGTGTAAGGCATGCCTATACTTGAGCACACCACTCAATAAACACATCCTACTGGAAAACATATCTTTTCAAAAAAAATACAATCTGATCATCAGGTCCTCTCAAGATCCCTTTAACTAAAAAGTGTTTCTCTTCAAACGATAGTCTCGTGAGCAGAATCTACTTTTTAAAAAGAAACATTTATCATTTTAAAGTGATCTTGGGAGGCTCTGGTGACCAGATTATATCTTTTTAAAAGAAACATTTATCAGTTAAAGTGATTTTGAGAACACCGATAAAGTGATCTTGAGAGGATGTGATTGCCAGATTCTATTTGTTAACAATGAATTTACTAGATAGAATGATCATTAGAGAATCTAGCGATCAGATTCTATTTTTAAAAAAGAAACATTTACTAGCTAGAGCGAGTTTCAGAGGATCTGGTGACCAGATTGTATTTTTTTTGAAAAGACATGTTTTCCAGTAGGATGTGCTTATTGAGTGGTGTGCTCAAGTATAGACATGTCTTACATCTCACAGCCATATTCTTTAGAAAAGAGTCGCTAAATTAAAGTCCCTATTTGGTTACCAGAATTGACTTAATTTTTAATTGTTCACAAATGTGGACTTGATTTAGGGACCGATTCATGGAACCACAATTTGTGGGAAATGATAGCCACTCATTGTCTCTTCTTATTCTATTAATCTAATATTGATTTCTCGTTGGATTATTGATAATCTAGAAACTTTATATTTAGTATCACGTAGTTGCGTGCAGAATATCAACGAATAAGTATAGATTGTTTTGGATGTATTCTATCGAAGCGCTTTTTTTTCTATAATTTTTGCTCTATTTTAGACTAACAATATTTATTTGAAAGGCATTTCAGAAACTAACAATTACTAAAAATATTCATCAACTTATATAAGTTGTCGGTGCCATTTTAATTTACCTAATTTCGATGCAATTGTTGATTTTTAGAACAATCTGTATGTCAATGCAGCAACACATGAAATAGGAAAAATCTGATGTCATGTAATAGGCTCATTCATAGTTTTCACTTTCATTGAATTGCTTCTGTTACGAATCATCTGTCTTTCAAGGTCTTTCTTTTTAATATATTGAAGTAGTGTCACTCTTCACGAAAATGAAGAACTGATTGTCTCAGTTCATTTTCTCGTGTGCTAATATCATCGATCCCTTATTTCAAAAGATAGACAACAAAAGAGAGAATTTTCTTTAAAACTAGCCTATTAGATACATAATAGTAGGCAACATATAAGTAAATTTTGAAAAAAAAGAACAATTATTAACAAGAATTTTTTTTTAGATAATGGATTCTAGACAACTCGATAATATTAGTATCAATAAACAATCTTTTGAATCCTATGATAATTTTCAAATTCATGAATTGATGTTACGCGACCGTCCACGTGTTACAGCTTATTATGATGCTATTATGAATAATAAACATCTCTTTGAAAATAAGGTACTTTTATAAGATATAGTCTATAATGGAAAAGTTTTCTTTATAAAAAAAAATGACACCAGGTTGTTCTTGATGTCGGTTGTGGATCAGCAATATTAAGCATGTTTGCTGCTAAAGCCGGTGCTAAACTTGTGTATGCCGTTGATGCTTGCCCGAAAATATGTAACCTAGCTGTAGAATTAATTAAACGTAACCATTTACAAGAAACAATTCAAGTAATTAATAAGCCAATTGAAGATATTGACAAATTTGATGAAGACATCAATATTATTATTAGTGAATGGATGGGTAAGATTTTAAAAAAAAGCAACATTTTATATTTGAAATCTACTCTCAAGTATATGTATGTAAAACACACAGCGAATTTCGTATACGAACTTTTTCCGAATAAACATCAAGTTAATTTATTTAGGTTTTTATTTGTTTCATGAAAGTACGCTTGAATCAGTTATTTATGCTCGTGATCATTTTCTTAATTTACCCTCTCGAAATGATGATATAACACCTGATCAAAATGAATCAATTGTCATTTTCCCTTCACATGCTTATTTGGTTTGTTTATTACTATTATTATTATTATTATTATTATTATCATATTATTTTCTATTGATATCTCTATGTGTTTAGTATTGTGCTCCATTTGTTGACCAACATATACGTATTGAAGCTAGCACAATGTGGAAAGATTATTTTGATCTTAATATGTCGCCAATTCTACCATATTTGAAAAATTCTAATCTTAGAGAATGTTACATTGAAACAATTGAACCATTTCAAATTGTTCATGATGCTCAATTGATACAATCAATTGATCTTCGAACAATACGAATAGATGATCTGCAAACGATGCGTTCAGTTTGTGAATTTGATATGGATAATCCCTGTATTATATCAGGTTTTTGTTTTTGGTTCGATTGTTATTTTTCTTCAAACAATAATTCATCTATATTACGATCAATTCGTTTAACAACAAGTCCATATTCACCAAAAACTCATTGGAAACAAACACTTATTTTTCTACCAGAAGATATTTATCCATTAAAAGGTGATACTGTACCGGTGGATATTAAATTAAAAAAGTCCTTAGACAATCGGCAGCAATATAATTTATCAGTAGTTATTAAAAAAATTAAAGTAGGATTATTGAATAGTAATGCTATTGAAGATGAAAATTCAAACAATGAATCAAATGTAAAAAGAAGACAACGACGACGTTCATCAACAATTTCATCAGATAAACGAACTGTTAATGTGAATACATTGTTCTATGCGCAACGTGATAGTACAAGTAGTAATAGTGATGATGATATCAATTCAAATGAGCATTCTATTCCATGTTCATGTGTTCGTGATAGATGCAAATTAATTAAAATAATTTTTGAAAAATACCATGAAGAAAATACTGTTCAATGAAACGTCCATTCTCTTCTTTTGTTTTACTTTCTTATGATTTAATTTTATAAAAAAAATAGAATTAACTTCTACTGTGTGATGTGTTGAATGAATCTCGAGCGTGTTTGTGTGTGTGTGTGTTTTGTAATTTAGAAAGACAATAATACTCTCATAAAGACTCTCCTATTTATTTTTAGATCATGAATAAAAATATACAAAAGAATTCTCAGAACAAGCCTTCAAAGTCATCACGAAAATCTTCTTCGAATTCGCGCCGATCCACGAAATCTACTGATATACCTTCTCAAGTTCCACATCGGTCAGAAACTCATTCTCAAAAATCGTCGATTGATTTAGGTCATGATCTATTAACTGAAATTATCGAAGATCTAACGTCAGATATCGATGATACACGACCAACATCAACATCGTCTATTCTTTCAAAAAATTCGCAAACTAAAAATAATGAAGCAATCTCAACATCATCGAAAAAACTATCTTTATCAATTAATGCTTTACGAAATCCAACATGTGTACCGGGAAAAAAGTCATTTCGGTCATCAAAAAAAGGAGTAAAATCTAGTCAACAGCAAGAAAAATCTAATTCACCAAGTTGTTTCAATAGTTTTGATGAAACATATGATTTAAATGTTGCTAGAAAATCCATTGGTGAACAACGACGAGATCGTCTGACTAAACATATGAAAGAGTTTTATCAAGATTTTTTTGAATTCGATAAAAATTCAAATATGAATTCTACTCATGATAATCTGAATAATAATGATAAACGAAAACAATATTCAACAGCATTATGGTAAAACAAGAAAATAAAGAATTTTTCGTTTTTTTTTCAAATTCTATACTGTTTCTTTTTTCAGGTATGAATTAAAAGCATATTTTAATGGTGCAAATTCATTAGATGAAAATGGTATTAAAAATGAACAATATTCTATTGATCGTCAACGAAAGAAGTTTCTCGATGAATTTTACACTTTTTTTAGTCACTTTGGTTTTGAACAATCATATCATAATGATATTCCGACAATCCAACGTCGTCATATGTGTGAACATCATTTAAACCATTGTCATAATGTTGAAAAACGCATGCAAAGTTTATTTTTAAAATGGGATTATATATTATCGTTATTTCCATCTTATGCAGCACTTGAACAATATGATAAACGTTTCAATCCACGTACGCAAGAAGGAAGAATTTTTTATGAAAAATTATATATTTTTCAAGCATGGCTTAATTTACATTCAGAAATCAATCATTTAATTAATATTCTTGGTCGAATAATGTCATCTATAAAATGTCACGCGTGGCCAAACAGTACATGTTCATCGCCAGGAAAATCTAATGATAACCTATCACGTCCAACAACACCATTGTCAACATCTAGTCATGACCAAAAAGATCCTATTGTCGGATCTCCACCTAATCCATCGCCTTTTTTAACCACGCCCGAAATTAGGATCAGACGTCAGAATACATTTACATCAATGTCGAGCGTTGATAGCATTCATCAATCGCCATTATCATCAGGTTCATCATTAATGAATTTTTACTATCGGTAAAATAAAACAATAACAAATAAAGAGTTTCTATAGAAATAAAGCAAATACTATAATTGATTTAGAAATTTTCATCTGAAAGATTTTTGCGATGAGAAAATTAAAAGATTTTCCGAAAAAAATGAGTTCAGTGACAGTAAAATTTCTTATTAGAATACAATGTATGATTGAATAAGTCTGTTTTTAATTTTACTTCGACTGTAAAAAAAATAAATAATCGTTCAGTACAAGAGAGGCTATTTTAAACTCAAACAAAATTAGATTTCATTAAAAGTTATTTAACAGTTCACTGACTTGAAGGTAATCATACCTTATCACAACATATTCCTCAAGAAAAGAAAAAGGACATCAATTCTAATATGTCATTGCAAGCGCACAGCATGAGCGACAGACGTACATCGTACACTCCGTCTTCGTTTAACATTGTAGAGCATGATAATAATAAAATAATTATCATTTTCGATTATTAAGTCTTTGGGAAGCTCTATCAATAATAAACACAGCATTTCAAATAGATTTTAGTATCTGTTAAGAGAAGAGAAGCTGTTTAAATTAAGTGTAGTCATTCTTGTAAATTTATAAAAATCATTCATAACTCTTCACGTCAGTTGATGACATAGCAAGTATGATTAACTCAAATTTCTATTTAGATATATTGATGATCAAGTAACACATGCTCGAATTGAATTAATTGCGAGCATATTTCGTTCTAAACATGGTCCTTTATTGCAACGTTTACGTTATACATATCGAAAAGAACATCGATCAAGTTTTTCAACGTTTGATGATCTGTTTAAAAACTCACCATTCTTCCCAAAAAAATTCATACCAAATGATTACTTATCAGATGCGAAACCTGATAAATTAATCGACGAATTCTTCCTTCTTAATAAACAATTACGAGAACAAAAAAATCCAAAACTTGGTAAACAATTTGCCTTCTTAGATTTATTCATAGGGCTGCTTAAAAAAAAGGATTTATATTTAAGCGTTTCGTATACTACAAAGCACTCAATTAAAATTCATATACATAGTTTTCCATAGCCAATCAAATTCTCTATCCAATGTATTCGAGAAATAAATCTCATCAAAAGATTTATAATAAGGAGGTTTCATAAAAACTCGAGTAAAATGATTTTCAGGTTTAAGAAATGTGTATAAAAATTAGTTTGAGAGGATTACCTTACAGAATTTCCACGCGTGGGCAAAATGAAGGAATCATCTCATTATCTATGAAGTTCTCGTACTTATTGAAGGAGTGTTAAAGTCGGCTAATACACGCAAGTCTATTTGTATTTGCTCTTCGCTCTACCTATATCACCTTGCGTTGCAGAGAAATTCGTACTTCTTACAGTGATACTATTCTAAAAACCATTATATTCTATCTTATAGAAAACTTTCATACAGCTAATTGTGATTCTAAAAAATTCTATTAGAGAACGCATTTGATAGCGAATGCTTTGTAGTATTGTAGAGAAGAAGAAAACAATCAATCTTATAGTTTTGAATAGTCCTATGTATTAATATTCATATCTAACTTTACTTTTTATTACAATAGCAAACAAGCCAATAAAGAAAACCACAGGAATTTATTCCGATAAAGTAAATAATATTCTTAATCGTTTCGATCAAAATCCAACATTAACATCAAGTACATTTCCACCAGCGCCGGCACCAACATTGGTTCTAAAACTTTTATGTTATGATCGAAGTATACTGAAACGACAACCATATTATCTGGACTATCTTGATCCAACATTATATCCACATTTACCTGGATCAACATTATTTCCTGACCCATGTTTATTTCTTGATCATTCGCCTTTGAATTCCTATTCACAATTGCCAACAGAAGAAAATATTTTAATTGCAAAGATCTTGAGCATATGTCATCGTCTTTATGATAAACATGTTTGGGTTGATAGTGGAAGATTTTCAGATATGTGTGATATATTTCATTTACCATCACTTTACCCACATTATGTTTTTCTTGTGCAAATTCCATTGGATTTAATGATTGCATGGCAAAAACATCATCATGATAAAAGAATGGAACAAACATCAACTACAGGTAATTAAAAGTTCGATGCGAATAATAGCAGATCTATATTATGCAAAACCGAGTTAAAACAAGCAGTAGTTTAACGACACCAATGAGAACAAAGACATGTGCCATGAAAAGGGATAGTCCAAAATTTTATAAAATATTTTTCAATTCAAAGATGTTAATAATTCAATCATTCTATTCTGATCTTTTCTTTTCTTTTGTCTTATTAGAACATTTCAAAGCATATTTTATCTCATTTCAATTAACAACAAAGAAAACTATATAATTTTGAGTCACTAACATGAACAGTTGTCAGGAACAAAAAGTTAAAGATTAATATTTAAAATTTTAATATTTCATCGAACTGAAAACATATTTGGTTAGCAATTTTCTAGATGTTAAAATAGTTATAAGTCGTATGACAAAAACTAAGGTCAGTATATACAAAAATAATGACATTCATTGAAATGCATTTTAGAGTAATTGATATAGAATTTTCTTTTTGATCTCGTATGAATATTTATTTAACTATAATGTAGATAAGCTGTTATGATATATTCGTTGAGTGATAAAAATCAACTAATTCTATTCGATTCATATCATCGGTGGGATATTCTTCGATGATCCATTAGGAATGAAGACTTGGCAAAGTAGGAAAAACTAACATTATCAAATTTGGGAATTCTTTACAGAAAAAAAAAGAAGAAGAATCTTAATTTTTTTCGCTTATCTTCAATAGTAATAAAGCATTCACTTAACTAGAGTATTTTAATAAATTTCTGTAATCTAATGTTGTTTCCGCTCTTATAGGTGCTCTTCTTTTATTAATTGATGAATGTAGCATTCTTATACATGGTTCAACATTAGTACGTCAATATGTTAAATTAATGATAACAGATACTTTTGGTATGAATTTTTCTTTCCTCTTAGCAATAATTTTTTTCATGTTATTTTACAATTTAGAAAAAGCAGAATTAAAATTAATTGAAGATGATCTAATTCAATTTGATAAAAATATAACCGATACAATCTATGAAATTCTTAACTACATTGAAAGCTATGTAGAATTAGCATTGAATTTAAGTCTATTTCATAATTGTATTATACTATTGAAGGATCAATGGAAATCATTAAAAAAATATTCAACTATGATGAACATTGAAGAAACGCTGGGTGAAATTTTTTTAAATATTTATGCAAAAATAATTGCACATTTTCATGAACATATCGATATATTTCATTCATCAGTATTGTCGTCGCCAGAAACAATTAAAATAGAACATATTAAAAAGAAGATTCATAGAAAATATCAAAAGAAATTAACTATGACTATTCTTCGTGAAGCTAAAGCAATATACGATGACTGTGCATTAACAATTAATATTTATTTACAAAAACCTGTGTGTAAACGATTTTTGCTTATTCTTAAAACAGCTGGATTTGAAAGAATTAAATTTGGTAAGAAAATTTTAACTGTTATTCTTTTTTAAAGAGATTTATCAATTGATTAGCAATAACGTAGCATTCCAATTACTTGTATTATGTTTGTATTAATTGGATATTTCAAATCTTATTTGGTCTGCATTAATACCTTAGAAATAATTTTTTATTTGTTAAAAAATATTTTTAAATCGAAGTAAAAATATATATTCCACTCTTTTTGATTTTCACGTCATGAAAAAAAGATCATCGCGAGTACAGAAACCTGTTTTGTGTGAAAAAAATAAAATAAAAGTATTTGACCTGCCATTATGATTAAATACAACAGAATCACTTACTGTGAGCACTATTATTCACTATGAAGAAACTATCAGTAGGAGACACCTTGTCTTTTGCAAACGATGATCTTTTTCTTATTTACAGTAATTTGTTTGAATTAGTGTTCTAATCAGAGCTAAAGCAACACACATTGCCACGATTTGATATTATTATTTATTAACACAGAACTGATGAAGTACTGTTCTCAAGCGAGCATTGCTTCTGTGATTGACAATATCTACGGCTAATCCATTTCTTTTCTCGATATGTTCTACAAACTTTTATTATAAAAGAATATACATAACATCCTATGGATATACTTACTCCGAGCGATGCTCCTGTAGATTGTATCAGAAGTTTGTGTCTAAGATAATTCCTTTGGAAAAGATAATTCAAAGATCTAACGTTTATCTATTTCTTCAGTATATTGTGAAATGTATCATCATAGACAAAAACGTTTTTCATTCGGTCTAGATTGACAAAAGAACCTTATCTAAAGAATAAGATAGTAATTGAAGATTATATTTATTTTGTTTCGCTTTTACAGCTTCAGAAAATTATCACAACAGCGGTAGCAACCAAACTGACAAGCGTGCTACTCCAGTATCTAAATGTCTTCTCTTCGCTCCAGCAAAATATTTTAAAGACAAATCAACTAAACTACAAATCGTGCGAATACTATCTTCTTCATTTCGAATTAATACAAGTAATAATTTATCTACGGAATTAAATGATGATCTATCAACAACACAACAACAACTACAGTCTCCAACGTTATCTCAACTACCATCGATTCCAGCATCTGAAATTTCTCCACCACTAGTTTATATTCTTTGTGTACCGGTTTCAATTGAACTCGAATCTGAGTGGCGCGGTGTCACACATCTACTACCTGAAAATAAGAATTTAACATCTATATTACCTCTACATTCTAATTGGAAAACGACAACGATTTTTCTTCTTACTCAACAAACGAATAATCTTGAAAACTTTCAAGAATCATTTAAAGAATGTTTATCAAAAATAAATGTTCAACAAAGCGATTTATATAATTTTGATTCTAGGCCAGGGCAATTGTTACAAAGACGTTCATGTTTCGAAAAAGTTGATAATGCTATGAGAAATTTAGCTCATTCAATTCTAAACTTAAGTAATTGTATTGCCAGCAACGTGGAAACTTTCGAAAAAATAATCGAAAAACTCGATACAAAAGATTATGTTGTAAGTAGCATATTAATAATTTTATCTTCTTAAATCTAAAGTCGATGTACATGTAGTTCAGATTATTTACTAATGCATAGGGGTGTCGCGTTCGCGTTCCGTTCCTGAGAACAGAAGCGCTAACCGAGTTCCCGTTTCTAAGAACGAGAACACGTTCCCATTCGTAGGAACGGAACGCTAGGAACGGGGAACTCTGACACCCCTACTAATGCCTGACAAATCAGACGCGAAGTATATAACAAAAAACAAAATAATAAACGTCTGAGTGTTAATATAGTAGTTTCTTTTCCGAGATTTCTAGGATTTTGTATGTCCTTTCCGGAAAAGAAAGATAAACCTTGAAGTCTTTCCGGTTTGCTTTGTGTAAGAGTTAGGAATAGTTCCTTTTTTTATCAGACGATGATCAAATCTTGCCAGTTTATTAATTCTAAGGAGACTCAACTTCAAGGAATTCCATTCGGATTTCATTTACAGTTTTCTTCTTCATTTTTAGCAAATTTTCTATTTATAAATCTCTAGAGTTTTAATCTATTAAGAAATGAATCCAAAGCATTGCAAGCATAATGAAATATACAATTCGTTTTATTCGATTTATTAAATTTGAAAACAATAAGAAGTTAAATAAGTGAAATCATTTTTATTCTGTTTTTGGTAATGTTATTTCACAGAAATTCTTTTTTTCTATTGAAAGTTAGACGTCAAATTACTGTAAGATTATCTTCTTTTTCCTTTTGATTGAAATAAGGCAAGAATTTTTCTGTCGCTTTTTTGTACGGCTCTATTTATTTTAATCAAGCAAATAAAAGAACGATTTCTAGTAGAAATGATTTGTTGCTTTTACTCTCAAGTATCTTTTTTTTCTTTTTTTTTTTACTGGCAGCATTTTCAAAATGTATGCGTCAGCATTCCGAGAGCACGGTTTCCGTAAAAAGAATACATGAGTGACGTCAAGTCCGATGTTTCAATCGCAGATGTTCATAAGCTTTTCTTTTTTTTTTTGTAATTTGAGTACGGATCTTCTTTTTCCGCTTTTCTCATTTCTTATCTCCATTGCTTATTTAGCATAGTGAAGAACGTGCATTTGCATTCGGTATGGATGTTATTCGTGAAACGAGTTTCTATGCAACACAATGCGAACATAATACGCTAAAAATCCAATCTGAGAATCAATTATCATTTGCAAATATTTGGTTGAATTTTGCTCGTAAAAAGAATTCCACACGAACATCAAAATATCCCATAACGATTCCGATGTGGTTATTGCCTGGAATGCATTTTCTTCGCCATGCGTGCTCATTACATTTTGCAAACCATGTTGATAATGATTTATTTTCAGAATTTTATTATAATATGGTAAAAACGATTAAATATTTAAACAATTCAAATAATTATACTCCAAATCAAGATAATAGATTCTCAAAAACATTTCAACACTCATCAGTAACTAAACATGGCTATGATAAGAGAAAGAAAAAGAAATTACAATTAAATAGAATTGAACAAATTGATCATTTAGAGAAACGTATTGATAAACGACGTCTTGATGAAGGTCTTATTGGAAAAATTATACCTATTTGTAAATCGTCGACTTTATCAAAGAAAACGGAAGATGATTTAGCATACTTAAAAATACGCAATTTTCATAAGCTAAATCTTCTGTCACGCGGACAATATGCAACAAGTAAGATTTCTTTTTTTCAAGCTATTGAAAAATTATTTACTTTTTCGCGCATTGCCAGATTCGAACTGTATAGTTGTTCAAATGTTACTTGTTTCGAGTTTAAGAGAACGAATATCTTAGTTTTCATTTTATGATGATTCGATTTTTGAATAAATTTCGGCGACTTTCTCTTCCGGAGAGAGACGCTCTAGCCACTGAGCTAAACGCGCATACCTAGCTGTGAATAAAAGCAACATCAATAAAAGTTTATTTTTTCGATTCCTTACATTGTACCGATTCTATTCACTAATGTTTAGAAATGAGGTTTTTAATAAAGAGAAATCAAAAAAGCCTTTTTTCTACGTTCCTATATGAGTACGTTAACTTATCTGAGATATTTCGAAATCTTGAACAAATCTTGAAAATTAATTTTTGATTTGTTGATAATGATTCATTAGTTCCAATGAGTGAATTGTCTTAATTGATCTAATATATTTATTATGACGGATACAATATAAATAGGATTAGTCACAAATTTTTTTATATAATTTAAAAAACAAGCTTGGTACTTATAGTGTCTACGATTATATGTTGCCGCGTCATTTTCTATAGCCTCTATTAGCTTCTAGTTGCATTTTGACCTTTATTAATTTTCACTGCCTAAGAAAATGTTATATATAGATAATATTTACCATCTACGAATGAAGATTTTTTTTAAGAGCTTGATACATCATATTCATATTTGATGTAAACCAATGCATAGAGATTAATAAAATTAGATAAATCTTTAAAAGATTATTTTCTAGTAATTGTCTGTATTTTACGATAGAATTATTTTCTTCAGTTTTTACTATGAAAAAAGGGTTGAATATACAAAATTTCAGGTTAAAATTATGTATTTATGTTTCTCATAGATACATATATTCAATACAACAGTAGTTATTCAAAACTTTTAAGGATTACGATTCAATGCAAAGAAAAATAGATGCAACTAACCTGTTTATATTCAATCAAAAATACGTTGTTTTTGCTCATTGAATAATTGTCTGACAATTCATTTTCTACATAATTTCATTTCAAAATCTTAATTAATAATACCATCGATATGTCTCATATTATAATATTGATACATTTACAGAAAATTTTGATTTTCTTCTATTTTAGCTTACAAATGTACAGTAAATAGAAGCGATAAACAAGAAATTCTCTGTTATAAGCAATATAAAATTCAACATAATAACGCCCAAGCAATTGCAAAAGTTCTCGAACAACTTATACCACTTATGCATATTGACCATGAAAATCTAATTAAATATCATGGCATTGCACTTGAACATGATCATATTTTATTTTTTATGGAATACTGTAGTCACGGTACCATAGCACAACTTCTACTTGGCACATCGTCATTGTCAATATCGCAGACAGATATGCATCGTCCGTCGGCATCATACATCGATATGCACCGTCTATCAATATCTCATGCCGATACACGTCGTACATCATCTGTACTAAGTTCAATAATAGATACATCATTTATTGATAAAGATATTGTTCCAGCATCAGCTGGATTTTCTTTTTTTAAAGAACCTCTTGTTCAACGTTATCTACGCCAATTATTATCTGCTTTATCTCGTTTACATGAAAAAGAAATAATTCATCGAGATATACGTAATGTTAATATATTTCTAACAGATTCAACGAAGCAATCAATTAAATTAGGTGATATCAATTTTGTTTATGATTTTAAATTTATGAAAAAACAGCCTTTATTACTTGACATGGAAGCTGTGATTAGTAAACGTGAATCAATTGTTTTTTATGCCCCAGAAACGATAACACAAAATGAAACAACGATTAAATCGGATATTTGGTCTTTAGGTTGTACATTAATTCATATGTTAACTGGTCGTATACCATGGAATAATCCAACGACAACATCAAGTGTTTATTATTTTAGAGTTTTGAATTGGATTGCTGATGGCGTTCGTCCACCAATTCCAACTGATTTAAAACTATCAAATCACTGTATTCATTTTCTTGAACAATGCTTCCAACACGATCCTACTCGACGACCATCATCACAAGAACTACTTGAACATCCCTTCGTGAAACTAGAGTAAATAGACGTTACATGGTATTTTCATGTGTTATTATTATTATTATTATTTGTTTTTCGAGACGAGTTCTTTTTTTTTATTTTTCTTTCTTTTTTGTATAATTAGGTTGAGAGTAATAAATATTTTTTATGCGTTTTTCTTTTTCATTTCGTTGTGCAAATAGACATTTGTTTTTTCTTGCGTGAATGAAAAAAACAAGACGATGAAATATTGACTATTGCCTCATTATATTATATTGCATTCGATCTTTTAGATAATGCATAAGTTTTATGCAAATGTTGAGGCCGAAATATTGGATTTTATTCAGCATTGTCATAGTAAGTACAGAAAAATAACTTGTATAGAACTGAAAGAGAAAGTATTTTAGTTAAACTAAATAAATTTCATAGAAGTAATAGTTTCAGGTTGAATTTATTTTCTAAAATTAATCAGTTTCTTTTCTATGAGGCTTTTGTATTTAAAAAAATTAACTTGGAAAAATTTAAAAAAGAAACATTGTACATCTCTGTGAGCTCAGTTGGAAGAATTGAAAATTATAAAACTTATTGAAAAGAAAGTATATTACATAATCTATTCAAGTATACAAGTTTTGCATACTGTCGTAAGCAAACTATTTTTAGTATAAAGAATAGGAGTATTCTCATCATGTTCTTCTGAAGAGATTGAGTTTTTCAATAGATCTGTAATGTTTAATTTTGTTTTTTCTTCTTACAAACTCAATTTTTTACGATAGACATATTTTTCTTTTATCGTTTGAATGCGTTCTGAAAAAAATATTTTTTTCGTGCATTAGAATTTGACATTTGTTCACAGGAATAATTCAGTAAAGGAAACCATACATGAAAACGAATATCAAATTATTGTAGAAATATTATGTTTTCCATAGGATCTTCGCATAATAGAAATATAGGCATAAATAATATTTCAATATTTCGAATTCTTAAAGAAAAATTTATAGATTGCTCCTTCTCATAAGTAATTATAAAAGAAAAATTTATTTCGTCATTTTGATAAACAACACATCGATTTATATTGGCAAATATATTGATGAACCGAAATTCAGATAAATAATTTTTACTATCACTGGTCAAAATTCTATTTCTGAAAGATTCAAAAATCCTTTATCGAAGAAAATAATATTTTTTCACAATCAAAAAATATTTATGTAATCACTACTAATTTGAATCAATTAATTTATGGTAGCTGATAAGATTGATACCTATGTATTTTTGACATTTTAGACTTGGCAAATACTATGAATATATCGCCAATTCAGTCTTCCATTCCATGTTTAACAAGTGCTTCGTTTGACACATTTTCACTTGCCATAGAACATTTAAATATATTTACTAATTTTCTTTCGTCCTACACCTCAGATATGTCCATCGAATATGATCAAATAATATCTATTGTTTCCCATTGTTCTGATCTTGTCAATTATGTAAATAATTATCAATATTTATTTGTTGAATATGCCATTGATGATTATCTTTATCTTGATGAACAATTTGATTTAATCTACGAAAAAACTCTTGAAATACTTCGTCACATTCATAATTTAACAACGATCAATGCCGAAATTTATTTTCTGGAACAAAAACTTCAATTTTATCTTCCATCAGATTATTTAAATCATATTACATCTTCATTATCAAATCGAATTGCTGCGACACTTATTGATCAAACTTCTCAGTTATTTCTATCATCGTATAGTTCATTATCAAATAATCACGATGAAGATGGTGATAATGAATGTACAATAGCATCTAGTTTACTATTTAGCACATCGCCTATATCAATAAATATTGATAGTAACAATGCAGCAAATAATTCGACTGATAATACTGCTGATTATTCTGACTCATTATTACAATTAGATAAAATAAATATTCGTACAACAGCAATAAAACAGTCTCGATTTGTACCATTGTTTCAATTTGATTTCAATGATTTTGATCAAATTGAAAATGATTTAAGTAAGAAATCATTTCAGATTAAAGAAATCACTTTGATTTTCTTTGTTTTTTTTTTGCAAAGAAAATTTCGATAGTAAAACTATTTGGATGAAAATTGAACGAGAATTTTTTATGAATATTATTTCAATATTGTCAAATCAAAAGTTATCTATTCAAACAATAAATCCTTGGTCAAGTGAGGTATTTTGGACATTAACAATGTATTTAAAATATGCAGATATATCTTTTAAATCTGAATTTTTCTTAATTACACAATGGTGTTTATGTTTGCTAACAATTCAAGCTTACAATCGAGATTGGGATTTACGTAAGTTATGCATGTATTATGCTATGTGCTATTGAAAGGGTAGGAGAGTCTCTGCTACGACCATAAAAGACTATGAAACTAATGTAAGTGTTTTTGCCCGACTATCCTCATAGTGAATTATTTAATATAGAAAACTAAAAGTTTGTTTTATCTTTTAGTTTTAAGTAAAACTGTAGTTAATACAATCATGGCAAACCGTTGGGCAATAGTATCGGTATCTGAACATATTCATTTAAGTATTGTTGGTCATTGTCTCAATCAAATGTTTCTTCGTCTCATACGAATTACATCAGTTCTACAATTTATGAAAATTCTTTGTGAACAATCATCATATTTAAATGTAAGAAAAAAAAATAAACAAGATTTTGTTTAAAATAGGAAAAGTTCAAATTAATTTACTTTAGACTTTTCTTTCAAATATAACTTCTTCCAGTATATATCATTTAACGAAACAAATCGAAGGAACATTCCATTTATTAATTATATGGCTAAATCAACATGCAACTGCGTTCATCAATGGTAATGCACTGGAACGAACATTAGTCATTTGTAAAAGTGATCAAATTGTTTGTATTTCAATCGTTTGATTTTTCTTTTAAAATTTGAGATATTTTCTTTTATACTTAGCAATTATCAATAACTGTTAACAATTTATTAGAAGTATTGCAACAAGTAGAAAATTGTGACAAAACAATAAATCTAGTTAATCATTTAAATTCCTCGTGTGAAGTATGTGCTAATTACAAGAACTGTATTGAATATCTTGATTTTTTTCTTCTTAGATAATTGTAAATGAAACAATGTCAAAATTATATCAACGTATTCAAATAAATACAACGAAATATTTTGATAGTCAATTACCATTAACAACAAATGAATTATGTACAAGTAAGAATTTTATTCAAAAAACGATATTAAATTAGAAAACAGTAAGGAAAATTATTCTGTTTTTATCTTTTAGTTAGTCAAGATAGATCATATATGATTATTGCATGCGATAAAATTCTTAAACCAGTTTTAAGTCAATGTGAATGTCTAAATATCGATAAAAAACTTGATATTTATGAACGAATATTTTCATCGTTCATCCAAGCGTGGACATCGATATTACGTGATAGAAAATATTGTTTCTCGTAAGAATGTGTCTTTTCAGTTTGTTGAAAATTAAAATTTTATGTTTCTTCTCTTTTTTTAAGCGATGAAATAACAAGTTTCCTACAAAAAGACTATGAATATTTACAAACATTTCTTTCAATGAATATATCCGACGACAATATAGTTCAATTTTTAAATAGATCATCGTCGATTCAAGAAATTTCATTTATTATTGAAGTATTACGGAAAGGAGAAAAACATGGATCAGAATCATCTAGTATGAAAATAATAATATTTGTGGGAATAAAGTTAAATAGATGAGATTCTATTATTACTTGGAGTTATTCGTACAAAGAAGAAAAAATATAGAATCGAATAGATTACTTAAATTTTCCGGATTATCGACATAGGAATATATTAGTTATTCATGCATAAAAACTTTTTTTCCGTTCGCGCCGAAGTTAAAGTTTGTTTTGAAACTCTTTTCGGATCGTAATTGATCATTCTCTATGATAATAACATTTAAAATCTATCTAATATCAAATTGCATCTTGTAAAAAGTTCGTCTATAAATTATTAATTTCAAACGACATATTTTTACTTTTAATAAATAGCTACATTGTTTTTCTAGTCTAACATCGTTTTCTAGGCAGCTTATTTTCTATTAATTATGCTAAGGCTTTTTAAAGACTCATTAATGCACGCATGATAAATTTATCTTTCTTGCGTATCTTTTACTTTTGACGATAGTTGTCGATCATATACAAGCGATACATTATTTTTCACTCGTTATTCATTTCTACATTTAATTTCATCATAAAATATTTCTGCTTGTCCTATAAGTTATTATTGTATTTGATAGTTTCTTATGACGCGTGACTTAGGTTTTACCTCAATACTTGAGTTTATGTTTTTCTAAGTGAATACCGAAATATGCATACTTATGTTATTGAAGACAGATACAATTGAAAAAGAGCTTGATTGACAGGCGTCACCATTGGTTTAGCTTTACATGTATATAAGCAACTTGGAAAAAGAAGAGAAACTATTCTATGATACATAATAATTTTTAAAGGGAAAATAATCTGCAAGTTTTAAAAAAATAGCTTTCGTTCAAAAAATATTCTATAAATGATATACAGCATCAAATCTTAATGATAGTTCATTTGATTCTATAGATAGACTAATGAATTATGAGGCAACTGAACTTTTCTAAATAAGCTAAAATTATATCAAAGGAATCGACTTCTAGAAAGATTTGTGAAACACGATCTGAAAGGAGTGTTGAAGTATATAGGGTAGAAATTTGGACCCCCCCCCCACAGACAGTGACAGAGAAATTAATTAATTAGTTAGCTGGTTAATTAATTAATTAATTTCTCTCTCACTGTCTGTGATGGTGCCTGGATTCTCTGTCACGCTCTGTGATGACTTCTGAGGTCTCTATCACGATCTGTGCTGGTGCCTGGATTCTCTGTAACGGCCCGTGATGCCCTGTGAAACCTCTCTGTCACAGTCCGTGATGGCTTCTGAAGTCTGTTTAACGGTCTGCGATGGTGGTCTCAAGAGACTCCACACATCATAATACAGACCATGACAGAGAAGTTCCACAGATTGTGGTAGACGGGTTCCACAAACGGACCTTTATTGTGTTTCACATTTTAATCCCACAGGAATTGCGCTAACAGCTTTTTATCAACAGAAAGATTTTCTGTTTGCCCGATGAATTAATTAGTTTTTATTTCCATAGTCTCTAATATTCCAAATCATGACAAATGGTTTAGTTCCAGAAAATCATCTTCATCATTATTTCAATGTGTTCAATATTTATGTTGCTGTCAACGACGTAACCGTGTAATGACAGGTTATTCATAGAGAATAAAAAAAAACTTTTTTTCTAAATATACTCTTCACATCCTACTCGTATTATGTCAGGTTAATTTGATTTTTTTCCATTCAACTTTTATCTGTGCTATATTTGTTTTAAATAATAAAAAATAAATATATATTCTGTAAAATGCGTGCAAACACATTATTAATGATAATGAAAGAATAATAAGAAGCCATGAGAAAATTTTTAAACAGATTCAAATTCTTTTTGCCATTGAGTATATTTATCTTTGAAGGCACGTGCTGATGGCTTTGTTGTTGATAATACTTTTTCAACATCAGCTGTTGTTATTGAATCAAGTTGTATACATTGTCCTAGTTCTAAATCTAGAATCAAAATAGATATTATGTGAAAATCAACTTGTTGTCTCTTATATTTCTACTTAGTTGTTTACCTTCATTAAGATTTTCTAATATATCGAATATTTTTCGTACTGGATTCATTGCTGCTTCTTTACATACTAATTTTATATCTGCACCCGAATAACCATCTGTGCACTAAAACATGAAAGAAACATATTTTTGAAAGAGAATAAAGAAAGAGATAAAGACACGAACATTGCCCAAACGAGCATAATCAAGATCAGAAAATAGCACTAGACCATTAGTCTCGCGAATGACAGTTGGCGGTAAAAATTGCTGGAACATCACTTGACGTGCTTCTTTTGTTGGCAAATCAACCAAAACCCGCTTTTCTAAACGTCTTAACATTGCATGATCAAGTTCCCTAGAAAGCGGAAACCATTCTTCTTTAATTTTATCTAATAATAAAGTCTTTTATATAAAGATAAAAAGAAATTCATACCAAGGTAAATTTGATGCAGCAAGAAGAAAAACAAGGTCATCAGATTTAGCTAATCCATCAAGTTGAACAAGCAATTCAGTTTTCATTCGTCGACTACCTTCATGTTCACTGAAGTAGATTAAAAGAAGAAAAAGCAATTTATTCGAATGATTTAATTATTCTGTTTGATCGCTCAAGAAAAACGAAATGCTTTTTTTGGTTTTATTAATTTCTCACTTACGATCCAGCATTACCACCTCCACGTTGACTCATTATTGCATCAAGTTCATCCAAGAATATTGTGGATGGTGCATGAAACCGTGCTAATTCAAATAGAACGCGCACTAGTTTTTCAGAATCACCACGCCATTTGCTAACTATCGTTGATGCTGATATATTAAAAAACGTCGTTTTACATTCAGTGGCTACAGCTTTAGCTAATAGAGTTTTTCCAGTGCCCGGTGGACCATATAGAAGTAAGGCTTTCCATGGTGATAAAATTCCAGTAAACAATTGAGGGTACTAATTTAAACACAAACAAAAATAAACTAATGATTTCCCGACTTTATTTTTCTCTGTCGTACTCGTATCGGATAGACAACTGCTTCTTTTATTGTGCGTTTAGCAGCATCAAGTCCTATAATAGAATCCCAACGTACACTTGGATCATGAAGATAGATGTCCTAAAAAAAATGTTTTTTTCTTTTCTTGTTTTGATACTTTGATTACTTTCATCATTTGAAAAATAAAAAAAAATCTCTTGAGAATTTTCACTCGGAAAGAAACTTGTGTTCATATCATCATACACAATTAAGTCAATGACAGAAGTCTATTTATTATATTGACTAGAATCGTTTGCACGGAAATCTTTTATGACAGTTGGAGGTCTTTTTGCTTTTTCTGCTTTTTTGTTTAAATATAATACGTGTTTTTGATAAGCGGTTGATTGTCAACGTTTTTACTGTCATAAATTACTTTCTTTCTTCGTGTCAAATTTTCTTTTTGAGTTTTGAAGCCGTAGAAATAGAAAATACTCGTGAAAAGAAAATATTTAATAATTGATATTAAGAAAAAGAAATGAACGATGAAAACGGAATCAATTAAATTGATTCAAAACATTGAACAAGAGTTCAAACATAGCGCTTTTCACATAAAAAATGAAACGAATATAATTTGATTCGCCTATTAGATTCAAGTTTATTTACATATGACGTCATCGTTCACAAAGAAAACAGCAATATGTATATATGTAAGAAACATGAATGAAAATTTATGAATTTAAGTGACCTCAATAACAGAAAACAATTATAGCACATTTATACAAGCTACGCTTGTGTACAGAAAGAATTCTTTGTATTATATACATCACTGTTTGATAAAGTTATAAATCGATTTAAATTACACTTTTGGTAAGTTCAAAGTAAAGAAGGATAACTAAGATTCTTAATGTAGCTGATGAGAATCTATTTCTTTATCATCGATAATATCAGCTACGTGTGATCATCACACCATAGATCAGAGAATGTTCACATGTGGAATTAAAAAGTTTCATGACTACGTTTAACTTTTCATGTGAGTCATCGAATTCAAATTGATACAGATGCTCAGTTTAATCAAAGACATATTAACACGTGAACTCTATTGTCCACTTCACAACTGCTATGATCTTAATCCTAGTCTTGGGGCGTTTTTTTCCTTTCAATAGTATAACACCAAAACAAAATTTGAGTCTCGACTCAAGTGAAATCGAATCGAGTTTACATGCTTCTTACTTCCTTGAACAACTATCGACCTTTACCTAGTGATTGATACAACAAGCACGTAAGGTCAACATTCAATAGTGACCGTTATGGGTCATTTTTCGCGTGACCTGATCCTTTTCAAGGTGAAACTTTACCTTTGTGAGAATCCTTTCGGTCAATATGAAAACTTTACTGCAAGCAAGATGCACTTACATTCTGTCAATTGTATTAGAAGAGAAGAAACATCAATAGGGTTCTCTAAACATTTAAACCTATCCTTATAGATGACGAGTCATCTTTCTTAGGGTAAAGTCAGAATATCTTTTATTACACTAGTTCAAGTTTTCTGTCAGTTTAACATAAACTTTGAAGGATTATCTAATGACCATTTGACATCTTGCACGTATCTGTCAACGATTATATTACTATGCAGACATCGTTTAGAAAAATTTCACACAAGTAAACTTTCAAGTGTTTTATTTTTGTTGCCTTTCATATAATATTCATCTATCAAAAAAGAAAAACAAAACATATGATGATGAGTCATTAACTAAAAGAGTTTTCTTTTTTGTTTTGTTTTCATCTTCTATGATATTTGAATGGAACCACAAAATATTCTATGCCGTTCATTGTCTTGATTCTCTGACATTTGTTTCCGCGTAGTTCATTTTTGACCTTCTCATTTGTGTTCTTCTCATCTCTTCTTTTCTTTTTGTTTCTCTATATAGACTCTCTGGAGAGGCGAATAAATGAGAATAAAACTTGGTTGTAAAGCTCAAGAGAGAGCATTCTTATTTAATTCAATAATTATTCTATATTCTCTTTTGTGTTTTTTGACTTGTCATCTATATAATTTTCTTTTTCCATGCACACTAACAATATAACGATAAAAATAGATCAAATCTAGCGTCATCCTTCGATGCACGCATATAAATGACATGAATAAAAAAAAAGAGAAGGAAAAGAAATAGAACAGGTTTTGCCTAAAGGTGCAAACAACTGCTGGCAAAAAAATAATAGAAAGAAACGCATCTCCGTTTACATTCTCATTCGAACGCAGCAGGTGAGAAAGGAAAAAAAGAGAGAGAAAGAAAGGGAAGAAAGAAAAGGAAGAACTGACAAATACGATCGCCCGGTGGGATGTAAGAGGGCAACGAAGAGAAAAAAAAAGAAATAATCAAGAGGGAGAAAGAGAGAGAGAGAAAGAGAAAAAGAGAAAGAAGAAAAATAGACTTCGTCCAAATAAGATTCACATTCATTCATTCTGTTCTCTATTCTTTTGCTTCTCTTCAGTCCGTCGAAAGCGCTCACATTACAACCAACTCGACGCGGCATGTTTGCCCACTAGTTATCTTCTTCTTTTACTTCAACGAAAGCAACAACAGACGCGACCAGAATACAAGTATCAGGAAAAAAGAAAAAAAACAGAAAGAAGAGAAGTAAGCAACAAGCGTGGAATAGCTGAGGAGATTTTTTTCATCATTCCTGTCAAGACATATGTATATCGCTCAATTTCTTAGCATTTGTCAGATTAAACTAAAGAATAGAATTTACTAAAAAAAAGAAACCACGAAAAGGCATAAATTCTTAATTGAAATAAATGAAAAAATATTTTTTTAATTACAATATTTTTATTATTATTTTATTTTAGTTATATAATGACGAGCAAGCGTGATGTTTTTGTTAAAACAATAGCAACACGTCGCAGTGTCTATTCTCAAGATCGTCTGGAACAAATTCTAAGTGAATCGATTCAAGCCAAAGAAAAAGAGCCGGGTGATCGTACAGCCAAAGATTATCGACGTATAAAACGTTTCGATATTGTTGATGTACAAGGAAAACAACGACTCGTTGCTGCACGCACAGATAATGATGATAAAGAAATCAGATTTTTTGTGTCGATTGAAGAAATGTATGATATTATTGATTACACGCATAAAAAAATGAATCATGGTGGCCGTGATCGTTTATGGCCAATATTATCGAAACAATATGCAAATATTCCACGCGAAGTTATTCAAACTTATTTAAAAATGTGTGATTATTGTTGTAAACGGCGTAAACGTATTAATACCGATAGTACAAATGAAAATACAGCTAATATTATACACAATGATACGAATCATTTAATGGATACAAGTTTAACGAACATTATTCATGATATACCAGCAATGCAACAAAAAAATATTATTAAACATGAACAACAACAACAACAACAACAACAAATAGTAACATCATCGCCACCTATTGTTTTACATAATCATACGAATGCTAGTCTTCATCAACAACAGCCGATCGAAAATATTTTTGATGGAAGTAAGTATACACAATGTTCTGATTAGTTAAGATTTATGTCAGTCCTTATACGTATGATAAAAAAGGGCAATTTATTTAAAATTGATATACTGACTGTACATTTTGAAATCCTTAATCTTAGTCTGTTTATCATAAAATCTGTCTGTGCAAAAAATAAGAAAGCATTTCTGGGAAACAATGAAAACTAAAATCTAATTTCCTCTGTGCAGTTAACTTAAGTCTAGACAAGCGATAGTGTTGACTACTACTGTCTACTATTCTTATTTTTTCTTCTTCTAGCAAATACACATGTAATGAATCGTTTATGTGAATATGATTTGATTGATTTGCAAAATGCTCATGATGGTGATCATGGTTTTGTTCTCGTGTATCAAGATTATTTAACAAAATTTACTCAATTACGTCCATTGAAAAGTAAATCCCCTGCTGAATTAGGCACAACATTAATGGATATATTCTGCATATTTGGTCCACCACTTGTTTTACAATCCAGTGCTGATCTTCATGTTGAAAATTCCGCGATACAACAAACACTCGAAGCTGTTTGGCCCGGTAATTAGTTTTGATAAATAAGAAAAGTTTAAATGTATCGATTAACATTGTTCCACTTTAAGGTATTCGTCTTTATCAAGATGATTCGTCTCAATGGCGTGAAACTGCTAAAATACGTAATGAACAAATTCGTTCAATGATTGCAGCATGGATGTTTGTCAATAACAATCCACGTTGGTCATATGGCTTAAAATTTGTTCAATTAACATTAAATTCCAATATAAATAATGAATTAAAACGATCACCTTATGAAGCATTATTTAAAATGTTACCAGTTTTAAGACCAGCAACAGTTACACTATCATCTTCAACAACAGATACATCATTACAGCAACAGCAACAACAAACACAGCAACATCATCATCATTCCCAATTACTCCATCCATCAGCTGCAGTTGTACCACCATCATCACATTCCCCATCGGGTAGCGCTAATGACGGTGATTTCGTTACACCTAATGTGAATATTCTTCCTTCATCAATATCATCATCGGATCGAATAAAAGCGGAAATGTAAAAAGAAGTCGTTAAACAAAAATCTCTTTGTACAAAAACATAAAACCAAAATTTTCTTTTTCTTTTTGTTGTTGATGTTCATTTCTTCTTTGTTGTTATTTTTCTTTTTTCTGTCTCAAGGAGTCTCTCGCTCTCTATATCTATCGAACTTGATATGAAGAATGATGATGAGAAACTTTAAAAAAAATTCATAAAAAATACTTAAAAAAAAAACTTTTATCCATTACAAAAAAACCTGTTTTTCTCTTCCATATGAAAATTTTCGTCTTTATATATTTTTCTCCTTGATCCTTAAAAAAAGATTTCATTACTTGCGCAATCTCTATCTCTATTTCTCGTTTTGGTTTTTTTTATACGCAGCGGTGTTTCTCTCTTTCTTTCCATCTGGTCAGGTGTTTTGTGTCTATGTACAACTTAACCGTTCTTTTTTTGTTATATTATTATTTTTCTTTTGTTTCGTGCTTGTAATCATACTAGAGGAGACAAAAAGTGATGAGAAATATGTCTATATGACAAAGAGTACGAGAGAAATGTGATGAAATATAAGACAAAAGGTGGCAAAGAAAGTTTTTAAAAATAAAAATAAAAAAGTAAAAAATAAAATAAATTTATATCTCTTATTTACCCGACTGACAACTTCAGCTAATTCACGCCATTCAGAATTATAACCAGTAAATCCACCTAGAGGTTTCAATAAACGATCCTAAATAAGAGGACATCAAATTGAACGGTGATCGATACAAGATTTATTTACAGTTGGATCAGCATTGTCTTCGACGGGTACACGAAGCGCATCATTTATAATCGCACGACAATCGATTATCGTATTAGGAAACTAAAAACAAAAAAAGTAAAGAATTGCTCATTGTTTACAAAAAACCGTAATCAATTGAAAGGTAGACATAATCTATTTGTTTCTATCAAACTTTTAAGCTATGAAATAATACAATGGAAGGAAATCAGCAAATTTATTTGTTAATAGATTTTTTTTTATTGAATATCTAAGAGGAATTCTAATCGTTATTATTGATAGCAGTCGCACAATCTAATTGAAATTCTATGAATGTTAATTTTTGTTCTGCTTCAGATTTTGTAAAGATTGATACTTGAGTCCTTTTTTAACGGTTAGGCTCATTACTTTTTAATATGCTAATATCAAATAATCTTGCTTTCAAAAATTCCATGAACAATTTTTTGACGGGTCTTTCTTTTTCTTTTTTATAAGTAGATTTTTTCATTACTTCAAACATCAATGGGAATTTTATAAATGTCACGAATGACATGCAGCATATGATAAGGAAAGTTAACCATATTGACTTTTTCACTTTTATCAAAGAATTTACTTTCGAACACTATCAAAGAAGTAAAAAGTGGTAAGCATAAGTGAAGTATGACATATATCAGATTTCTCGTTCACGCAAAAATCTAAAGAATTTATTTCATATGATCGAAAATAAAATTATATGTTATTCATTTCTTTTAAATAACTCAGTCGTACGAAAATTTTTTTCAAAACTTTGTAATTGTTATTCATATAATGGATGAAAAAATTTTCTCTTAAGTACGCAATAATTATCAACTTCTATAATGAAAGTGAGGAAGTACTCAGTTTTGATTGAATTTCCGGACTTGGAAATAGTGACGAAGTCATTCAAGTATGTTTTTCTTTTGAAATCATTGTGACATTGTTGAACCGTAACTAAGGTAGATAATATTTGGAAATTTATATTTTACTTTCTTCTTATTTCCATTTTGTTGTTGTTGTTGTTGTTGTTGCTGCTGCTGCTGTTGTTCAGTTGTTGATGTTGTTGTTTTTACAGAAGAGACTTTCATAAACGAAAGACTCATTTCTTCTAATGAATTTGTCGAATGATTCTGATTATTATTTCCTAGCTGTTGCTAAAAAAAGTAATTTATCAATATCAGTTTTATGATCATTTTTTGTGTTAAATTTATGAACTCACGGTTGAAGTTTGTAAACTTGAGGATGTTGTTAAATGGGCATTGATTTTCTCGGAATTAGATCGATTCAGTTTACGGGTGAAAGCAATCTTCCGTAGTGCATCACCTGCTGATGGTGGACGGGTAAATTGACTAGTAGAAGATGTTGCTGTTGTTGTTGCTGCTGTATTTGCTGTAGTGTCATTTCCATTATTGCCAACACGCGGTAATGATGGAATATTACTACGACGAGCACTCGCTTGGGCACTAATGAAAACAAAGTTTATCAATGGAAAAAACCTAGGTTCTACAACTGACCTGGCTAGTTTAGCAGAGATTTTACTCAAAAATGGAGCTAAAAAGCCAAAAATAATTATATAAATCATATTTCGTCGAAATGAATCACAAACAAATAAAACGCAAATAGAATAATGATTTGAATAAGAAGCAAAATAAATGTATCTAATATTGGAGGCTCAGGTACTGTTTCATATCTTTCTTCCTTTGTTTTTTTTCGGAATGAAAAAAAAAACACGTTTAAATTCTTAACTCTTTGATAATGAGATTTTTGCTTAGATTTGAACATTAACATATACCTCTATGTTCAAAAAAATCATTTACACTTCGAATAGAGTTCTACTCAGTCTTGTCGCACTGTTAGTATAATGAAATGAGTAAATCTATAGTTGTCTATCGAAATTTCGATTCAATTAGACTGAATTAATTTGGCTGATTTTAGATAGAAAGAGTCTAGGAATTTAAGTCGATCATTAAATCGAATATTTCTTCTCGTCTTTGCAATACTCATGCACTATGAAATCAAATACAGATTCTGAACATATTCTATCCGTACAGATACTGATTCGATAAGTAAACGATGAAGTTTTATTTAAAAAAATCAATTAAAATAAAAACTATTTGATTCTTGGAATAAGTACTATTTTATCGTTGATATGTAAAAATTCCTATTTAGCAAAGTTCTAATTCAATATTGAATTTTTATCTAATACGAGTCTACTATATAAAGCAATTACTCTAGCTAAAATATGATTCTTGTAGAACACCATAATAGTTCTAGATTCGGCCAAATCTATCGTAGCTTTGCTTACGAACAAAAGGAAATATTGGTTTCTTTAGTGATACTAATTGCTTGTCGATGCCTTGAGGGAATTCAATCATAATGCCATTTCGAGTTCGTACTTCACGAACACCGTTTGTTCGTTTCGGTTGTATTATGAAAGCAAATAGAATTAACTTACCCGTCGATACATTTTTTTTTGTCAATTTCGGATATTTATTAAATTTAATATAAAAATAAGACCTAATGAAAAACAACAATAGACAAATAGAAAAACATAAAAATATTGTTTTTTTTTAAACTAACTCGTATTCTTGAAGAATTGTGTCAAGATCAATGTTATCACAAACATCATATTTAGTAACATCAAGATTTGTTTCATGTTCAAGTTGACGAGCAGATTCAACATATCTGAAATTAATTAAAATTTGATAGAATGATTCTATTGAAGAAAAAAAAAACTACAATACCCTTCTTCAGCAAGCCATTGAAGTACAAGAATAATTAAATTCTTTTTTCGGTTTTCAACTCGCAAATCATCCTGAATTAAAAAAAACATACAATAACATTGTTTGTTTTTCTTTGAAAGAAAAAACTCATGAAAGTCTTACAGCTTCGCGAGCCGCATGTGTTGTACGAATTGTTTGGTAATTAAGTGTAGCTTCGGCCATTGAAAACGATTTCGTGCGGTTACATCGAAAGTATGAATCAACAGCTGATGCAAATATATATTAGTCCATAAAAGGCAAATTAAAGAGTAACGTTACTTAGTAACCGACATTTTCCAGTTTTCTCCTGCACAATAGATGTCGTTATGCAGATTCGTTGAGGAAAATAGCACTTCATAATAATAGAAATCATAGAAATTGAATTGATTGATTTATATTGTCTTCTCCACGTACATGTATTTTTTAATTTCAATAAATGATCACATATTTATGAGTCATAAAATTAATTTCGAAGTCGAAATTCAAGAATGCATTTGAAATGAAAGTCTCTTTTTAGGCATCTCATATTTGCAGCACATGAAATATATGACTGACCGATTAAAATCTTTCATCATGTTCTATTGTTCTGACTAATTAATATCAAAGAGTTTAAGGAAATCTAGCATGTTATATTTTTCAGTGAAGTAAAATGGGTTTTCCGCTGTATTGTCACATTACGACTGTCGTGTAGCGTCATCCTTATTATTAAAATTAATTGTCTTGAAAATGAAATATATAGATGAATACACCTTCAGATTCAATAAATTTCAATTCTGATTTTTTTTTATGCTAATTTCACTTAAACCAGATGTCATTGGCCATAATGTATTTAACAGTATGGTTAGGGAATCCTCTGTTGTTGATTTTTAACATAATTAAAATAAAATCAGATACTATTTCAGATCGATCAAAATGCGTGGTGATTTAACGGTAAGAAATAAAAATGTGATTAATTTCTTAATTATTTTCGTATTTCTATCTACTTACTAGACAGCACTCAATCCAATTCCATTATATAAACAAGGTGGCGGCGAAGAAAAAGGTGAAATGGCTAGGCTAGTAAGTATCCAAAAACAAATTGTGAAATAGGATTTAATTGAATGTTTATCTCTTCAGTCAGCTTTTGCTGGAGCTCTGGCTGTTGGTGATTTAGTCAAAAGTACACTTGGTCCTAAAGGAATGGTAAATAAACTCAATGTAATTTATTCCGAGTAGAAAACAATGGATGTTCTCCTTAGGATAAAATCCTTCAATGTAATATGAGTGGTGGACCTGATGCTGGTAAATTATTAGTAACAAATGATGGAGCAACAATTCTATCAAAAATTGGTGTTGATAACCCGGTGGCAAAGGTTCTTGTTGGTATGTTTTCATATTTATCAAAATTATTGGTTGACCATATTTCTATAGATATTTCAAAAGTTCAAGATGATGAAATTGGTGATGGTACAACATCAGTTGTTGTTTTAGCTAGTGAACTTCTACGAGTATATTTTTTATTTTTCTTTGTTTTGTATTATCTTAGTTTAAAATTTATAATAATAATAATAATATTAGGAAACAGAAAATTTGATTTCACAAAAAATTCATCCTCAAATAATTATTTCTGGATGGCGTAAAGCAACACAAGAAGCAGTAAGAAGTTTAGAAACTATTACCAAAAATAATAGGTTTGCGACAAAAGCGTTTTGGACGATTTCATAAACATATATGTATATTGGTTTAGTTTAAACGTGGAACAATTTAAAAATGATCTTATGAATATTGCTCGCACTACACTCAGTTCGAAAATTCTACAAGGAAAAAAAGATTATTTTGCTAAGTTATGCGTTGATGCTGTGCTTAAATTACACGTAAATTCATTTTTTCTATTTAATCCTAAGTTAAAAATGTTATGTTCAGGGTAAAACTGATTTGCAAAGTATTCAAATAATTAAACGTTTAGGAAATAATATGAGTGATTCATATCTTGAAGAAGGTAAATTATCAAAATACAAATAGTAAGAAATAAAACTCTATTTTAAAGGTTTCCTTTTGGAAAAACGTATTGGTATAAATATGCCAAAACGTATTGAAAATGCACGTATACTTATTGCTAATACACCAATGGATACAGATAAAATCAAAATATTTGGTTCACGCGTACGTGTTGACTCAGTAGCTAAAGTTGCCGAATTAGAATTGGCTGAAAAAGAAAAAATGAAAGATAAAGTTGATAAAATACTTAAACATGACTGTAATGTATTTATAAATCGGTAAGAAGATCAAATACATCAGTGATTGTTAGTTTGATGATTTTTCGGTTTTTAGTCAATTAATTTATGATTATCCAGATCAATTATTTGCTGAAAAAGGTGTTATGGCAATTGAACATGCTGACTTCGAAGGTGTTGAACGTTTAGCACAAGTACTTGGTAAATGAAAACAAGCAAAAAGACATATTTTCCAATTCTCTTTTACTAAAAATGAATTGATTTATTTAGGTGGGGAAATTGTTTCAACATTCGATACACCCGATAAAGCACGATTAGGCAAATGTAAATTGATTGAAGAAATAATGATTGGAGAAGATAAAGTTATTAAATTTTCCGGTTTGACTTTTTCAGTTGAATAAGAATGATTTATTTACTTGTTCACTCTATGTAGGTGTTGGGCAAGGTGAAGCTTGCACAATTGTATTACGTGGAGCTACACAACAAATACTTGATGAAGCTGAACGATCGATCCATGATGTTCTCTGTGTTTTATCACAAATGGTTAAAGAACCACGTATTTGTTATGGAGGAGGTTTGTTAAAATTTTGATTTTACTTTATAAACAAAACGATAGGAAATTAACTATTGGTTAGGTGCTGCTGAAATGCTAATGGCCAATGCTGTTTCTCAACTGGCCGAAAAAACACCTGGCAAAGAGTCCATTGCCATTGAATCATTTTCACGTGCACTTCGTCAAGTACTTGAATACAATTTGTATTTGCTTTTTGTAATCAATTTTCTTTTTATAGTTACCAACAATTATCGCTGATAATGCTGGTTACGATAGTTCAGAATTAGTATCTAATCTTCGTGCTGCTCATGCATCCAATAAGTCAACATTTGGTCTTGGTATGGACTTCTAATTGATTATTTTTTTGATGAGAAAATATTTCTCTTTTTTGTTCAGATATGGAAAATGGCACTATAGCCGATATGGCTCAACTTGGTATTCTTGAGTCATTTCATCTTAAAAAACAAGTCGTTATTAGTGCTGCAGAAGCCGCTGAAATGGTATTACGTATTGATAATATTATTCGTGCACCACCAAGACCTCGCCAACGGGATATGCGTAATCATTGAGAGTTCAATATCTAGAAGAAGTTTCTTTCGAGCATTATGAACGTTATTTGTTAATTCTCTCATCTAGTATCATTCCATAGTAAATGTTTTTCTTTTAATTTTTTCAGAGAACATCTATGTATGTGTGTGTGTATAGTTGTTACTTTTTAACTTCAGTTAACTTTTTATAATCGCGAATAAAAACATCCTAGAAAGAAAGAAAATTATCTTCAAAATACTGTTTGATTTCATAAATTGTATGCAATTATTATTATTAGGCAAAGTATGCCTTCTTAATATAAAAATGAAACAAATATTTAATTCTAAAACTCGATGAAACTCTTTCGAAAAAAAATTAGATCATTGTAATTAAATTACATGTGAAGTATCTTATATCAGAATTGAATATTATCTGATCAACATTAATGATTTGTTTTTATTTTTTATTATGTTAACAACGAAGTTACGTTTAATATAGAAATTCTGTCATGAACATTTTGATCATTTGAAGATTTTACTTTGACGTTCATCGTCTCATATGATTTTTAGGATGTGTTGCCACTCTCTAGAACGAGTCCATTTCCTGAAAAGCTGCAATTGGATGGTAAATTTATTTGAAAACTTTGAAGAGTATCGGATAAGATTTCCAGCTTCTCTGAAAATAGATTGTCGAAGGTGCAGAAACCTTACGGTTTACTAAACTACTAATTTCAAATAATCTAAAAATACTATGAGAAACCAAAATGGCTAGTAGATCTGAGATATTACCTGAAAGAGTATGCGAGGACATTTTCGAAATTTTCAAAAATCTTTCATCAGAAGTTAGTTGAATTTTTCAACATCGTTGATCTCAATAAGGTTTACTTGGTCGCCGAAGTTGGTTTTCAAAGTGTCAAATACTTTTAGAATATTTCATACAGAGATTGCGATTAGTTTTCAAAAATCCTCATAGGATCAGTTTAAATGTTCAAGTTTTTATATTCTGATCATCGTGTTCGATGTTTTAGAGATTTTCCGATAACTGACATTTGTTACACGTTGAGTATAACATATTTTAATGTAAATCATTCTTGCTATGAAACGTTTTTTATTCGAAATTTGAAACCATGTCATATCCTTGAAGTAATCTAACTCAATTTTTACATCTTCACATTGGTCTGATTTTTTATATCTTCGAAGAAGCCACTCTTTAAAAATGACACGTTTGGTAATAATTAAAAAGTTTTTATTCTCAACATGTGTATTCCGTTCTTCTTTTTTCCATCTAATCAACAATCGATCTTCTCAAAAATAAATAAAAGGCCAAAAAAGACATTCCCTCGATATAACGATGAACGCCATCATCGGTCTATGAAATTCAAACGGACACTAAAAGACTATCGAAATTATCATCGAAATTGTCACGTAGACATAATCAATTTGATGGAAGTCCTGCAAAAGCCTATTGCTGTGTGTTTACGATCTCATCAAGCAATATCAATTTTATGGAATGAATAGCGAGACAAAAACAATCAACTCACACGATACATTATTAATTATGATGTCGATGCATCATATGGCAAATTAATACTAGTTTTGTTTTATTTTATTTTCTGAATTCAAACTTTGAAGTTATTAAGGTATATTTTTAACAAAACAAAATTGATGCATTGATTTGGTCATATTTACGATACGAGCCAAATCATCATAAGCAGATGCTTCAATTTGACACTTAAAGTTCAATATTATTCTTCTTTTCATTGTACATTATACACAAGTGGACAAGATATGTCAGAGTCAGTTTGATATTCATGAACAAATAGCTTTTTCCTTTTAGTTATGCACGACATGATACACTATGCAAGTCTAGTTTCAGGAAAACAAGCGTTCAATATTCTTTTCTTTTGTATATTAGTTCATAAGCCATATTATAAAATATGCCAACGGCTTGTTAAAATATTCTATCTCTTCTGAATGAGTATCACAGCATGAGTAAGTTGCAGATAGTTACACAATCAAAAACGTTCTCTATAGGTTTGCGTGGATACCGAATTTTGTTTTGCTTATAGGGTAGTAAGCCATGATTGATATTTTAATTTTTCACTAACCTTAGATCAATATCTCGCAATGCAACTAAACCATCAGGGAAGCTTAGTAAATAGACCTAAACTATTAAAACTCGTTAAATTTTTATAATCAGCGTAATCAATCGGTGATCAATTATTCTCATGCAATACAAGTTTCTCAGTAATCTGCAAGGTCTAGACAAGTTAATTAAGTTTGGACTATTGTTTTTTTTATCTATTTTAGGAGGAAAGTCAGCATTTATTTATCATCTATGTTTACCTCGTTAAACTATATAACAAAAAAAGTCCATTTTCATGATTATATATTCTAGTATGTTTTATTTATTAGTAACTAATTTTCACTAATCTATATTATTTAGCAAGACGCATTTAGATAAAATCATGCCTGCAAGAAAATGTCAAATTAGATTAGATAGTATTTGACAGAATAAAACAACTCTAGCCAAAAGGAATTATTAGCACGCGTCAATTACGGTGTTCGGATGAACATCATGTACTGGACGAACAATTCATAGAAATGTGGATTTCTCTGATAATTAGTTGGTATAATCAGTCAGAACCAAAAATTCAGATGGAATTTGTGTTGCAGATGAACTAATTTCCCGTTTGAAAATTCTCGTGAACTTCAGTCAAAACGTTTTTTGGTTCAAAAGTCCTAAAATACCTTCTGAAACACCCAGATTATAATGTTGGTAAGCAAAAGAGAGCAATTTGTTTTTATTGAACATGACTGGAATTGATCAGAGTCAAAACAGTTTATCTTGTGATTTATTTAACCGAACATTTTTTAATTCAGATAAACTGGCATGTATCAGGTGCCAACATTACAAGACCAAATGATTACTTCCTTAAATGAAACTGTAAAGTACAGCAACTATTTACTTTTTTCAAGTTTTCAGTATTAGTTAAATACATGACAAGCTTTATCTTCATCGAGATTTTACTGATGTACATATTTCCCTATTAGATGAAAAAAAAATAGATTTTTTTTTTTCATTTAGCAAAACTATGCCGATTACAAAACATAATTCCCTATTAAAATATTATATTATGCAAAGCATTTCCTTGCATTCCATAATTTAATAAAGTATCGTACAAAGTCGTCCTGGCCCTTTCACCTGCTCAAAAACATTGTCATGTCAAATTTTTGTATCTTTATTCACTAGAAAAATGCTACAAAAATAAAATTTTTCTTTTGGTTTTGCTCATATTTAAAGGCCTACCAAAGATACATGTTCTCAACTAAACAATCACCTTGTCAATACTCTACATATACTTCCTAATTGATATTGACGGAATCATAGTTCATATTATAGCTATATGCTGTATGTCAGCAAAAGGTCTAGTCAACTTTTCTCGGATCATTGCTTTGCCTGATATTGATAAGTGCGGCGTAGAACTAATAAAAACCAACAAATTATTTTAGAAAGACTATTAGTTCCGCTGAAGTCTACTTTCATGCGAATTTCGACAAATTCTACTGAATTGATCATACTTATTTACAGGACATAAAATGCGTAATCAACAGCTTTTCATTAATGTTTCATTGAAATTAGATAGGTAAAGCGTTGAATCAATATAGACCAACGGATTATATTTTCACAGTAGTGGCAAACTTGAAACTTGAATTCAGTTGAAAATAGAAAATTTCAACTTTCAACTCATAGCGATATGTGTGTGAGTCACGATTCTTCAGAATGCTATTGGTTTAAAAGTTGAAAATTTTCAATTGAATTCAAGTTTCAAGTTTGACATATACGTACTTTCAGAAAGATCATTATTTCAGTTAAAGTCGATTTGCGAGCTATTTTTTGATTATTTTTTCTAAACTAATCATATTCATGTACATCACACACCCTGAACAGCTTGGTTTTTCATTCATACTGTACTGGACTCCTATGACTTAGGTGTAGAAATCGATTAAGTCCCGAGAATGCAATCTAGAGCTATCACTATTTTTTTTAAGCTCAGTCATGAGTTAATTCCAGTGGGTCTCACCTAACACTAAACGTTTTTAATACTTTTTTCTCTCCGTAATTAAGATCTTTCTCTACAATAAAAAGGATGATTTCCCAAATGTGAATATTAGACTAGATGGGATTCATTGATTTCTGCTAGGAATGAAGGTAATATCAATTGAGTGTGGGCGTGGCATAAATTTGTTCATTCAAAAATATATTCGAGTCTAGACCTAAGAAATCCTATGTTTCAACATATTCTTAAATTACTTCTCGATATTTTATCTAGTACAATTGCACTAATATTATTTAGAAAGAAAATTCCTAACGAAACAATCTAGTTCTATCGAGTATCGATAAATAAATGATAATAACATTAAGAATCACGTGTTTGAACATTTTCCTTGAAGATGAACAGATTCAAAGCAGAAAACAGGACTGACAAATCAAATGAGGAAACCTGGTGATTGTCTGACAAACACGAGAAATTATCTATCATCATTTTGTGTCTAAATAAAGTAACGAATTATACTATTAGAAGGCGTATCCAGAAATTGCATGAAATGAAAAAGGATCGAAGAATTGCTTGAAATTTTTTCCATTAATGAATTCTCTTTCTAAACGCTTGCTATCAGTATACTGAATTACCTTAAAAACAAAAGACCATCAAGACAGTCGACTAGATTTCGTTTTTATTGAAAACTAACAGTCATTCGAAACCAAAATAATGTTTCAATTTTTGCTTAATTATTATATTGAATTGTAGACATTTCATGAGTGAGGAGTTGCAGTACAAAAATGATTGTTTGCTTTCTATACATGCCCAATAAAGTAATTATTGATTTGTCGAAGACCCATTATTTGCAAACAGTTCAAGCGTTAATATTTAAGCCAAGAACGTTTTGCTTATCGGAGAAAAAGAAAATATTTAGGAAGCCATTAATCTTGAGTCTTTCTTGTAAATAAAAAAATTCCTAAGCGATTTAGAAAGCATCCATCGAAATTTTAATGAATAAAAGCGTCTTCAAGGAAATAATTTTAACTCGTGTTTTTAATAAAGCTATTGTTACCATACAAAATATTCTATATTTATTTGTTTGTTTGTTTGTTTTTCTTTATTATTTCTTCAGATTCATTCAATCATCAGATAAATTTATTGTATATAATATCTCTTGTTTGTTTTTGAACTATGCCTATCAAAGATCACATCTGTTTATATCATACTATATTGAAGTATTATTATTATTATTATTATTATTGTTTCTCTTTCATTTTTCTTTTTATACCTATGTATATTTCATTTGTGATAAAAACATTGTAGTTAATCATGAGCAATTTCCGATAGAAAAACAACAATGAAAAAGCGTGTTGTTCCTTGATCGATATTTTCTTATTCAAGAAACTCATCATAAATTCATTTCTTTCCGCTTCTTCCTCTTCTACTCTTTTATCTTACAAAGAATGTAAAGTGATACAAAGGTAGATCACTACAAATTACTCGATAACCTGGCTAAACAAGGGTTGAGAATCGACGTCGACTACGGGGCGTATCTTTGGGGTTATTACCGATATTTACTCCTTTTCTCTCTTTCGCTCTGCTATTCCCTTAGTTTCCGATTGTTCCGTAGAATACTAAGCACGAGTCTAACTAGAGAAAACACGAAAATGCTCTATTAGCAATAATCATGCGTTTTATTCATTTACTAACATATAACACAACAACGTTAGTGAATGAAAAAGAAAAAATACTTTGCTGATTATTTTTTTTGTTATGAGCATTTTTTTTCTTCTTTTTGTTTGATTTATATGCAAAAAAGAGACGTGTCACAAATGATAGAGAAAGAATATGTTTGTAAGTGTGTCTCGTTCTCTCGTTCTCTCGTTCTCTCTCTCTCTCTCTCCCTCCCCCTCTCTTTTCTCACTTTCTCCCATTTATTAAGGAGAGGTTCCAGAGACAAACAGTTCTTTTCTACTTCTCATTTTATCTCTAAGAGAAACAATCCAATACCATTTACGTAAGTTTACCAACACAATGCGTACATAATGCACATGTCTATATGAGTGCCATCATTATTAATCTACACTTGAATGATTCGATTTCCGTTCTTTATCTTCCTATTCATATATTGAAATAGATTATCATTTTATGAAAACATATGTCACCATACTGTAAGTCTAAAAACAATGGTAGTACATTTAATAGAAAAAAAGAGCATCTCAAAGGTGCGATCAATCTTTTTCTTTCTTGCACATTTTCATTGTCTATTCGCGTTTTCGAGACGATGATTCTTCATGAACAGAAAAAACAAAATCGGAGATATATTCAGCAACTAAATCATTTTTACGTTATTTTATACCGTGATATTTGACATAAATAGACATGCATGTTGATTTGTTACTTTTATATTTACAGATCAATCGGATTTTTAGTAAAAATGAAAATTTTCATTGTGTACACTTGTTGATTCTTGTTTTTTTTCTATGTTCTAGTATATCATTTTTTTCTCCTCATTACATAAAGTGAGAAAACTACTAATAAACCAATCGGCCCAATGACTATGATGAAATCGATGCCATCTTTTCTTGCAATTCTCATTTCCTTATTAGCAATCTTGGTAAAAATTGATTCTACTACTGCGATCGCTAAACCATTTGACGGAACTCATCGACCAAGATGGCTAACTGATTCCCATCGTAATCGAATTGAATTATTTAAAAAATGGCTTGGAAATAAACCTACCGGTAGTGCATCCAATGAAGGTTCTTCATCACCTTATGATCTTTTACATCCTGTTCATCAATTTAAAGGTGCGCATTATTGTTGATTATGTTCTCTTGAGAGAATCTTCAAGTTTTTTTTATAGAACAAGACTCATAAAAGGTAGCCGCATGATCTCTAGAGAATAAATTTCATTTTTGATTAGAATATGACCTAAATTCAAGTTAAAATTTGTTGTTAGAAAAGTTTAGTCGAATATTTAGGATGCATTGATCCATCGGAACCGTTTCAATGTCCGCAAAGTGAACGATGCATTGCACTTCAATTTATTTGCGATGGCCATTCAGGTGACTGTCCAGGAAATGTTGATGAAAATGAAGAAACATGCATCGCAGGTAAGAATTTATTCTTCATATAGTACATAGAAATAAATTCGCATACTTTTTATTTTTTGTACTTTAGCTAAGCGACCAGCTAAAGAAAATATTGAAAAATTTCTTCAAGCTGAATATGAATTACATGATTTGAAACTATTTACATTTTTATTTGGAAATAAAATTTCGAAAAGTATCGAAGAAAATAGTCCATTCTGGTTTGATACATTGGCGTCAGCCTTTTCAGGTTCAATTCTTTTCATTTTCATTGTTGAAAAATATTTGTATAAGATAAAAATTAATTCTTGTTTTATGTTTAGTTGCAAAAACAATTCGTAATTTTGCTGAAAAGACACATATGTCTCCAGAGGAACTTACACATTTTCAAAATGTTATTCAAATGATACATGATGGTCGTTTAGAGGAAATTCCTATTTTTGCACAAGAAGCAGTTAATCAAGGTCTTGCATCGCTAGTCGAAAAGCTATACGAATCTGGCTTTATGGACCAATAAATAAGAGAAAACTACTGAATGGGAGTCATTTTTATTAATAACTATATCGTTCTTATAATCGTATGCCTAGAAAAAAAAAGAAAGGAAATAATATATATATATACATATATTTATCTTTGTATTGATTCATGAATTGTTGCTAATTGTTACAGAAACAAGTATAAAAATCAACAAATCAGTATGTCGTTCCCTTTCATTTCATATTTAACAAAAGTTTCTTCAACAGCTTGTATTCTCTTGTCAAGATTATTATTTTATATCTAACTAACAGAATGCTGCATAGCTGGATTGGAGAGTGAGAAGACAGTTTAGAATCTTATTTCTTTTAATAAAAAATTTTCTAATGATACAACGAATTCTAGAAAAACAAAAATTGACTACCAATGATGTTTTGCTACATCAAACAAACTTTTATTTGTATTTGATGGCACTGCCATTTCCAATAGATGATTTCAATATTTATCAAATGGCATGCGCATTAAGATTCTTTTCATTTTGGAGTAAGTTGCACCAAAGTCAAAAATCGAGCAGAAAAAAAATCATTTTATTATTACATGGTTGGATAGGGCCGGATGAGTAGATCATGAATATCACCTTTTAAATGTTTCTAAGCTTACGTTTTGACTGAGAAATTTTCAAAATACAAAATGCACATGAAAAAGTGAATATTTCACTTTTTTCGAGAAAACTCGAAATTTACCTAGTTTAACAATGTTTTAGGTTTAAAAAACTATCATCATCGAATTCAGCATGAAAATCTGAATCTACTGGTGTAACTTTGACCAGTAAAAAACATAAGTTTCATGTTTGAGGAGCTCAACTAGCTTTTCCATGTAAACACGTTGAAATTGATGTTTCGCAAAATTATTTTTTTTGAAAGCAATTCTCGGACTTTCTTACATCATTCGAACCGCCAAGCAATAGCGAACAAAAGTATGCATTCAATTTTAAAAACATTGTTCTTTATCTGAGAAAATTGATTTTTACTAGATCGGTAGCTATAGGTTAAAGAATTGTACTCTTATTTCGAGATTTCGACTATCAAAACTTAATTTTCATGCGAAATAAATATCAGATCAGAATCAGCATAAAAAGCAACATTGACTATCATAAANTTTTTCATGTGCATTTTGTATTTTGAAAATTTCTCAGTCAAAACGTAAGCTTAGAAACATTTAAAAGGTGATATTCATGATCTACTCATCCGACCCTATCCAACCATGTAATAATAAAATGATTTTTTTTCTGCTCGATTTTTGACTTTGGTGCGCCTTACTTTTATGAAAATATTGAATCTAACATACACAATAGTCCAGTATGCAAATAAAATTAGCGTAGTTTACATTTATTGAAAGAAGAAACTATTTCAATTTCATCATGCAAAAAGACATTTTTATCATGAAAGCATTTTAAGATCTAGATTGGTAGACCAACAGCACAAAAAAAAGTATTGGTACAAATATTTCAAATCATATTTTTCAGATATCAAATCATATAAAGATGGTATTAAATAAAAAGCATATCATACTTTAGTACTAGCATGTACTAGTTATTATTCTGTTATACTAACTTGTCGTTTTCTATCAGCATAGTCAGTAGCATTGTTTTCATAGTGTTGTAATATATTCATTATTTAGATGCATTTTATAAGGATATCCGTGGGAAATTTATATTTCACGCGGGACAGTCTGCAGACGGGACTATTTAATTGACATAAGATTTCTAACGCAAATGAAGAGTAATATGATTATATCTATTTTCAGAGTAATATTTTCTTTTTTAGATTTGTGCGTATCAGAAATGAGTACATCACAAGATTCTTTGTCCTATCCTATGTTTTTTATCTTTGTTATGGTTTACGACAAGACCGGATACAAGAATTGTCATGTGCTCTAGTCATCTCTGATTCATACATAGATTGATGTCATACCACTAAATCTAATAATATAATCAAGTTAGAAATACATATCCGATCTCTCTTCGACTATTTAACAATAAGACATGACTTATGAGGTTCGTCAAAAACTCAACACTTTACGATGATTAGTATTTCCTTTTTGATCTGAAAGTGCTGATTGTTTTCAGCACTCGCGATAAAATGATAATAGCTACCAAAGTTGAATGCATATAAAAATAGAATATAATAAATAATTGCCAAAATTTAATGAAAATTAAAGCGTAATTATCGTCTAAGTCGATTCAGTATGTACTAAAAATATAAATGAAAGGCACTTTATTACGGAAAAATAATATATAATTTTTAATATGAATTTCATTTCATTTGATATTTCTATTAGAATCGTAGCTAATTATTTTCTAAATATTGATAATAGACGTCATTAAAACAACGATTTACTCTATTTTGTTGCTTGAAATTTTATCAGCACTTAAATATTTAGTTTTTTTGTGGTGTTGTGATTCATCAGAGAGTCGACAGATGCACGCTTTTCTTTTTCTATAAGAGCAATTTGATCTAATAGTTCTCTAATCATAGTTCATGATGTTGAGAAAACTTAAAAAAAACGAGTGCTATTAAAAATTTATAGTGATGTTTGGTCCCTATAATTTTCAATCAATATCATTCAAGATTATTTTCTGTCCTGCAATCGAATTGGGATACATGATCATGCCATTTAGATGAAGGCATTAGTGCGCTTGTGGAATTGCTACTGCAAAGGTTATCTTGGTCTGTTGAATTAAACACGCATTATTTTCCTCATTTTTTATAGGAAATAATCTTGTTTTGAAGCTATTACTACAACATTCATTTAATACTGTGAGAATGCTTTTCTGATTCATTGTTGCATAAATTAAAATAAGAATTGACATAGAAGAGAAAGGAAACTGAATATGATGTATTTCAGGATAAATCCAAGTTCTGTTGTAATTGTTCCTGTTTGCATTATTTTTATCAAGAAAAACAACATCAAATAACTATAATTCAATTCACATATTTGTACTTAAATCAAATCATGGATAAGTACAAAGAATGGCATCGTACGTACTTTCGATATGACCTGTTTATTTTTACATAGTTTTTACATAGGTTAAGATTTTTATGAATAAAAACATATTCGACAATATTCAATTTCTTTAATATGTCTATTGTCAGTCAAATATGCATTATATTTGTGACTTATTTTCGCATATTACTAGTCGTGAATGATCAAATTGCGCATATAGTTATTTGCTTAAAATATTGCTTTTCTCTTTTATCCTGACGGCAGAAAAATTTTGATTTCATCACTACAATATGTGTCACATCATTTCTGTTATATAATAACTCGATAAGACCATGACAAAGCAAAACAAGTACAGACCTTTATCTAAAAGAAAAGCAATAAACATTGAATAATTTGCCCTTTTGTATTTGCGTTTTTTCTTATCAATACTCGTTGAAAAAACCAATCCCCTTTCTGCCCCTTTTCTCATAATCATCGAAGTTTTCATATTTAAATATTGATCGTGAGTCATATTTGTATCTAGTTAGTGTATGCTTACTTGCAAAAAAAATATAATTACAAAACATTTCGATCCTTTTTGTTTTCTGTTTTATATATTTGTCTGCTACATAAGAACCATAATTAGACCAATTCTCATAATAATTACTAATGAATCGTCATAAAAGATCGAATTTTCTTATTCTCTGTAATTTCGACATAAGAAAAAACAAAAAATATAGAGAAGCAGAGTGTTTTCTTTATTGTACGAAACTATAGTTCACAAGTTTATGTCATAAACATTAGCAAAACAAAAACAAAAACAAGTACAGATAACAAAATTTCTCGTTTCTAATTTCATATCGTCTAAAATCGTTGTCATGGGAAAAATATTTCTATCGGAAAACCAATAATTTTCCTCCAGTGTAGTCCATCATAGGTATCAAACTTCTCCTTGAAAAAAATGGTGCATGTTTATTTTTAATTTTAAAACATCATTGTAATAAAAACTAGCCGATTAATTAACTACAAAAGAATTTATTAAATAGATTATTTATCATTATTTGTTGATTGAAGAATCAACTTGAGACTCGTCTCTGATATAGTTTTATGGCTATACTTTGAATGCATCATGAAATGTCATTAAACTAGATTGAAATATACTTTAGTTCATTGAGATGCGATTGAGTTGTAATATAACTATGACATAAAAAATAATTTCTTCCTAAATAGTAAGCAGTATTGTAAACTTTTTGTATAAAATTTTAGAAAAAAATCTTGTATCTATCAGTAAAAAAAAGGTCAACATTAATGTTCCTATAAGAGATAATACTGGTTTTACCTTTTTCTTTTTTTTTTATTGAGTTTAATTTGCGCTAACTTTTGCCGGGTGAAACAAACTACTGAGACAAAAACACCTGGGCAAATATTACATACTAGTCGACAAGAAAATAACTTGAATATGTTCCTGATGCCATTCTCTTATTTTTTTTCTCCCTTGGCAGACCACACATTCTGCCCACCTCTTTATTGGCAAAGTTGTAAACATTCTAAATACAAGTACTTGAAATATTCTGTCTAATATGCTTTTCACCCAATTTTTAAATTCATTTGATCAAGTGATGCGATGAATATTTTTCAAAACAATATGCAAAAAAGAATGCGCATAAGATGATGAAATATATGTCGATGATTGCATTTAAAAAAATACCCATTCGTTATTCATTCAGCAGGCGTACGACACGCCAGTCGTTATATCGTTACTCAGATACTCTTTTTTTTAGTGTACTTAGTCTTACATATTTTCTCTATGTGACGATTCATAGCAACGACGAAAAGAAAAGAAAAAATTAAAATAAGGCATAAAAACAGGCACGCATGGCCATGCGCACACTGAATGCTACCTAACTAAGTAGAATTGTGTACATTTTAGACAAAATATCAAAAACAAAATCACCTGCTCTCGTGACTAAAATATTCGTTTCAACCCCGGTATATATTTATATAATAAGGGTTGATAAAAGAGTGTATATTCTTGTGAAATAAAGTAATTTAACATATTGTGTTATTGATACAATGAGGTTAGTAAATAGTTTAGCTTTGTATTTATTTATTTACTTATTTATTTAAACAAGTAGCACGATCTTACAAAATTCTAGCAATATTAAAAGTGTTCGTTTCAATTTAACACTTGTTCGACAGTAAATATTTTCAAGATTTAAATAGCTCATTAATGTTTTTTCTTTTTTAAAGTGCTGAGACACATGCAAATGCTGAAGGCATTATTCAAGGTCTTTTAGATACTGAATTATCCCATATTGGCTGTCTTCAAGCTAAAGCACTTGGTCGACATCTTCAATGGCATCGCTTTTCCCATGTGTATTCAAGCAACTTAAAACGAGCAATAGAAGTATGTGAACGTTCTTCTTCTATTATCTTATTTATTCAGTAAAAACACTAGTTCGAGTTGTATTTGTTTTTATCAAGGTGAATTGGTGTTATATTGGCACAGGACGTGTATAGGTTGTTGATGTCATCATTTTATATATGTGTGATATATTTAGTAACACCGTTGTAGTTATCTCTCTGCGGGTTCTCTCAGATACAGCAGAGTACAAATACATGAAAAGTTCGTCGGGTACTTGAGAAAGATTAGTAAATCAGCAAATGTTATTCATAACAAGAAGCGTCCATTCTAATCTTTCTACTATAAGCAGAGGAGAATGTTATGAATTCAGCACGCTACTTAAAACATTATGATACTAATAGAAAATATATTGTGAGATTTCCGATAAAGAAATCTAGTTTTCATGAGTTTTCTCATATTTGTATGCATTTTGTTTTTTTTGTTAGGCTCATCATCTGCTTTGTTTAGAATAAATATCTCTTTAAATTTGCAGACCGCTCGTCAAATTCATTTATTCAATCGTGTATCGTCATGCGAAATAAAATACGATTCTTTACTATGCGAACGAGTAAGTTACCTTGCTGTTGTATTCTTGACGCGTATTATTATTTATTTGAAAATGATTTCAGATGTATGGTATTGCGCAAGGTCAAACACGTCAATGGTTACGCGAATTGGCAAAAGAAAGTGGTGTTTCCCATGCAAATTTTAACCCTCCGGGTGCTGAAAACACTGTTCAAGTACGCCAACGTGTTGTAGCATTTCTTCGAAAATTATGCGATGAACTTCTTCAAAATAATCATGTAAATTCTTTTGTATCATCACGAGTTGAGTTTTATGGATCGACTCCATTGCCACAACAGGATGGTCAACAATCGTTATTACGAAGCGTCTCATCAGAGAATTTAAGTTGTCATCAACAAATAATAGAAAATTCAGGTTGTAAACGTTCATTATCAACAGAAAATATTTCAGTTGAATCAATAACTAAAACAAACAAAGCAGCAGCATTTCGATCATCTATTGATTCAGCACTTGGTATATCATCTGGATCATCTGATCAGCAATCAATATCATCATCGACTTCTCTTCTTTCACGTAATAGCAGTTTTGATAAACAACGAATTATATCAAAAGATTTATCACCTTCACCATACGAAAACAATTTTTCCGATCTTGACATTCTGATTGTTAGTCATGGAGCTGTTATACGAGAATTCATTAAATATTTTGCTTGTGATCTACAAGCTGATATAGGACAGCATCTAGATACTATACAGGATATAGCACCAAATACATCGGTAACACGATTTCAAATAACTTATTCGACTGGTGAAGATCTCAATCCAACGACTACAGTTGAACTTGTTGATTATCATAATAAAACACATTTAACTAATGATAACAATGATGAGTACAATTTGGATGTAGTCAATAAATGTAGCCTGTAATTATATTCATCCGCATCAAATTTTAACTACAAGTTTGTTCGCTATTTTGTGTTCAATCTGTATATGTGTAAATGTGTGTCAGATACAGATTATGTTTTATTTATTTATAATAAAAATAAACATGAAATAAAAATAAACATGAAATAAAAATAAACATGAAATAAAAATAAACATGAAATAAAAATTATATTTTTCTATGATCATCCATTTATATAGCATTGAAAAAATCTTTGCATACTTTTTGATTTTATAAAAACTAATAAATACTTATCTGATATCATGTAATCTATAACATAGGTTGCAACGTATACAATATGACAACAATAACAGCAACAATAACAACAACAATAATAAATGTGTCCTTGTCTTTGAAATGATAGAATCAATGAATAATTCAATCAAGGAAAATGTAGTCTGTATTTCTCTAGATACTCGGCGACACAGTTTTCAACAACGACAGGCATTCATTATGTCTTTCTTCTGTATCTTTTTCTTTATCTGATTCGAACTTTCTTCTGTTGCAAGACATAAAAAAGTAGCACTCAGTAACAGAAGAAAATAGAACCACCATATGAGGTGCACAAGATTCTTTTACACTTGTTCAATGATCTGTCTTTTTTCGTCTTCTATGTAAGTTATTACGAAGAGATTTATTTGACTGGATGCATAGAACAATTATGTGCTGAATGACCGTATGATTAATATTGTTGATTGCTAATATATAAATGACAGCCAAGACCAAATTAAGAAAACAAACTAGAACTGATGAAAAAATAAATAAATATAACGAAAGGATAATAATGTAGACGAAGAAGTCAAACCGGAAAGAAAATGAACTATCGATGATGTCGGGTAGTTTTAGACGAGAAACGAACATTGTTTTCTTCACGGATTTTTTTGAAACTAGCTATTGCTTTTGTTCGTTTAAGTCACACAATTACTTTTCAAAAAGTATATTTAAGGGCTGTAATAGAATTGGCCGAAAGATAAAACGTCGAAAGTAAAAAATGTCGAAAGTGCTATAAATCGAGTTTGAGGATACGCTGTCCATTTAAACGTACAACGATGAATACGTCTACAGATTGTCCATATAGGATTGTTGAAAAACTGGTTTTATACTCTATCTATAGCATTTTCGACATTTTTTACTTTCGACGTTTTTTCTTTCGGCCAATTTTATTACATTCGAACATATTACTTCATAAGCAAGTCCCATAGAAAAGTTGTTATGATCAATATAAAAGTTAAGATTTATCCGTCACTTGATTTCAATCAACTATTAATAGAGAAGAATGAAAAACTAAAAAAAAAGAAGTTTGTCTTTCTGATTTACACGTTCGAAAAATATGTTCGAGGCTGGAAAATCTGAACTTTCATTCTTGTTCTTGTTGCTGGCGTTTTTTATCGACAGTAGAGAAAAAGCAATCTGTGAAAATAAGACGACATAGGGTGCCAACACCGTCACATCGGCTAATATGTGATAGATAGGTCTCGTTTTGTTTTCCTCGAACATAAACAAGAACAAATGCCCTAAAGTAATGACGATTGTGCTGACAAAAATGGTATTGATCGAGTATGAATTAAACAGTAAGTAGTTCGGCATTGATATATACCACAATAACATATGTAAATTGGTTGGTATATAAGAATATGTCTTTATTATTTGTCTGTTATTCCTTTAGATAGTTTTCTTGTTATAAATATTATAATTACTATGCTTTTCTTTCGTCATCGTGATACGCCATTACATCATTCACGCTTGAATGATCAAGAACGATGTGTTCATACTTGTCTTTTCTTTGCGTTTATTATACTCGTTGTTACCATTGTTCTATTTTATTTTGCCGCAACTAATAAAGGTCCCAGTGATCAACGTCTTTATTATTATGTAGGCGCTGGCATTAGTCTTGCTTTTCTTCTATTGATTATATTATGTACAATATTTTATGTTCAACAAGTCTATGGTTGTCCATTATCTTCTACGCGTCAACAAGAAACTATATCTGATAATGAATATGAAAGTTCAAGACATTCAAATTATCATGCATAATGATTTATTTTCAAATTTATTCTATTTATAAAATTTCGAAAAGAAAACAGAAACACTTGACTTTAAATTATCCAAAATCGTTAATCATCCAAACTATTTCCCTATATCTCGCAAGAAAGAAGAAACCAAAATTTAATTGAAATATCGGATTTTTATTCAAGAGAAGAAAAAAAACATTCGAAAATTTATTTGCCTGACAGACTAATGTAGAAAGTGCCTGGAAAAATAATCATTATAATATTTGACTAATCATTTCAAAGAGTAACATTTTTATACTAAACAGATTATAATCAGCATACATTCAGACAGTTTTGATTGGAGAAGAAAAAAATTGATGGTTCTTCAACAACAGATTGTTTAGTTTCAAAACTAACAAAATTAATACTAGTAATATTTTACGATTTTCTTGACTTTGCAACATAAGAAAGGTACTCCAGATTGTTTAGTTTTTATCACATGCGTTATTCTCTACTATCAACGAATGAAAAGTTTTATTCTCTCGTTTGTTTGTTTGCTTTTTATTGTTTCTGAAATATATTCAAGAAACATGTTTTAATCCGACCTTTTTTCTGTGTATAATAATAAAAATTTTCAATTACAAAGATATAGTATTTGTCACAGAGACAATTTCAATTGAATACGTCGTACTGAATATGAATGCTTCATTTTTTAATGTTTATTTCGTACTAACATTTATATGCATGGAATAACAAAGCAAAGAAAAACTTCTTTGAATGCAATGATAAAACAAACAAAAAATTCTTCTTCGGTATGTAAAATTTGCAGATCTTATTTTGTATAATTTTGTTTGAATTTATTGCTATAAAATAGTTCGAAGTGGTGATTATATTTATATGTATGCTACTTTGCTTTTTAACGAAAAACATCTAGGCATCGATTCATAAGACCATTTTAATAAATATACTTTTGTTGAGAAAAGTAATATGCCAATGATAAACTTTAAGCTTACTTTGTAATCTAGACAACGACTCCAAAGTCAAACTAATGACTTTTTCAAGCATGTCCGAGCAATCAAATAATGGTTAGTACTCTTAGACTCAACAGAAATAATTTAAAAATAAGATAACATGATTATTAATGATAAGATATATATATATATAACTACAATACGACAGACACGAAAGACCAACTGAAAAACACATTAAAACTGATGATAACGAGAAAAGATTATTATACCAAAGAAGATGAATCTGTATTGATGATAGAAATTATAAATATAACAAGAAGATGTATCGGTGCAGACAATTTCTGCGCATATAGTAATTTTAAAGTTTTAAGATTCAGTCTTTTAAAATAGTGCCATTTGGCTATTTCGTAATTTTCTATTTATTCGTCTTAACAATGGAAGAATATTCATGCATGTCTGAATGTGCTAATGTGCGAGTCAAGTTTCTTTTGTCTTTCTTTCGTTATCTATTAATTTTTATAGAAAACGTCAACAACTAATTTGTCTGTACAATATGCGTAGTAGACTGATGTCGACCTGGTTATGGATAAAGAAAATATCCTATATCTACGTAGAGCGTTTCTTACCACATAGGCTGATTCAAAATAAAAATAGGTGAGAACTTGACCGTATATTTCGTAATATTTTTAGTGAGAACGCATATATAAATTTTATTTAAATAAATACCTTAGTCGAATAGTTGAGTCAACATCATTCAAAATTTGAATATGCATCATAGTTTAGATAATTCAATCTTTATTTTATTTACTTAAAAACAGGTTATTCTCAGAAAAGGAGTTATTCTCAATCTTATCATAAATAGTATATTCTCTTTGTTTGTCTATCAACTAAGCGGATGGCAATTAAAAAGCTCCTGGCAACTCGATGTGATGACATTTATTATAGGATAGTGTCATCAAGTCAAAGAAAGTTTTTGCATAATAAGTTATCCAAATCAACTTCAATTATTAAAGTACACACTTTCTTGCTCGATGATAATTTCTAAAAGAACCCAATAATTTTGCTCAATTCAAAGATTTTCAATGTTCAAAACGCAATTAAAGGATTATAGGTTTTTTTTTTAAACTTATATTATATTTGAAAACAATCTGGTAGATGTTCGAAGATAAAAGGCTATTCAAGTCGAAAAGAAAAAACTAATAAAATCATGAAAAAATAAAGTAAATGTTCTAAATATAAAATAGTCTTTATCATGAACATGAAATGAGTACATAAAAGCTAATAATCTGTGTCTACTGATGATTGAGACATATGTCATCTTTCTGTGGAAAAATTTTACACGATCTTTTTTGCAAAGGAAACGGACAGATGGTTCAGTGATTAGTTAAACTTCTCTAATTAAGTTCATTCATGCATATAACCATAAAATGCTTTCAACAGATCAACTAATAGCCTAGGAAAAAGAATATTCGCCTACTAAAGAAAGTTAGTAGTACGATACGACATAAGATATGCAATCTTATAAATCAATTTTAGACTAGTAGATGTTCTCGGTTAAAGAAAAAACGCTCGTCGTAATATATTTAATTAGTGTTTTATTTTCGTATTTATTCAAAACTTCAATTAAGAGAGAAAGTTCAAGTTTTCATGACAGTGCTATAAATGTTCAAAATTCAAATTATCGAATTCTATTTATACGTATGATGTTTCCTGTAGGTAAGTGACATGTGATGACTCTTTTTTTTCTTCGACTACTGAAATATGACAATCACTGATAAGAAATTCAAGAAATAGTTATTGAACATAAATCCTTTTCTTATATTTCAAGATAAAAAGTTAGCATAAATGACTAATGATATGTGGTTTATCGATTTAGTTGTGAAATTAAAACAAAAGATGAACATGGAAATGCTTCAATAGGAGACGAATTTTGAATTCTGATCAGGGTGGCCAGATCAAAAATTGAAAAATCAGAAAATATTTTTTCAAAATCAGAAAACGATCAGAAACTTTCTCTGAAAAATCAGAAATTAATCAGAAAATGGCAGATTTTGACAAATTAGTACATCTTCCGCTAAAATAGTGGCATCCAAAATTCTGCTGCATTTCTGTTCACCGACTGGAACTTTATTTTCAAAGATATTTAAATAAAACGAAAGAAACTATAGTGAATATATCGTTTAGCTAATACACAAACATGAATAAAAGGTACTTAATGTTGAGCTTCTTTTTAAATTTAAAACTCATTCACAAAAATGAGCAAAACTAAATCACATGCATTCTGCGTAGATTAAGAAATCCAACAAGAAAAAAAACGTTAAATTCCATCATCTCGGTATTGTTATTCATATTTCGTATCATTTGGAATTTGCTCTAGGAAGTTTGTTTAAGATAACGTATGCTAATAAAACCTTCTCAAGAATAATTATCATTCATTTTTATTTTAAGTTAAGCATTATCTGGTTTCATATTATCGGATTACGATAATCGGACTATAAATGCTTTATATAACCGGAAATCAATTCGACGCTAGAATTCGAACGAGGAATATAAAAGATGATTAATACAGAAAATTGATGAAACACTATTGATTTATTATAGTAATGGGTTATGATCGTACCTAATTTCAGTGGCAAAGCAGCGATCTGAAAATATTCCAAATTCAGAAAAAATCAGAAGGTCAGAAAAATATCAGAAACATGTTCAAAATTCAGAAATTTTCCCTAGTTTTCAGAAGATTTGGCCACCCTGATTCTGATATCTATTTTAAAATGTAATATTAAACAGTTTCTCGTTGGTTAGGACAACATTCTTTTATGTTTGGTTTCCCTCGATTGTGTTTCTTCTTCATTTCGTCGAACTTTGATCTTTTGATTAATTGAGTAACAACTAAACGATACTTTGTATGACCGCTTTATATAGATAATAGAATACGCAACTATTTTCTCTAGGCAAAAAAGCATTAGTTTGTAAAGAATAAGTAGTTATTTATGTTCTTGCAAGAAACAATGACTTCAATTCTATGGAGTATATATATACGCAAGAAACATTTAATCTGATATCTTTAAATAGATCTATGAATCATTCACGATTATTACGGGTTTAAAAGAAAGTTAAATTGGTGGATTATAAAAATTTGATGCAAACGACCTCTTTCGACATGTTTGGGATTAGAGTAGAATCTGATAAACAAAAACATGACCACATTCGCGCTGATATATATATATATATATATATATACAACTATTATTTGAATTTTTACTATCATTATTTTCTTTTTCTTCTACATGAGTTGAATATTAAAAAGGTTGCCGAGATAAATCACAGTTTTTTCTACGAGTTTTACGTGACGTACAAATCATTAAGAGTTATTTATCTATCAAATCTTCTTTTATTATATCAGAGGATACTTTTTGGTGGAGATTAAAAATCTTAATGAGCACGTAAAAAAATAAAATCGTACACCTGTTAATTAATAGTTAAATACGAGTATGAACTCATTGATAGTCGCTCTCCGTGATCCCAACCGTCATTCTTTATTCTCCGAGAAAAAGCAAAAAAAAATTAATACCATATAGCTAAATATACAGGAACAGACAGATCCAATTACGCTCATTAAAAAAAGAGAGAGAAAAGAGCCGTGAGAAAAATGAAGAAAGAAGAACAAACGTTCACGTTACGTATTTCTTATATTTGTCAGAAGAAACATTATTAGATGAAGTACTTCGATTAAGTATTGAGGAAATTACTTTTCGATCATTATCATTAGTTGATATACGACTTAAAAAAGTATTTTCATCCAATTTTGGATCAGTCATGTGTCGTTTTGGTATTTCGCTTGTTGACTTTGTATGCCAATTTTGGAGCCAAACACTATGAAATATAGACATAACACGATTTGTTTCGTTTGATTCATTTGTGACTTGGTTACAAAATGTTTCCCATCGTCGATTGGGTTCAATCGGTTGTTGTGGTTGATCGACTTTTTTTAATCGATCAATTACGCGGTAATTATTTGAATTAGTATAGTTTTCTTTATTTGCTGTTGGTAATTGATTTTTTAAGCGTGCTTCAAATAATTGCCAATGACGACCGTCGACTTTTTGTCGAATTTTATCTGTTGATTTAACTATAGTAGGTATATGTTCATGGTCAGATTTAACTTGTTGTTCGCTTAAAGAATCAAGTTTAGTAGTTGAAACTGACATTGTTATTCTAGAATATGTAAACTCGAACCATCTAAGTACAAATAAGATAGTTAAAACATCTTATTCTCTTTCTGACGACTTTAACATGAAGATTTAAGAACACGTCTCGTTTTTCTTAAAGTACTCGACACTAGACAACTTACTCCGAATAGGCAGAAAATGGTTCTGTGTTTATACAGATTTTTCTTTTTCTGTCTCATATTGTTTTGATGCGAGTTTTTTTTTCGTTTATAAGCATCTATTCAGGCAGAAGAAAAAAAAAATAAAGTGAGAAAAAGAACAAACGAATATTTGATTTTGATGAAGATCGATGTGTTTGACATGTAAAAGTGCAAATCAGCGCCCACAGATTATAAACGACATTATAAAATATACATGAGTTTTTTTTCAACTAGCCTTGAACACAGCAACTATATTTATGATTGTAGCCGGTACCAGTTCTATACGTTTATTTTATTTCTCTCGCCGTTTTTCTTTCGTCTTTTTTTATATGAAATCGACACCATCACAAGTAAAAGAGAACGAAAAGAAACAATGTGTAAAATGGAATGTTGAATGAGGTCTTTTTTGTTTCTCCATAATACTCATTCATTCATTCATGCATAGAATTAATGTAAAAGAAATGCGAATGAAAGAGACATAAAGAAAAGAAAAAGAACCTTTTTAGATTATCATTGCTCATCTAGAGATATTACAATGCGTGTAATTTTCTTCTCGATTGTCTTTTGTGCATTGGTCAATGGGGATTGTACTTTTCGTTCCAATGATTCAAAAGATCTTCAAGATAAAATAAAGAAATGGAAAATTTACAACAGCACGTGAATAGATCTTTGATTGGATTATTTATTATTTAATAATTTATTCTTTTTATATTTAGCGTTACAATACGTAGTAAAACATCCACATATCAATTAGGAATCTGTTTAGCACCTAATAATTCTAATATTAATGGAGCTATTATTCAAACAATCAATGAAGATTCGAATGTTTATGTTCTAGGACAAATCAATCAAACCAATCTTGTTGGAGGAGGTTCATTTTTACTGCTCTTGTTTTAATTTTGAAATCTAATTATTTCATTAAAGATAATTGGATACTTTTGACATATGAAAATGGTAGTCCTTACAGCAACCAATGCTATAATAAAACTCGTTCAGCTTCACTTATGTTTGTTTGTGGACGGAATATGGTACGGTAAACATTTTAAATTATTTAAATAAGAATTTCTAAGATTAGATTTTCCTTTCTTTTGAAGTCTTATTTAAAAAAGAAAAGATTAGAATAAGTTGTGCAATCCGATGCAAGAGAAGAGAAACAAGTGCGTTGCTATTCTTTTACAATGCTATTTTTGACATTGTCAAACATGAAAAAGAATAGATATATCATTCCCGATTTATATATATATTTATTCTAGATAAAGCACATTTTTATTGCATTATATTTTAGCAGGAAAAAGGTGGAAGGCTTTGATCTTGAATCAGGAAGTGGGTACCCGTAGCATGATCTGAAGTATGTTATTTATCAAATATATAGTATAACTATGATCTATTAGTTTTGCAAGAGAATATTTACAAATGATCAATAGTTTTTCATCAGCAACTCGTAGATCATAGGTTATCCAGCACGTTAATTCCTAATGTAATCATGATAGATATTTTATGATCTTCATAAAATAGTTTTCTGTACTAATAAACTTTTCGGATAGAAATTTATTTCTTCTTTGAACATGTAATAGAAAATAAGAAATGACCATTAGGACATTAGCCTTTAATGAAAATATAGTCATATTAATACATAGAACAAATATACATTAACATTTTATTTTGAAAGTTATCAAATGATATTGTTTCATTTAAATGTCATTTGTTAAAAACAGACACCATAGTTAACTTGTAGATAGATACATAGAGAGAGAGATAGAGAGAGAGAGAAAGAGAGAGAGAGAAAGAGATAGAGAGAGAAAGAGAAAGAGATAGAGAGAGAAAGAGATAGAGAGAGAAAGAGAGAGAGAGAGAAAGAGAGAGAGACAGAGATAGAGAGAGAAAGAGAGAGAGAAAGAGATAGAGAAAGAAAGAGATAGAGAGAGAAAGAGAGAGAGAGAGAGAGAGAGAGAGGGAGGGAGGGACAGAAAGAGGGAGAGAAAGAAACACAGTTTATAATAATCTTAACAATTCCCCATGCGAATAGTTTCATAGATAACTTAGAAAATGCACTATCTTTCTATAAGCAATCATTTAAGTAATTGAAAACGTTTTGATTAGGGGTGTACAGCTCGCGCTCATGAACGCTCATATGAGTGTGAGCGGTAGCCGCTCACGCTCACGAGCGCTCTCGGTCTAATCGCTCGCGCTCGCCGAGAGCGCGAGCAGTAGTCACTCCCGCTCATATGAGCGCTCATGAGCGCGAGCGTTTCTACTTTAAATCAGATCTGTTCAAAATATCATCAGCTAGGAATGTACTATTGCTTGCATGTATACAAAAGCGTATATAAAGTTGTTGATATCTCGTATACCTGCTATAATATTTATAGTTGACGCGGATAGGCATTTTGTGATCTATTCATCACTAAAGATCATAAGAATTGATCCTTTTTGGCTTTTCAATTTGTATTCGTAACTCGTTAATATTTTTTAAGCTCATTTATCTTGTTGATGTAATCAATCTAAGAGTGAAGCTAGAATCTTATTATACATAGTTCATTGATACAGATTTGTATTTACTTGGTTTGAGACTAAGAATTTCGTTACTAGATACCCTAGCGCAAACAATCAGATATTAAGATCTGACAAGATTCTACATCTGATCTTGTATGATCTTGTGAGATCCGATAAAAAATCGTATGAAAATCGTAGTCTCTGAACTCTTACATCAATTCGTTCAATCAGGTTCTTAAAAGATCTTATTTTATCGTAAGATATGACTATAAAATTATAGGAAATCTTATGCAATAGTAAAATCTTGCAAGTGTCTTATTGTAAGACTTAATGTAAGATTTCAGAGACGACGAGTTTTTGCACGATCTTGCCTGGTTTCGCAAGATCTTACATCTGATTTTTCGACCTGGGATATAATAAAAACAGATCCATCTTACTCTATGAAATTATACAATTGAGCGAATTGGTACTGCATGATTACACAGATGATGAAAATTTCTGACGAGTATTGACATAACTTTATCTTGACGTAGTCCTTTATCCTATTGAAGTGAAATAATTTACATCTGGTATGATTCAGTAGTGAAAAAAGAATATAGTTTAATAAAAGAACTGTGAAATATTATATACCTTCTTGTCCTCTATCATTATGAGCGACACAATCAAACAAGTAACCCCCTCCCCATTACATATATAAGCAAATAGATTATGCCCTAAGTATAAATTTTAAAGAATAAAATAGATTTTTGAATTGAGCTATTTTGCATTGGCTAGGAAATCTAAGGGGTACATGTGAGTTCCACATTTTAGCCCCAAAGGGACTGCGCTAACAAGCTTTTCCGTTTTTGCTCTGGTTTTCTATTCCACGAAAATTTAACTTTCTTCTATAATCGAAGAAGATGCAACATATTAATCATATATGTTCGATATGTGACTATAAAATCGGTACACATAAAATACGAAGATATCATGACTGACATTGATTGAAATAGTTGGATATTGAAAAGAATTAAAAGTTACCTTATGTGTTGATCATTTCAAATTTAAGCAGGATTTAATTTTCTGATTATTCATAGTCGAATAAAGAAGTTTCAGTTCGTTTGGAAAAAAGATCTCGAAGAAATTTATTTTTCACTACATCAAAACATAGTAATATAACTGATATCGGAAACATTTTTACATACAGGATAGTTTGCGTAAACATAATTAACTTGTTAATATTTATTCAAGTATGAACGCTCAGAAAAGTAAATCTTACTCAGATTTGAAACTTTCAGTGTTTCATATATAACACAGTAATTAGCGAATCCAAACACTTTAGCCCCTGCAAGATCATCACAGAATTCAACGCTACATTTCCTCATTGGTTACTTACTGGGATATTTTAATTGTAGCCATAAGTGTTATGCTTTCTAAAAAGAATAAGTTCCATACCGAACTTTAAAAAGTTCAGCAAACAGTACGAAACCAAAAAAGAATCTTCCGGTGGGTACACGGAAAGAACCTTTTTGATAGTTTTGCAAAAAGCCTAGAAAGGTTTTGTACCAATCTGCGTAACCTAACAAAGTTTCTCACGAAATTAAAAATCCTTGAGGTTTGGCGAAAAACCTTTCAAGGTTTAGCATAGAACCATAAAAGGATCTTCCCTCGGGCACACGGGAAGAACCCTTTTTTTTAGAGTGTGTTCCATTACCTTCAGTTATAATATACATCCATATCCCTGTTGTTCATGTTCACTGTTATGTCTTTTTTACTTTATTTGTTATTCGAGCATTATTGACTGTGAAAATAAAACACATGATTGACACATACGAAAGAATAAAAGCATAACATGCACTGTATTTGATCGAAACGATATCTCTATATTTGTGTAGCTATATTTGTTCTACTCCTATGTAGCGCGCAATGAAAAGTCATATCAGTATGGACAAATGCATTTTGTTTTGCACTTTCAATACTTTTTATTGACTTTTCCTGGAAATCCAGTGTAAAATAAATGAACTTTATAGCTTACATAATAGAAAATTTCATATTATTTAACAACTATTTAGTTAACTTATACAGAATAGTTAAGGATTTTCAATGCGCATGATATTTACTGATGCTTCAGTGAAACTTCAGGCTTCACCAGCTACTACGCATTATCAGAAGCAGAAACAATACCAGAACAAGTGAAGGGAGATTCTCTTTTAACGATAAATGATGTACGCATATGAAGGTAGCAGCGCTCACGCTCATGAACGAGAGCGCGAGCTGTACACTCCTAATCTAAAGTAGTTACGCTTTGACCAAATGAAATGAAATTTTCAGTTTAGCTAACGCTTTTATATATCTGACGGTAACATAAGTTTCAGCTCATTGAGACGTTAAATTCACGAGTTATGACTAGCTGAAGCGTTATATAAAATATAAAAATTTCATTTGAAAAATTTGCGGAACGACGTCCTACTATGCCTATATTATGTCTAGATAATACTAGAAAAATAAATCATTTTTTTTTATAAAACTTTTAATTTTGTAATCAGATCAGCAAAACAAAAAAAATATGCAATGGATTTAATAGGAGCTATATTTCGTATTACACAATCAAATGAACTGAGTTCAATAATGATGTTGCTATTGTTGTAGTTAGAACAGACGCTTATGAAGCCACGATCCGTCAAACATAGTGAACACAGTTAAGAAAATTGATGAGATAAACATAAGAGTACTGTATCAAAATTTCTCTATAGAAGGACGAAGATCAAGTTCTTGTGTCCACGTTGAGCGAGGTTGAACATGTAATTGCCAATATGCTTCAGCAATCTAAAGCAAATAAAAGTTTCATTTAAAGAAAAGAAAAACAAAACAAAACTGTTGCATAGTTCATACCGCATCACTGTTGAGAAATGAATTAATGTCTCTATCAGGTTGACCTAAGCACTTAATCTATTGTTTCATTGAGGATAAACAAAAAATTCTTACTTTGCATTTGATTTGGAGTATTGATTTGCCCATCAATAATAATATGTGCAACGTGAATACCTTTCGGACCTAATTCACGAGCCATTGATTGAGACAGTGAGCGTAAAGCAAATTTTGGTACAGAACAACCGGCGAAGTTGGCTGAACCACGAAGGCTAGCTGTGGCACCCGTGAGCAATATTGTTCCTTTTCCTTGTTTGATCATACTCGGAAGTACCTATGAAAACTCTAATTATATACAAAGTCCTGAATATTTCCATATACCTCTTGACTAGCAACCAAACCACCAATAACACTTATATTTAGTGCATTTTTTAGAGTTTCTGGTTTCAAATCCAAAATACTATCTTAACATAGAATAAATTATATCCGATTAGAAGATTAATGAAGACAATAGAGTAAAAGCATTCAATTTACTGTAAATAAATCTGCCAGCATTATACAATAGTACCTCTGGATCACTGCCAAATTCAGTTCGTATCTTATGAAAAGCATTTTTCATGGACAATATATCGCTAGCATCAGCTGTAACACTTAAAGCTGTAATTTAAAATATTCATGTTGAGAGGAAAACATATGATAAAAATAGAAGTAAACAACATGTGTGGCCTTGTTGTTCGAGTTTCTTTTGTACAGGTTGTACACTACTTTCTTTTCGTGAAACAAGTCCAATTGAATAGCCACCAATTGCAAATCTTAAGAAAGAAGCACACAAATCTCATGCCTATTCAATCTCTTAGATAAGAACATACCGTTTAGCTAAAGACGCTCCTAAGCCTGGACCAACGCCTACAATAGAAAAGAAGATTCATTCGATAATAGCAAACATTGTTTTTAAAATTTATTCTCTCTTACCAATAACTATTGCAATGGGTTTTTTTGATACCATTTCTCTAATGATTTCGAAAATAAATCTAAAATCAAAAGATGCATAGCATTTTTATTAAGTAAAAGTAAAAGCGTGTCATCATGACTTTCGAATTCATGTATTATCGAATAGTTCATAATTATAGATGTGAAAATACATTTAGATTTTGTTCTATCAACTTTTTCACTAAATCAATTGCTATCTCTGGTTGTTCCATAGGAAAGAAGTGTTTCGTGTTTTCTAGTTGTGTATCTTGTCCTTTTCGGAATGATTTGTAAAGGTCAGGATTCGTTGGGGATGCATCGAAAGGATTCGAAGAAGTTGCTGTTGAAGTTCGAACTATATGGATTGGAATTTCGTTAATAAATTTTGATTTTTCAATTATCGGATAGATATTTGAATCGGATTGAGTACTTGTTTCGTAGATCGAAGCTTCACCTTCAGGTTCGCATACCAGTTTATGATTTTCATCAAGAGCATAAGTACAATAATTACGAAGAGTCTGTTGTGGCCATCGTGAAAATGGTTCACGCTTTTCGAGTCTTGAAATCATATCGTTAACAGATGACGATTGGCTTTTTCGACGACGAATGTAATTTACATCAAACGAAATAGTATCAGATTCGTGATACGTTGACGGTGAGAAAATAACTGGATCAAGTAACAGTAATGCTTGAAACAGTCGTTTTGATGCTAGTGCTGCTGCCATAGTCAAAGCATATCCACCAACTGAATGGCCAATACCTATAAGATGATTTGTTGGGATATTGAGCGTTTCAATAAATTGTAAAACATCCTCAGCAAACCATCGAAAACGATAAGGAGGAGGATGTGTTTGTGATCGACCATGACCACGGAAATCTAAAGCGATTACATGAAAACCATGCAAAGCTTCATTTATAATCGGATCATAACATCGACCATGAAATGAAGCAGCATGACAAAAGATTATAGTAGGTTGACGACCCTCCCATTCCCAATAGTGAAGTTTAAGCGAACCTTGATCAACTTTCCCATTAGCCTGAACAATTGAACGGTTAGGTAAAGTGACAAAGTGACTAGTAGGACCAGTTGACATCATGCGCCGGAAAATACGAGAAAAGAAAACAACCATTCAATCTAAAAAAGCGAAAAACAAAAATTTAGGAAGTATTCGATGAAGAGCTTTCATATAAATCAGAAAAGACAAACATCACACTTTATAAAACAAAAATTCAGTTGAATTTTATTTTTATTATGGACATGTTACACTTACACTGTAAGTTCTTACTTGGCGATAGAAACATTGGGCAAAATCTCGATAAATATCTTGATGCAAGCATATGGTAGTTCTTTTCTAAATACACAATAATTTGAATTTTGTTCATGCGTAGTTGTAATAATTGTATTTTTTATTTCTGATTTTATTGCTATATTTGTAAGAAAAAATTTTAATAAAAAAATGCACTACGATGATGGCATACTTAGAGTGCGATCGAAATTCAATTTTAAATCAATTTTTGAATATATCAAGAAAAAGTTAGAATCAAACTAGAAGTAAATTAATCGACTAGAAGACATTCAGAGTTTAAACAAAAAGTATCGCTTATTTTGAATAAGTTAAAGCGTTAATTTATCAATCAGAATCTTCACACGATTTTACTTTAAAAGAAAACAAAATCTCTTACTTAAAAGTCTCTTTTCAATGCAAGAACGTAAATTTTTGTTGCTTCAGTATCTCTTACACTATATGACAATAGATGTTTAAATTTTGTTCTAAACATAGATTTTAAAGAATTTATATTTTCAACAATAAAACTATTTTCTCATTTTTATTTATTTGGTTAGATTCTAATTATTTGTCAGTTGATCGATTTACTTCTAATATCATTCAGAAAAACAAGTAGTTTAAAATAGAAGGCAATTTTCGTCCGATCAAAACTGGAATGCTTATTTTAATCATTACATATATATTTGTAGTACTAGCAAAACGATTTAAAGTTGAGAACGTATATTTTCTCTAATCATGTCTTTCACATAATCACTCGTTAACCCAGGTTGTTCCATTGGAAACAAATGTGTGGCATTTTTCATATGAGTAATTCGTCCTTTTTTAAACCATTTTACAAGATCCGGTGCTGTTGGTGATGTATCAAATTGACCTATAGAAAATGGAAGTGATGATCTTACGACATGTATTGGAATATCTTTAATAAATTTTGATTGTTCAATCAATGGATAAATGTTGGAGGTCGATTGTAAACTTGATTGATATAAGGAATGTTCTGCTTCTGCAGTACATGTAAGTTTATAATTTTCATTCAATGCGTAAGTACAATAATTTCGAAGAATATCTTTTAACCATCGTGAAAATGGTTCACGGTTTTCTAATTTTGATATCATTTCTTCGATAGAAGACCATTGATTTTTTCGACGTAAAATATAGTCCAATGCTTCATGTCTCTGATCACCAATACTATACAATGATCGAGAAATAATACCAGGATCGAACAAGAGCAAATATCGAAATAAACGTGTTGGTGCTATAGCTGCAGCATAAGTTAATGCATAGCCACCCATAGAATGAGCAATACCAATGAGTTGATCTTTTGAAAGACTGAGTGTTTCAATAAATTCTAAAACATCTTCTCCAAGCCATCGAACATCATAATTAGGAGGATGTGCTTGTGATCGGCCATGGCCACGTAAGTCTATAGCAATTACATGAAAACCATTTAAAGCTTCATTAATAATACGATCATAGCATCGGCCATGAAATGAACAGCCATGACAAAAAAGTATGATTGGCTCATGACCTTTCCATTCCCAATAGTGAAGTTTTAAATGACTTCGATTGATTTCACCATTCGATGTAACAATTGGACGGTTAGGTAAAACAACAAAATTACTAGTAGGGGTCGAAGGCATCACTGGGGAAAATATATGATTGTACAAGAAAACTTTTCAATCTGAAGAAATTCATTCAAAAGCATATCAAGAAACAAGAAAAATTCTCTAGTGTTAGTAAAGCACAAACAAAAGAACGCAGCAAGATTTGAATAAAAGTCATGTTGTTTTATCAAATCGTTTAGATATAATTGATCATCTTCTTCAAATCATATGAATCAATCGAAACGTTCAAAGCAAATCATTTAAACAAATAAAATTGCTGAAGCAAACTACATGAATGAATTGAGCAGCTAAGAGAAAAACCTAATTTTATATTTATTAAATTTATTTAGAAAAAAAACTCTGAGAATAATATTACTCAAACAACAGCAAACGTTAACAAGCTTTGAGTATAAAAAAAAAGTGTTCACGCAAATGCACACATGAATAACATATTTCGACTAGAATAATAAAAACGATTAATAACAGCAAGAATAAATATAACACTCGTATCATAAACTTTGACTTTATCTATGAAAGAAACAATCATGCATTTGAAATATTTGATTATAATTCTGGTTTATCAAGTAATTTATGCTTAAGAAGTAATTTTTGTATATCGGGATAAACTTGACGAATATTTATATCTGATGAATATGCCTTGATAACATTACCATTTGGATCAATTAAATATTTCCAAAAATTCCACATTGGTGGTTCAGATTTTTCTAAAACCAAATTAGACTTCTTAACGATATCAATTTATTAGATAATTAATTTTCTTACCACTTAAAAATTTCCAAATTTCAGGTAATTCTTCAACTTCGTTATCTTGCTCTATAACAGCACCTTTAGCAAATATGGGAAAATTGATATCAAACATATCTGCAGCCCACAATTGAATTTTCATATCATCCTTTTAAAATTTAAAAAAATAGCTACAAACTAAATAGGTCATGAAACAAAGACTTTTTACATTTGGTTCTTGATTACCAAATTGATTGCTTGGAAAAGCAAGAACTTGAAAAATATTTCGATTACCTCGATTAAGTTTTTGTTGAATGCCAACAAGAGCTTCGTAATGGGAATCAGTAAATGAACATTCACTTGCTACCTATTTTAATTGAAAGAGATTTATATTTACGCAAATATACCGTGTGAAAGAAAATCAATATTCGTTTATCTTTCAGAAAAACTTAGTCATTCTTTTTTCAAACTTAGAATTTCTTACTAATAATTAGTTTTCAATTTGAATTTTATCGTTTATTCGTACTTATATTTTTCAATTCATCTAATTGATAAACGAAGTTTAGAATAACATCGATAATAAGTCAGGATTAAGAATTCTATGTTGTATTTGTTACCCATCAAATAGATTAGACCTGATTTTGAATGCGATCAACTGATCGAAATCATATTGTAGACAAATACCTTAACTAAAGATTTCGATCATTCTACTCTTCTTGATGTTCATTTCGACGAAAACAAAATCATAGTGAGTAAATAATTGGTGTAATTACTTCGTTATTTTTTTGAAAGTTTACTAAACGATGAAAAATAATCAGAGAACAACTTATCATTCCCAATACGAAGCTCATTAATAGACTTGTAGCGGCAATTTGAATAATTATCACAGAAAATTGCGAATAGCCAAAATTAAATGTCCGCTTTTGTCTCCGGATCAATTAGTTTATTATGTAGGTTACCAGTTCGAATTCATGATATTTCATCATTTCTACTAATCGTTTTCTATACTTCTTTTACAATAAGAAAGCATAGATATGTTTTATCCAACTAATACAGTACATACAAAAAGAAATCGAAACGCACGCTAGTCTGGATATCAATGAAAAACCTTGTCTTTGCGTCAATCTTAAAGACAAGAAAAAGAGTGATCTCAATTGAATATATCGTAATATCAAAGTAAAGTATATTTATTTGTTAACCAGAACCAAGCAAATATCGCTCATAGTTCATTTTTATTTTTCTAATAATATTTTTTTTTTGAAAATTTGTTCAACATTAATTTATACATAGTCAAATAAAAAAAGAGCACAACTTACATTAACAACCAATGTAACCTAAAACAAGATAAAAAATTCATTTTTATTTGTTTTTCGTATAAACTATTAAAATTGATTTACTTTTCCACGATATTGTTCTAATGAAACATCATTTCCTTGCCAGTCTTTGACTGTAAATGAATAGAAATCTTCACAAATAATACTTGTAAAAAGAATAAGAAAAAAGTAAATAGAAAACATCTGAAAAATAAACATATTTTTGCATATATAGAACAAAAACGAACAAATTGAATCGAATTCTCGTTTATCGATTTTAAAATAAATGTTTTAATGAGTTTCCTAATGTTTTATTATATTCTTCTAATCTTTGTTTTGCTGTTTTGAATAAATTTTCTATTTTCTCATCGTGTGGTTGAATTTTATTTGCTAATTCAATATCTTTTAATGCTAATTCATAATCTTTCAAATTTGCATAAGCACAACCACGTCGATATAATGCTTTCACATATTTAGGATTGATTTCAAGTGCTGATGAACAATTTGCAATAACATTTATGTTATTTCCATAAATTAATTGACATGCTGATATATTTGAATAGATTGATAAAATAAGTTGATTGAAATTTTCTAAAATTTCATTATGTTCATCTATTGGTTGTTCATTAATAAAATTTAATACATAACACAATGAACGATGATAAAGTTTAAAAGCTTGACAATAATTTTTATGTTGAAAAAATTTATTTGCATTTTCTTTATGCTTTAAAGCAAAATTATAAAGATTGTCGATTGACATGGAATATATTTCTGGAAAGCGTTCAAATGAAATTAAATGTATGACAATTTTTATTGTTTGATTTTCATCACTAAAATTAAAAATTAAAATATTTAGTTTGCAGAGACAAATAAGTGAAGAAATTTTTACGTATGAGAAGAATAATCAAAATCTAATTGAGATAACTCATTTTGTTTCATTGTTACTAAGCATTTGTGTACATAATTACTTATTACTGTTGAATAAAATCCAAGATGAATGTTTATTTCTTCATTCAATGGAAGAAGATCGTTATATTTATTTTCATTTAACACATAATCTGTTGGTGAAAATTTAATAATTACTTTACAATTAGACCCTAGATCAATTATAGAAGTCTAATTAAAAAATAATATTATTTAGTTATATACCTTCATTGGGCGCATAGAGCCCATGACCTGGTGTAATGATAGTTTTCGTAAATGTTATATCATCAGGAAGATTATAGACAGTCATTTGTGAAATCGATTATTGTTAATAAGATCTATAGAAAGCACAACGAACAAGAAAGAAAAGGAAATATTATCCATATGTTCATCTATCAGACAGATAAGAGTTCATCGTGACGGATACAAATAGAACATTTATTTATTTGCTTGTTACAACGACGTATCAGATAGTCAATGCTACAAGAACAAGATGTCACTAATTATCAACAGATTTACGCGCTCTATTATAGTTACACAGATTTTACTTATTATTATTATTATTATTATTATAATTACAAAATTGAATCTAAAAATGACAGCGCTTTAGGTTTATATCACAGAGGATTGCATGATATGGGAGTATTTTCTTTGATAGAAATACTCAATAATTATGATCAGCTATTATTTTAATTTTTTGGTATTTTTGCACTTTCATTAGAATGTAATTATTTAATTTAAATTTAGTCATTATAGATAATGATACAGCAATTTTTAATTCGAAATATGAGAGAAAATAAAATTTCTATTAGAACTATTAGTATTGAACTCAGACAATTTGATGTGATCTTATTTTCGGTCTCTAGTACCACAGATATTATAATGAGAAAACAATTGAAAATAATAGATTAGAGTGATAAAAATAAATATAGATACATTCTTATACTGAATTCTAATTTTAAAAAAAGTAAGTCTTTCGGTAAATACTAAAATAAATAAAACTACTACGCTCAAGTTTTCATCAGAGATGATGAATGTCTTTGAACTGGTTCTTTGTTTTTGAAATAATAGATCAAGTATTTCAGTCAACCTAAATTAGAACCTGAGTTTGAGCAAGTATTTTTAGAAAGAAACAAATCTTCTATGAGAGATTGTAATGTCTTATTGCGGCATTTACTTTTTTGAGTGATACTCTAAAGGATAAGAATAGTTTGGCAAATTGGTCGTGTTCGAGTAGTCAAAAAGTTTCCTTTTATGTGACAAAATAATTAAAGGTGAATGGTATCATTAAAAGTTCAAATAGAGTATACAAGTCTCTTTTCCGCAGTTCAAAAGTAAGTTCAATTATGTTTGTCTAATGACATGATAGATATCTAGTGAATGGACAAAATTTGAGTCGAAATATTTTTGTTGATCTAAACATTTCTTATATTTAACACAAATAATGTGTTTCTAAATATGAATGACTTATTAAGAAGATTGTTTAATGTGATACAGATTGAAAGAGTTACAGATCGTGTCATACACAACTAGACCAGAATTGGAAACCTGATTGAAAAATTCATTTTTGTTCGGAAAATAAAACAGAAAATCTGATCTCAATGCTTTGTACGGTATAGTTTTATTTTAGATCATTGAATAGAAATTATTATATCCGACATAAGTTGCATAGCATTAGTGCTGATTTAATAACTTTCAATGATATCATTCTTGTTTTTCAATTAATAGAAAAACTTTAAATATATTTAAATAGACGGCGAAAAAAACTAGAAATGAACTGGGATTTTCTCTATCCAGCCAAAAGACGATGAAAAGCTGAAAACTTCACCCTTGAATATGACATCGTATATTATTATGCAGACATCTTGAAAAATCAATGCAAAAGAGCTCAGGTACACCTCCAATAGAGTTTAGATCCAATTGTGTAGCTGTCAGCTTTTTTTCAGTTCAAAAGCCTGCTTTTCCTCATCATTTTAAATGATAACCCAAGCTTAACTAAGCTAGTATGTACCTATTTTTAGAAATTTTTTAAAAACGCATATCAACAGACTTTACGTTTAATCAGCTTTGCAACAGACACTTGGCAGCTGAATGGTTCTATTTCATTCGTATTATTATTATTTTTTTCTTTTTTCTCCAACAAGCACGATATAGCGCATAGTAATTATTAGCTAGCGTAGGACAGAAAAACTCTACACTGTCAAATCCGTTTTCTTTCTCTTATCAGTTTTGTTATATATATATAATATCATTACTTCTCATTACTACAATTTCAGTTAATATAAACTAGTTTGCTCTATCATATGGGTCTGAAATATAGTCGTCCATCTCCTTGTTATCACGGATATGCATCGTTACCACCATCGAAAAGACCGTGTTGCCCATTTCAACCTATGTTTGCAATTCGTACTCGAGCAGTGCCAATCAAATTTGAACAACGCCGTTGTACTTCACCACGTCGAGAAAGTTGACTATTCATGTCTTTGAAAGTAATTTCAAGAATAGTTTTATTTTTGTTTTTATAAAAAACTGTATTATAACGGTTTTGTTCTCTTTTTTTCACATGTTACTTAAAACTATCGAATTTAAATGTTTGAAACTATTTTTTCACAGTGAATTTCCGATGTTTTTACGTCTAAAATATTTTTCGAATTATATAAATACCTAACGAAAAAATTTAAATCTTTCATTCAATTTAATTTTACCATGGATATTTTCTTATACTATTCAGATTCCTCTCTGATAATGGATGCTGGATTCTCAAGTATTGCATAGGACTTGTAGGATTTAAGTTTATGATTATGACAAAATTCAGTTTATGATAATAAACAAGACTTTTTGATTGTTAAATTGCTGATGGATAGAGAATGTAGCCAGTAAACATAATATATTGCTTCATAATTAGTCATAACTTCATGAACTCATTATAGTTTTGAATAATTTGTTTTAATGAGACATTGTGTAATAAGACTTTTGATTTCAATCTCACAGTGTTGCTTTCCAAAAAATAAATAATTTTCATTTTGTTCCATGCTTACCAACAAGATTCAAAATTTTCATGTAATCTTACATACTCCTTAAATATGTAGATATATTTGTTAGTATTTCTAGATTTAATAATTGAATTTTATAATATGAAAATGATACTATACGTAAATTTGTACTTGAACAATATCTTCTAGTATAAAGTGAAATGTTTCTATTCAGTATTGGATTCAATCATCCTCTGGTAGATCTGACAACATATTCAGATTTATTACATCTTATGTTTATTGAAATCAATGTTAAATTGAATTCACATTGATCATGAAATAGCAGATTGTTAAAGGAGATAATTGTTAATCAAAACTTAGCGTAAGAATCTATTTTAATATTTTCGAAGCGAACAGAAATTTAGTTAGGTTTTTTTTAGGAGCGTAAGCTAAAAGGGTAAAATTAATAAAATGGGATTAACTATAAAAAGAATTATAATTTCTAATGGCCATACATATATCAGAAAACAATACTTCACGTTAATGAGGGTTTTCATTTAATCTTTAGAATATGCTAAAATTGTTTTTCAGTATAATGATCGTTTTAAGTTGAGATCATGGCAACGTGTACTTGTCATGTACATTGTGTACGCCATGCTGTTTTTAGTCTTAATCCCATATGTAACACTCAATTGATGAGTATTATGTTCTTTCTAAAAAAAACGAGTATTTGCATTGTAGAAATGACAAAAAATTTCATTTCATCTAATACGTGATCTAATGTTTTCTGTCAATGTGATAGAGATGACATGGTTTATCGAAATACTATCCATGACAATTATCATAACAAGAAGATACTCCGCATCTATGTCAACAGATGAAACAGTAACTAATTATGAGGAAAGACAACAAACTAATTCTTATCAGTCCTGTGACCCTTCTATGCTGATGCTTAGTTCCGCATATTAGTTATATATATATATATATATATATAACTGTCATTATTATAATTTTCAGCAGGCATACCATCAATATTTCCTTTATTCAATTAATGATCTTTCATGTTGGCGCAATACAATCATAAGTCACAAGAAGAGAAAAAAACTAAGACAAATCAATGTTCTAAGAACTTTTCTTTAAACATTCAATATGAAATTTAATGCGATTATGTGAATCTTTTACGAATTTAGCTACTGAAATAAAACTTTTATAAATCATGTCTTTTAATCGCACTGTTTTTGATATAAAAATATTTTAATAGTTTTATAATTGCTTTAGGAGCATGTTAGTATTTTATTATCATTTGAGGATATTTCACAATTCAAATAGTTCTCTATCAATGAATATGATTTTTATAAAGAATAGTAAACAAAACAAAGCAATTTCAATTTTAAGAAAACATCATTTTTTGTATACAACTTGAGAAACTTTTCTTTCTGGCAATCAACAACAGATTGCATACTGAACACATTCCTCAATGGTTTTTTTTCAATCTTTATCTTTTTGTTTTCATTGTAAAATATAAAAAGAGAAATTTTCAATATCTAAAAAGTGTGTTCAAATACCCCAACGTTTATTGAATATTAAAATAACAAGCATGATGTATACAACATGTATAACGTTCCGAATAAACAATAACGAATATTTCAATCAAGACATATCCGAGGATTGTGCAAGAAAACTATCCACAGCTGCTCCGCTATCCAGTTTCATAAGACGTGATCCATCAATTCTTGTTGTACACATTGGACATGCATCATCAATCGTCAGATATCTTGAAAAAAAGCAACAAACAAAAACTAACATAGAACGCATCAATCTTTTGTTTACTTTAAAAATTCTGAATGAATCGCTGGAAAATTACACGACGGGCATAAACATAAATCCTCGCGAATAACGTGGGCACCCTAAATTCAAAACAAATTTAACCAATAAAAATTCTATGTTTCGTCGAAAACGAAAATTACATACAGTAACAATACAATAAGGTAATGCAAATTGACAACTTGGACATAATAATTCATAATCTGGTACACGTTGATGACAATGTGGACATTGAGAAAATTCTTCTTCATTTTCACTTTTATCTGGTTTTCTAACAAAGATATTAAAAAAAAAGATTTTGCTTTATGGATATTTAAGAAAGAAAAGTTTCTCACCGAACAAGTGCTTCGATTTTTTTCTTATATTTTGCATCAATCTGGTCACGATATTCTGGTCTCATGAGTATCACAGAAAAATTAAATGCTGAATTATTCATTCCTGCTTTTTGACATTCAATAACTGTTGTTGTTAAAATCTGAACAATATCTATTTAAAAACAACCACATAACTAAAT